AGAATTTGTCATATCTCATATTTTCTGACTTTGGAATGTTGCTGACTGGAAAAATAAAAAATAAAATAAAATAAAAAGGGCCGGTCCACAGCCTCCACAGGGATGGAAGGGAGAAACTAACACAAAATGTAGGGTCAAGTCAAAAGGGCTATTGAATTGGATTGTTTATAGTGAAGTTTCAACTGGAATATTGGATTGTCATTGGTTTAGACTGAATATATGAGATAACGATCATCTAAAGAATGATGGAGGGATAGAAGAATAAGGGGTACAATAATCAAGAAAGCGAGGAAATATGTCATTGACAGGGCTGATCAGGAGAAAGTGGACAGCACAGAAGGATCAGAATGTTCCATGCAAACTTACAAACAGGCCTGAAAGGGAAAATCGAGGAAATCATCCCCTGAGTTCGGTGGAGATTTTTCCAGAACAAACTACTCCATATGGAGGCCCAAGACCCAGAATTGGGAATCGAGGGGTGTCTTCAATCTGAAACCCCAATACTCCGTACTAAAAATCAAGTAAAGGGAAAAAAAGGTATCAGGTCCATAATATACAAATCTACTCCGTACTCTGTTTTCATATAGTGTTCACGGAAGTGCGGAATACTTAATTTGAAGCTTAACGGTTTGGTTTGCATTAGGCTGCTGTTTCGAAATATGCACTTGTCAGCTGATCCACCTGTCCCTGCAATATACATAGACTGCGAGTCATTTCGTTATGCATTGTACCGTCCTCTTTTTTTTTTTTTTCGATGTATAGCCGATCCTTGGCCCCCTTCATGCACCGAAGACCAGCATTTGAGCCGATCAACCCGCATCTTCGGGTCAAGGGATCAGGATCGACCGATCTCTGCAGTAGATAGAAAGTATGTGATATAAAGATTTAGAGATATTGAACGTTAGAAGAAAAAAAGTCGGGAAGCACCAAGTGTACGTACCCAATGCTACCTTAGGTCTCCCGTCAAAAGAAGAAAAAAGATGATTCAGATGTTAGAGAGAGATTAAAGAAAATAAAATAAAGTAATACAGTAAAACAGTAAAAATAACAAAAATAACAGAAAATAACAGAAATAACAGAAATAAAATATAAAACACAAAGAATAATGAAAAAATAAAAATAAAAAACCAACCCCAGCAAACGGCCGTAATAATGGAACCCTAAAAATTCTAATCCTCCTATTTTCAAAGTGTTTTAAATGTCTAAGCCATCTTTTTGAGCCTCTAATATAAACGTCCATCTTCTCCCTGGATCCTCTTCTTTCTTCCAAATTTCTCTAGCCTTAACCTTGTGGCTGAATTTCTTACCCTGAACCTCCGACGTCATTGTGTTGTACACATTCTAGGCCTTGATCCTTATTCTCCGTTACATTTAAGCTTGAAAAGTCTAGTTACTTTTTTTTTTCTTTTCTTCTCTTCGATATATCGAATCCTCTCTTTTGATCTAAAACCTTCCCCCCGGGTCAAAATCTATCATGTATTCCTGCGCAAACTATCCTCGTGGATGCCGAGGCCGTGTGAACAGACAAGGAGCGAAATGCTCTGACTGCGTTGTATGTGATTCCCATATCTCTGAAATCTACCTTCAAGAAACGGTCCAAAAAATAGAAGAAGAAAAAACTAATCCCCTTGACAGTCTCTAAATTTGCGCCGTCCAGCTTTCGCTTCACCATTCGCCCAACCACGCGACTACAAGCGAGTGCTGCCCTCAGAGCTCTTTGGCGATATTTCATCCAAGGCGCCCGAGCCTGAGTTGTAATGAATGCAAAGCACACTTTCCGGGACGGTCCGGAGAATAACCCAGCTCCTCGCCATGTTGCATCCTGCCGGCTGGGATTCACCTCGCATGATCTACGGCCGCTTCCTTTGTTCTTAATTGCCTCTCTTTGTCTCTCTCTCATATGCATCGCTGGGAGTTTCTTTGTTATATTCGGCGGCCGTCTGCTATTCGCTTCGCCTGGTTTCCCGGTTTTCTCACTTTACCTCTTTGATCTCGACTCTCTCTACATTGGCCGGGCTAATGAGCGAGCTTCCACGAATCTCCTTTTGGAAACGGGAAACTTGCATGGACTTCGCGAACAGTTCCTTTTTCACTCGCTTGGGTTTGTTTCTACAAAGAACGACCCGCGTTTTTGTTTTATTTTGCATGGATAGATCGCTTTTTTGCATGGATACCGGACATGGATCTGCCACTGGAGGGCAGTGGCGCTGATGGATTGGGTTCTTTCAACTCTCCGGTTGATCGTTGATCGACCCGTTCTTTTCCTTGCGCATACGTGTGCTTTGATATTCTTGGTTTTGCTTTGGTACTGGTTTTTACGCCCTATTTTTATGTTCTTTAACTGATGTTGACTCTTTTCTTTGTGAACGGTGATGCCATACCCCTCTGTTTTACTTGCGCTTTTTATCATATGACCATTCCCCTAGTGCTATATACCTATTTACAGCATTCATATCGTTATGTCTTGACCTTCTACCAACTCTTGATCCTTGAATAATCTAGAACTAAATCCAGAATACCCAGCCCTGTAAGATATCTATTCTCGAACCCAACACCTATTTTAGACATCTTACTACCCAACCCTTACGGTAACGCGTTTGGGCCTAAATGACCAGACCCTCAGCCCCAATGCCGGGGCTGTGAAGTTTCGGCCCCAAAACCCCCCTCCCTAACCCGTCGTGGGGACCCGGCACCCGGGTAATCCTCTTCCTTAACAATTTTCAGCCGCAACTCCCGCATCTCACATTGAAACAGACATCTAAGCCCCAAAAGACCAGAAAAAGAAATAGAGAAATACCCCAAGTTTAGAAATACGCTCGTGCACACACCCCGCCATCTCTCATCTCTGAACACACCGCCAATAAACTCGCATGGGTATTCATCCTTCGCAGCCCTCAGCCCACCCATTTCCTCTGTGTCGCATCACCAACCCCCCATTCTCTGCGCCATGCTGAGACAACCTTGTAGCTACATCCCCGTCAGGATCTAGACCTTGCTGGCCCGATTCTATAGATCTGCGCCTTATGATATATGCGCAGGTGGCATGCTCCGCTCCTAGTAAGTGATCGAGGCTATGTTACACACGAGTTAGGCAATGGCATTTGTGTGAGGCTTAGTACGACCTGCGCCGTCGATCGTTTATCGGCTTTTGTTGATAGCTCACGCCTACGCAGGGGTGATCCCTGTCTTTGTGAGCACACACATAGCATGCACAAGCTCTTACGGGTCATATTGGATTGACGTTGGCCTGCTATGATTTACCTCCCGGAGCAGAGTAAATATCTTATTTTATTTTCGCAGGTTGTGAAAGTCATGTGGTCACCACATGTGGTTTTGGAGGAGATCTAGACTGAGTGGCTGGGCCTGGCCTTTTCGGAGAATTAGCGGTTCCGAATGGGGGTTTTATTTGGTCTATATGGAGTATACGGAGTAATATACAAGACCCTTTTTACTGGGAACGTGGATAGGACATGTCATACATTGCGGACTACTATCCGAAGAACAGGGGGAAAGGGGGTCATATAGGAGAATACCGAGGAGAAAGAACTATGTCGATCGCTTGTCTCAGAGATAGATAGTTCCCACTCCGCGTGATTTGTCCACATCTGAAACTATTGTCTATATTGTATGTCTAGTTATATTATTGTAAGCTAGACATCCTCACCCAACGCTAAAATGAACTGGGCATTAGGGGTGTACCTAAAAAAAGACACACAAAAGGAACAGTAAAAACTAAAAAAAAGGATTGTTTTAAAAAAAAGAAAGACAAACCCACATTCCATAGTTGTCGGATGTAAAACAAAGTCCAGTGGGATAAAACTAAGGAGCCTAGCGTTAAAATCCGCTTCTAGCCGCTTCTATTGACCTTCTATGCGGTTTCTCTTTTTGTTAGATTTCAAGCCCCTTTTTCTCTTCTGTTTTTCTCGGTATTGGGGTAATTTTCGAACTTAGCCACATATATAGCGTTTGTTTCAGGAACTGTGGGGAATTTAGCACGTTCCATTGGGAGATGCTAGCTTTGAAATTTTCTATCTGTTCGATCGCTGTGGGAAGTATAATCGGTGTGTGGCGTTGCATTTCCCGTTGACACTTGGGTAAATCTTAGTGTCATTAAATGAACTAATCTTGATATTGTCACGAGGTCATGCTGAGTATTTCGCTATATTTACAGTGATATAATATTGGGGGTCACATCCCTGAACCTCCGAGAGTACCTAGAGGGTCTAAATTCTAAAAGATGACTTTCTTAATTACCTAGATTAATACTATATTAACCCGCCTGGCCAATATCCCGACACAATGGCAACATGTTATGCAGTAGTAACAAGGGGCCAATATTCGGAAGATCAGAAAATATATTGGATATGACAAAGAAAAGACAGGGGATCACATGAAATTCAAATGAAAGACTCGTGAGCTTGTTTATATCCAACAATCAAGCCAAAGTGGATATCGTGCGTTGTTGCATGTAGCCCGAACACGAACACTTGATATCCACTGTGCCCTATAAGCGTTCAAAGACCCCCGTTTGAACCTCTAATCCGATACAAAGGTGTCAAACTGTCAAACAGACCGTCGTGGAGATATACCCGATCGGTTCTACAATATATGATTTCTCGGCTATAGTTACCAACTGGTTATTAGTTTCGGTCTGGAACATACCTTCGGGGGTAATAAGCGCGGAATGGCTGGGAAGTTGACCGGCATGTTTGGCCCCCTGGTTGAAGAGCCGCTTTGGGGCGTAGATCCTTTAATCTCGGGTTCTAACGTGGCTAGGCGCGTTACGTGGACACCGGCACTTGGCGGAGAAAATTTGCGGTGAATAGATTGTTTTTTTTTTTGTTGACAGCGTGAGAAATACCATGTTGGATATTAGTTGATATTTTATATCTTAGGCTTTATTGGTGGATGGTTGTTCAAACCTCGGGGGAGGTTGTGGAGGCTCAAAATTCAATTCGTGCCTTCAATACAGCCATCGTAGATTCTCTAAGTGCAGACATCTAGACATTCAACATCTGCCGGCACACCCATTGTGCGGTCTTTGTATGGAGTGTCCAATCTCGCTCGTCTTCCAAAGTTTCCATGTCGGTTGCTTCGGCGTCATGCACACCTCCGTGACAGGCCTTTCCAAGTGCCTCGAAAACAACAACTTGATCTCTCGTACTTGCATCTAGACAAGATCTCTTGGCGTTAGAAGGATTTTTCTGATCTGGCTGGGCATTTGGACTCTCATATGAGATTTCCCCTATGAATCCTTTCACGCATCGATGGACTAGCTCTGCAGCCGCAGAAAACGATGACTCGCTTTGAGAATCACACCGAGGGCCATGGGCTGGCTGTTGTTTTTGTTTCCCTTGTTTCTTTGGCTTAGGCAGGCGATTGCCTCCCACGCCGCCTTGAATATCATTGCTTATTCTGAACCCAGAGGAAGTATGAGCCACAAGAAGGATGTATACGTGGCTGTGGTGATTCGTAGCTTCTGATGTGTGGATTTTGATAGGAACTGGTGTGTCTTTGGCTGATGGTTCGCTGACAGAGTCCTCTTTATGTCGAGACGAAGTAGAGCGTTTGGCAAATATAGACGGATCCAGCTTCCTAGTTTCACGCCGGAGAGTCCGTTGAGTGACTTGTTCAATAAACTGGCGAACAGTGCTCCCCGTGCCCTCTTCTGCGTCACCGTTTATAGTGGGTTTATCAGGTGCTAGCACTGTGATATCAATTTGCGTGACTTTCCCGCGTTTATGATCCATCAAATTAATCCGCGGGAAGCTGCATAGACGCTCGGCTGTCTGGTTCCGATCTTTTTCTGGTGACCCCTTGGGTTGGTTTTCGTCAATTGGATTGTGTTCAGATGCGAGTGTATGTATGAGGAAAGTGACTGCTCCAAGCTCAACCGGCCCCGTTGACCAGCCGCGCTTCTGAAGGATAATAGACAAGGGAGGAAGTCCAAGTTTGACGAAATTGGGCACGATAACTTGCGCTACATAGTCATAGGATGGAGACAAAGTAACGTTAGTTCCACCAGTGATGTTGACTTTTATAAAAGGGGCAGTTGCCTGCGATCCAGCATAAAGCAGATACGGGTAGAGGGCCTGGAAGACAAGACAGGTGGCACCGGCAGTTGTAAGCTTGATGTCGTATTCAGACTTTACAGTCACTTGCGACAAATCCAGGAGTGGTCCACGTTTTGATCTGATTGACTGAGGAAAGAAGTTCAAGAACTGGGAGCCAACCTCGCCTCCCGATACTTTGCTGCCGCTAATCTCGGCCAACAGCTTCACTGCTGCAGCATGAGTTCTCTTGAGCCCCTTCTTCCCCTCTCTGTTCCCGCGAACATGATCGATGCTAACTGGACGACCAGTCAATGCAGACAGCCCGATGGCAATTCGAACCAGCTGCCCACCTCCTTCCAGGGTTCGGCCGTTCAAATACACATGGTTGGATGAAGAAGATCGCGCCGCCATTTCCGGTAATTTGAATTGTTTTTGACACTGAGATCTTGAAAGCTCTCGAGAATTACGAATTAATATGTTCATTTCGATTTTAGGTCCTGAGTCAGATTAGGGCTGAGGCTACAGGTGCGTCATCTTGGCATGGGTGAGTCACCGTTTTAACGCCTTGAAAGTCTAGACCTCGACAGGGGTTCATAGCCTTGAAGGCTTGACATTTTGGAGGCAAGAGGATGTGTTAGAAGTGAAAATGACTGAAGTGGAAGTTGCCAGTTTATCTCCAGGGCACCTTCCGCTGATGTTCCTTCCAAGGAGTATCTCTTAAATCTTCCGTCTTCAAATTTTTCCTCTCTAAACCCCTTCTCTCAATACTTCTGTAGTTATAAACTCTGCAGATATTTTGTAACATGTTTTCCTCTACATCCAATACACGCAGCCTAAGAAGGTCCATGTCCACCCGCTCAATACGAAAGCCGCGACGACCAGCCCCGGAGATCCCTGATGCTGCCATGCAGCATGCAGCCGCTGCAGCTGCAGCCTCGCGGGCAATGCGCTCCAGTCAAAGCTCGTCTCAGGAGTCAAAAACTCCATACGATCGACTAGGTGGTCCAGGCAATGTTGGCATCCCTCGAAGGTGTCCCGGGTCGAGCCTTCGGAGCACTGATGATAGCATGTCGATCGGTCAGAGCGACTTGCCTAAAGTTTCAAATCCGCGTCGGTCCAAAGAATTGACTGGTGTATCGGCTCGAGGCCATTGCTTCGATGACCCTGCCGCCCTGCCGCCAATCACAGAACTCGACGGACTTGATGGGCGAGACAGCTCAGTGCCCTCTTCATATCGCCGATTGCGCAAGGCTAAATCAATGTTCTCGACTAGACAGCGAACTTCACAGACTCCATATGGAGTGCCTACCATTCCTTGCGGTGATCCCCTTGATCCCGAGCGCAGTCCTGGATTTCAGCTGCCACGGACAATGAGACGGTCCATGTCTTTTCTTCGAGGAGGTTATCAATCCCCACAAGTCGTCCCAACTGCTAAAGGTCATGATGCGGCTATTGAGCTTGCTCGTGGCCAATTTTCACAAAATTTCAACGGCAGAGGTCCTCAGAGTCGACGGTCATCTTTCTTGCTCAGACGCAAGGAGCACAGGCCATTTCGAAGATCTTTCCGGACAACAAGTGAAGGTGGCTTCGGTGCCTCTACCGAGCGTTCTGATAAGTCTCGGTCTTTTTCAACTTCCATCAAAAACAAATTCAGACGTGTGTTTGGGTTTTCCAAGGCCACAGATCAACAACCTGCGCCACATGGTAACCCAAAAGGCGCTGGGGCGTCTGCGGTAACTCCAATTGGAAAAGGCACGGAAGAATGCTCTCCTCGCAAACTTACAGCCATTGAAGACGGCATTGATTCCAACTATCTCCAGTCAATGCCCCGGTCCCCTAGCCGCGATAGTATCTGCAGTTCCAAGTCGCGCGTCACCAGTTGGGCTGATTCAACCATGCCGAACACAGTTACAACCCGGAAGCCAAGACATCGCCAATCTCTCTCTTTGGTCAGAGAGGGTGGGGATCTGGAGCAGCAACTACCACGGACGCCTGCAATGGATGGTGCCGAAAATCAATCTCCTTTGGGCGTGAGAGGAAGCACTCATCAAATTAGCATTGTTGACAGTCAAGATCTGTACACAGCTTTATTGAAACAGATGGGCCGAAATTCCTTGTCTGATTCCAACGAGGAGCTGGTCTTCGGCAATGTGTCACAGCATCGTGTGATTCCAGAACGGAAGAATTCGGTCTACTCCCAACATGGCAAACGGACTATCCGCCATGTCCCAAGCCAAGAATCCTCGACCTCGCCCGGTTCATTTGCAACAGCGCGTGGTGGCGATCAATCAAGTCCACGAAAGTATCCGCGCTCAGCCGGGTCGATGCAAGTTTCTCGGGGCATGCTGCATCAGGTGACAAATCAACATATGGCTTCTGTTTCAGACAAAAGGTCGCAGCAATCAACGTACGCTTTGAGTGAGGGATCGGATGAGGATACTGGTAGTGTTATTGTTTCTCGCCTTCGGGCCCCGAAAAGGGATATTGTTTCCCCAAGTATCTATTCCCGGACCACCAGTGGCAATACCCCAACAAAAACTGACAATGCCGACATGAGCGTTCATGACGAACCAGGAACAGCGACTATATTTACTCCACAACGGACAAAATACAGCTCACCCAAGCGTGCCAATCGGGCTTCATCCCCCACTTCCCATGTAAATCCCAGTGCAGATTGGCAGCAATGGATGAGCTCGCAGATCGAACGAATTGAACAGGCAAGCCCCACAAGAGAACACATCAGAGAAGATGCACAATACCAGGACGATGATGAGTACTTGACCAGCCTAGCTCGACGAGCTCCTATCGCCGTCTCCGCTCCCGCTTCCGCAACTCTTTCGGAGGTTCCAGACAGCACAAGTATCACCGAGCGCAAAGCCTCGGTTGAGAACAGAGTCCCGTCACAGAGCAATTTCTCCCGTCCGTTAATCCAGGCTTCCGGCATGCGAACCATCTTGCCATTGCGGACAATTAAGTCGGAAAATATAGCGCAGGCTCATGTTAACTCATTGGCAATGGATACCGCTGCTAAACCTGATGAAAACACCTCCCCGGGGCTCATCCCCGTTACTTGCAATCAAGAACCGTCGCCAATCCGACTGAGATCCGGGAACATGCAGCCACCAGAGTCCCCAACTCCCAAGGGAGTGAGAGCAAAGCGGTCCTGGACCAAAGAGCAGCAGCGGCGCTATTCGGCCAGGCGTGCTCCGATCGCCCAAGATAGCAGGATCAATCATTTCCGGTCCATGCGCATGCAGCGAGGAAACCGTGCAAATAATGAGAACGCGAGGGAGCAGGATGAGTACAATGACATTATGGATAGCTACAGCCAACTTCAGGACATCCATTCCACGATCTCTAGCAAACGCATGGTGGATTTGTTCTTGGATAGTCGCCGTCGACAAATGGGTGAAGTCACTGACAACGATGCAACTACAGACGCTTTTCTTTGAATGTGAGAGACTGACACTTTTTGCCATTGGAATAATACCTTGGGGATGTTTCATTTTTTGCTCTGTCAAATTCTTTCCAAGACCCTGACCACTCATTCACTCATCCGTCATTTGGGACATGTATTGTATACCAAAGCTCAGGGTCAGAGTTGGGCGGTTTTTTTGCTTGATATTGAAGCATGGACACGGTTATTGTTATTTTCTATTATTTCCACCTAATACGAAGATATAAAAATTTGCATTCATCATATTCAGGAAAACGAGCAAAAAAGAAATCTCTCCCTCGGGGAATCGAACCCCGGTCTCCCGCGCTTATCGGTATTAATGACAAGCGGAAATCATCACCACTAGACCAAGGAAGATGTAGCCGAGTTAACTCGACCATTGGCTGGTTGATGAAAATATTTGCTCAGGTTGACATTATGAGCAAATCCTCAAAATAATACAGATGTCCAAACAAAATATTTGTGAAGTTTCAACAATTTATCAAGCAACTATCGAATGGCAATATATTTTCTGGTCAATGGGTCATGAAGGAAGGTTTTAATTATTTACGAGTGGAGTTGAAAAAAAAAAGGGTTTTGTAAAAAAAAAGCAAGAAGCTCGATATATATCTCTCGGCTGTGCAGGCGATAGCCACAGATGTCAACCGCTAATTGCTTTCAATGACACGGATTATATTACTAAATATAGCCATGAGCTATTATATCAAACCATAGAACATTTCTTCCCCTAGCCCGCACTTAGCAGGAAAGAATTTATGTATAGAGTCCCCCCAAGGAAAATAAACTGCAACATGTTCAAATAGGTACCTTCGTCTCTGGAATGGCTTGTTCAGCCCCTGATATCCACGCGTGGTATTAAGTAGATCACTAGTGTAAGTGTTTCCCGTACAGTTGATCGGTGGGCCCATGTAAACATGTAGGTATTTCCCGTGTAGGTATTCCCCCATATAGGCCATGTAGGTATTCTTCCAGTAGGTAATTGCCATGTAGGTATATCCCTTGTAGGTATTGTCCATACATAAGAGAAGACAAATGTCTTGTTTTTGCGTAATTTGAGGGAGATAACACATCTATCCAACAATGGATATTTTTCTGGACATTCTGGATACATTGATCCTCGATCGGTGCTACGCATTACTCTCGCCGGACCCAGCAGCAATTTCCAATTATGATTATATAGCCACTGCCAATTTGAACCGACATGTCGGGCTTTATTACCCCATGGAGCCTTCGAAGTGGGCAGAGGCAAGCCTTTGGAAGAGAGATGACATTGCCAGACAAGCATTGTCACTATACTTGATTACATGGTAAGTCCTTTCACTTGGAGTATAGTAGTCCAGCAACTGACATGGGAATTAGGTTTTTCGCAATGATTATGTACCTCCTTGGTAGCCTCCTACTATACCACACACTATTCGACAAAAGACTACTTCAACACCCGCGGTTCCTCCCAAATCAGATCAAACTCGAGATCAACCAAGGCATCTCTGCGATTCCCGTAATGGCCCTCCTCACCGTCCCCTTTTTTCTAGCAGAGATCCGGGGGTGGTCCAAGCTATATGATCTTACCAGCGACTCTCCGTTCTTCGGATACACCCTACTGCAATATCCATTGTTCATCTGCTTTACAGACAGTGGGATTTACTGGATACACCGTGCCCTGCATCACCCTCGCATCTACCGCTGGCTTCACAAGCCACATCATAAATGGGCTGTACCGACGCCGTTTGCCAGTTATGCGTTTCATCCTTTGGATGGATGGTCGCAGAGTCTCCCCTACCATGTTTACCCGTTGGTTTTTCCGTTGCAGAAAGGTGCATATCTGGGGCTGTTTATCTTTGTCACTATGTGGACGGTGTTGATTCGTGAGTTTCCTGATGCCCATGGAGGATTGGCATAATAGCTTATATTAATTATCACAGATGATGCCGAGTATATGCCAGCATCGGAGATAATCAATGGCGCTTCTTGTCATACGATGCATCACTTGCACTTCAACTACAATTATGGTCAGTTCACAACGGCATGGGATCGTCTCGCAGGAACATACCGAAAACCCAAGGGCGATAGCTTTATGGAAAGTCAGAGGATGGACGGGAAAGAGAAATTTGGAGATAAGTGTGACTGAAATCATTATCTAAGGAGAGTCTCAAGTCATATCGGAGAAAAGACAACAATTTTACAACTCATCCACCTGTAGACGCTAGTGATTTCTAGTTAGACACTAGCCCCCTACCTCATAATCTGCTGATCTTCCTCCAACCCCCACGCAGTGCGACTCAACGCAGATCCCGAAGTCAAACGCGTTCTATTTCCATCAAAACATCATAAACAATATCTTCAACACCAAATATGCCCGATACCGACGCTCAGACGCGGGCCCTCGGGACCCCAGAGATCGTGGCCTCAATCCTGCACCAGATGGACATGCGAACGCTGATCACCGCCCAAGGAATTAGCCGCACGTGGAAAGATCTGATCTGCACCACGCAGTCACTACAGGAGACTCTATTTCTCCGACCAATCAGCCATGATCTCGACCTCAGCACTCGAGTCGAGAACCCGCTACTGGCAGAAGCTTTCCCATCGATTTTCGATAATGAAGAAGGCGATATTTGTCTGACCGATCTTACCTGGGAGAAAAACCCAGCTGTTCGAGAGATGTTCATCCGACCAGAAGCCAGCTGGCGCCGCATGCTCACGCACCAACCGCCTCTCTATCGAGTTGGGACATTCAAATCCCGGTGTTCACCCTTTGGCTGGAGTTGGAGTAAGAAAAAGGCAAGTGTTCCAGAAGGTGGGCTCCGAATGGCGCCGCTTTTTGAATTCCTGATTGATCGTAGCTGGCAGGCCTGGGCTTACGGTGAGTCGATCGTTGCTTCTTTCCCGGCTTCTTTGCCTGGTGGACTCCTCAGGTCGAATAGTTCCAAGAGTTGGAATGAAGAGGAGCGAGATTGGAAGGAAATGGACGGGCAGTTTGATCTTGTGTTAGAGATCAGCTCGAGTACGACTTGTACGAGTGAGGAGGATTATGAGGATGGTATGAAGGAGATGGAGGAGGCTAGGGAGAAGGGTGTTGTGTTTCCGGATACCGATTTAACTGTTTGGAAAAGAATTTGTGAATGTTATCAGGAGTTAGGGTTGAAGATGGATGGGTTTAAGCTGGAGAAGTTTGACGAGGCAAGAGGGATGTGGGACTAGAAGAATGGGTTGCGAGTATATGATTTAGTGATGTTGTAGGTCTGCGCAAAATCAGTTCCAGCACTTTATTCTGATCGATTTATTCTTCTTATAATACTGCATGGGTCATGTCATTTCTCGTTACCCGACACCGCAGAGTCGGCAGCTTCTTCCCTTGTTAACATATATACACACTTGCTTTCCCCAGTTGGACCCTACCTATCACCCCGTTCTTACCTCTCTTACCTCGGTCTCTTATCACCTGCACTCACCCTAAAGTGTGAGGGCGTATTGACTAGGTCACACTCCGTTAAATAGTTTGATAGGACACCATTCCATTATAGTTCAACATACGATTGAGACAAAGGTCATGGTAGTATCAGTTTGCTAGTCCGACGAAATTTGGCGAGAATAAGAGAATATTGCAGAAATGAGAGGGAGTCTGACCTATTAAATTCCCTTTCGTCAACGGGCGTGTTGGACTGCCCAGGTGGCATTGAGTTGGTGGGCAAGCTTTCTTTTCTAAATGGCTAGGATATCTATCTACCACTGCCCAATATTCGCGAGTCTAGAGCCATTCTAATGATTGTACTCTGTGCCGAGACGATCGCATTCCCCTAGCATTCCCTTAGTCACAAGGCTCTTGACGCTATCTTTTGTGTACTTAGTCGTCGCGCAATGTTCAGATCGGCGACGTCATGACAAATAGTGTGCAAATAACGTAGTAACTTATTCCAACATGCAGGAAAGAGTGATTATATCGGCGTTACTGAGTTCATCAGTCAAAACGTCAGCACTGATTCTGATCATCTTCCGGCTCAATATTCCGACTCATAATATAGGGAGTCACAATATCCTTAAACTGTCGACAAGGTTTATTTGCTGACTTTGGTGACATCACCAACCCAGTTATTTATCGGCTCTCGGGAGAAACCAGATCAAGCTGAAGCTATTTAGAAGAGTTTTTTTTATTTTGTAAAGCGACATAGTTTTTGACAGGAAAATATATCCATGTTCAAGCACTCCCTAGAAGCCCCCCTTGCGTCGTACTCTTCCCCTAGATTTTCACTCTGCCTGCCCCCCATATACTCCTTACAATCTAGTGTTTCTACGTGGGTTTGTTGCAACTTTTTTGATACCTTCTCCCGACTTACGCCTGCTGCTGGAATCAAACTTACAGCAAACGTTGATGCCTACCACTTGTGTAGGACTGGCAAAATCATCATAATGCTCAGGACAACGAATGAAAATGAGTCCTTCTGTGGCCCCCTGACCACTGTAATGTCGCAAGTGCCAGCGGCAATGAATGGGTGTATCGACAAATACTCGTCGAGTATGAAATCAAGCGCGCCTTGGCGCAGCCAACGACACAATATCTTCGAACGGGCCTATAACCGCGTGCAACTCGCGTACTACCGCTACGAAGTGACTTTCGGTCTCTATGTGTTGACATTCAATGAAAAGCTTGTCGTCAACGCCTTCAGTTTGGCCGTTGTAACCCTCGTCTTCTGGGCACTTCTTTACTTCCCAGCCTTGGTCTATAACAAGAGGGATGATCTCACCTGGTTGCTGACAGGCCACCACAACCAGCAAGTTGGCACCGTGTCGTGACCAATACGACAATTTTACAGTATTCACGGCTGAACGTTTCTTGGCTTGATGATCACGTATCGGTCTGTCTTGTATACTAGAACGCCACACCGTGAAGTATGCACATTTTAAGGGCCTTTGCTGTCTTACGTCTACTTGATGGACCAAGATGTCCATGGCTTGAAATGTGCTGTTTTTGCGTTCTAAGCTTTGTATTTCCCCCTCAACTGAGGTATTTCGCATTTTTGAATCAAGGTCCCCATTCCAAGCCCCCTTTAGCCTAATCAATTAGATCATCATTATGCATTCCCGAGGTCGTCTACGGGTTCCTCCCGTGGTCCCGTTCCCGTGTTACCTAATATAGTATTGGAAACAGGCACGACCAGCTTGGAGACTAGTTTTTTGAAAAAATACATCACCCTAAGACTTTTTTTTCCCTTAGTCCGCAAAACACACAAACACACTTATGAGTACAACAAATATAGCAAAAAAGTAAAAAACATACAACAGTGAGGATTCGCTGGTGGTCACCCACCCAACTACTAACTCACCGGCGTGTGGCTTAAGTACGGCTGAGCGGACGGGAAGCCCTGTTTTCCACACCCTATGGTCGTATGTATCATGTAATATGTGCAAAAGGCTTATAAAATGCACCGGATAGGTACACGATAATGCGAAGAGGTGGGATAGGAAGAACATGATATGCCGCAAATCGCAGGATATGTGTGTAAGGCGAATTTTTCATGTATAAAATCCGGTTATATTATATTCACTATATTTATATTCAACATTTATGGCGGAATCTGGTGACACCATTGAATGAATTCATTCAAATTCCCCAAGTCATCAGTAGCAGTGTTGTCCATATACTGAAGGCTGAGATCAGATCTGCCAGTAGCATCCAGCGTGGCATTCAACAACCACCAAAGCTCCTGAGCGTGTTTCGGATACCCAAGGTGAAGGAATTTATCCTTATCCAGGCGACCAATAACCGAATCCCAGATCCGCCTCCAGTTACCAGACGCACAGCGTATTCTATCAAGCGATAAATATCTTAACAACCCCGATCTCGCCTGGAATGCTAGGGAGTTAATTGCTATTGTGATATTCTTAGCAATGCAGTCGATTAACTGGCTTCGGTCGTTAACATACCATAAATCAGAATCAGGAGATGCTCCACTGACACCGAAAGACCCCATGGTATTGGGCCAGTACCTAAAGGAGTTTCAAGTAATTGTGTGATCACATCTTTCAGGGGCGGAAGCGGGAGTTCTGTTGAGTGCGAGATGGCAATTCTGCTGAAAGAAGACGCACTTTCGGCTTCCCACAACCCGGCACTCCAAGGTAAATGACAGTCCATCTCAAAGACTGATATTGATGGGTGGTTTTTGAAGCAGACTGTGAGAAATCCATCGGCTAGAAAGACCCAACAAGCGATTCTTGGAGCTGGTTAGTGACACTGGAAAGAAAAGACAAGATAAGAAAAAATGGGGATATAAAGTACCGTATGCACACCTCCTCTGCCACTAAATTTCTCCAAGTTCTGTCATCACAGACGGTGGGAGCAGTTCCTCGCTTGACCTGAAAAATGCCTAGGGATCGTATGGTGGATACTAAACAAGGATGTCGGACGATGCGAATGCGACGTCTCGTTTGCATGTTATCTTGTCCGAATTGAAGCATCTCAATAATAAGAGCACTCTGTATTAGCTGCACAGTTGATGATAAATGCGACTGGTCTTTCGGCGAAGCGAGTGTTGATAGATCCGCAATTTTCCGAAATATATACTCTTCTGCGACGTCGAAGAGACCGGATGGTAGGGCCCCTCCATCCAACGGAATAGTATATGTGGCACCGGATAAAAATATTGAGAGTAAAAGAGGACTGGAGATGTTCCCTGGGTCGAAGGTTGGAAAATGCACCACCGGTAAATGCCAGTGAAGAGAGTGGAAGAACGCAGAGATAGAAGCAGATATATTAGAAACCCCCAAGAGACTAGAAAGTTCCATGAAATCAAGCGGGCTTAGCGTTCCTGTGCTTCCGAGACCCATTGACTTTGAAGTCTCGACCAACTCCGTCATGATCTCGCATAATTGGTTGGAAAGCTTTGAAGGGAAGAGTGTATCAGGGGAGAACCGAAGTAAATAATCATCTGTAAAAGAGGGCACAATCGAGGGTATTTGAAAGGGGAAACTTGTAAGTTGAAAATCACTTTCAAAAGCTGATATGGGATCAGTGGGAACGAGCGCATCTTCGATATGTGAATTGAGTGTTTCAAGGTTTCTTCGAACAGAACACTTTGCAGTCTCCCCGATTGCCAGCCTGTCCCTTTGGAAAGATGGATTGGCAAAATGTTGGAGAAAAGAAAATGATCCGCTGTATCTCGAGCTGACCCGGGATGTGGTTATAGAAGGGGATAATGAGGCTACTGCAGAGCAACTGGGATCTCGGGACGGTATGTCTTTGGCCACGAAGGTGCATTGTCGTCCAAGGGAGCGACAGCGAGAGCATGGTCGGTTCTTGTCGCAAGATGCTTTGGCAAAGAAGCATAGCTCACAGGAATGTCTTTTCCTGCCTGGCTTGGCTGCGGGAGGTGCAGGCTGGTTGAGCTTTTTTGCACAGGTTTTGATATGTCTTCGTGTGACCTCTCTTTCGACAAATTAGGTAATGTTCATTATTGATGGTGGTTTACTTTACACACGGCTTTAGAAATGATTTGCTGCACAGAGGGCAGCTGGAAGAGAGCTGCTGTGTATCTGGGAGGTGGTCAGCCGATTCATATTTTGAAATCGGGATCATTGGACCTTACGGGTCGCTTCATGGCGAATTAAATGAGTCTTCCTCTGATAGGATTTTTCGCATAGTGTACATTGAAACATGACGTCGAAAGCAGACTTTGTCACAACAGCTGAGAAAGGAAAAAGGAAAGGGGCGGGCGGCTACGGTCAGCGCGTGGACGAATTCTATCCGTGCGTGGCCGGATACTCGACACATCGAAAAACTTCAATAGCAGATTTAACTTCAAAGTCGCCAAAGTTCAAATTAATCCAAATCAAATAGGCAACCGTTTTAAATGAGGTCTCCAGAGGAACGCTCGAAATTGGTCATTGATTTGGGCTATGTAGGTCTGAGTGCGGAGTACTCCGTACTGTGTACAGCCCTAAACAAACCACAAATCACAAATGAGGCTGGGCTTGGGCCATGCCATGCTGTCTATAGCCTGCAAGGGTAAATGATAAACTGCACTAAATATCGTGCATACTGTGATTTGCTAAAGAAGCACTTCCTCCTGGCGGGCCGGGCCACCGGGGGAATATTGCTGATCTTACATTTATGATCAACGGTTTAACGTGGAAGGAGCTTGAGTTCTCGTGTTTGAGATCTATGGCATACATATGCAATGAGACTCGAAAAAGTCGTGGATGTCGATGAAGGCTGAATGGCGGGACGAGGGAGGCTTTACGCGCTGATTCTCAGTCACTGGTCATTTTCCTATTAAAAGTAAGCTGATTTTTTGGGGACCTATTTGAACGAGAAAATGAACCGACCTTTCCGAACCCCTGGCGTGCACGGGACCTGAGTGCATCGCATTCGATCATAAGTGGAGCAATACAAAATCCTTCAACATTAAGGTATCATATCCGCTAGTCGGGAAACTCTCGTTCGCTCGAGCACACGGTGTCTCTAATTCTTTATCCATAAATATACCCACGATTTTTGCAAGAAGGCAAACAACGGAGTTATTAAAACCTCACGGGACAAAGCCGAAAATCGAAGCCAACTACATGCACGAAAGACTGTAGATCTCGCTCCGCATGGGGAAATAGACGTTGTGGGGTCATAGCAAGATCGACAGGATCGAAAAGATCGAAAAGGCGGTGGGGTTCACATCTCTAGCGCAGCCAAGGTCAAGCCCCCAAGGGTTGATGAACCATGGAGTACGAACTACTGTGGAATTTAGACCCTAAATTTTAATGTTGGAGCAATACTTCGGTGCCCGAGGATACGATGGGGTGTACGGAGTAGAGATTACAGAATATCTTGCCTTGAAAAGAGAAAGTGATCAGGAACGATTGGCTTCAAATCATTTTCGAAATGCAGTGTACCTGACTAGAGACCCTTGCACTCCGATGGCAGGGTTCTGCATTAGGTAGGAGGCACATGATGACTGGTCCATTGGGAATACGGGGACTCGAATTTAGTTGAACAGGCATTTGGCTGGTCCGATTTAGGATTATTCGGCTTACTCCACCGAATAGCCCTATATTGAAACTGACACCTTGCTTGGACTAGCCCCTGAAGTGAGATATCAGCACAAAGACTGATTGAGATACGTTGTACATACGGGGATGTGTGGCTGGACTAGTTCGGACTAGGCTCCGAACGGGATCAATCAAATAAGACGCTACTGCAATTAGCGGCCCGGGAGTGAAGTGATAGGTCCAGCATAAGGTTTGAATATCAGGTTCGGTTCATTGACCAACATGTCAAAAAAAAAAGAGGCAAACTACCAAGCACGGGACCAATCAGGAACTTATTTACAAGCAAAATGGGCTGGTCTGGTCGTAATTTCTCGCTTGGCGCTCTTTTCTGGGCTAGGCAATAGTTTGTGATGTAGATCGACGTTGCCTCCCCTATTTTAAGATTGCTATAATGGCTGGTTGATGGGGTTGCACATATAAGGCCGCCTACCTCTCATTAATTCCTGTTCTTCATCTCTTCGTTGTTAGTTTTTTGATCACTCGTTTTGCTGGTTTCATTCAGCGTCCATTCTTTATTTCACTCTACATACTTCCAACTCGCAACGATGAAGCAATCTATGATAGCTTCCCTTGCGGCTCTCGCAGCCTCATGCTCCGTAAGAAAACGCTCGCGTTGGTTGTTGTTGCAGTTGGATATACGGCTAACGGAACATATCATTATATAGGGAGCTCAAGCCGCTGATAGCTTGATTAACGTGCCCGTTAATCTCTGCGCAGCCATTCTTGGACAAGCCGCGTGTGACCAGAAGACCGTCACCAATGGCTTGATCAGTGTGCCTGTCAATGCATGTGTGGCAGTCCTTGGACATGCCAAGTGTGACCAGTTCTCTTCCTCTTTGACCAGACGCGGCGGTTCTCTGATTAGCGTACCGGTTAATCTTTGCGCAGCCATTCTCGGAGAGGCCGAATGCAAGCAGAAGACCGCCAGTGCTGGCGGCTTGATTGACGTGCCTGTTAACGCGTGTGCGGCAGTGCTTGGACAAGCCAAGTGCGATCAGGTTGCTTCCACCACCGGCAGCGGCGAGGGTTCCCTGATTAGCGTGCCTGTTAATCTTTGCGCAGCCATTCTCGGAGAGGCTGAATGCAAGCAGAAGGCCGCCACCACTGGGGGCTTGATCGATGTCCCTGTCAACGCGTGTGTCGCGGTTCTTGGACAGGCCAAGTGCGACCAGGTTGCTTCGACCGTTACCGGTGGCGGTACCGGTACCGGCAGTGGCAGTGGCAGTGGCAGCGGTAGCGGTGATGGTTCCCTGATTAGCGTCCCCGTCGGACTTTGCACAGCCATCCTTGGAGAGGTTGAATGCAAGCAGCAGACTGCCACCCCTGGCGGCTTGATCAATGTGCCTGTTAACACCTGTCTTGCAGTCCTTGGAAAGGCCAAGTGTGACCAGGCCTCTTCTTCTGGCAGCGGCGAGGGTTCCCTGATCAATGTCCCTATCAACGTTTGCCTGGCTGTCCTCGGTGAGGCTCACTGCCACCAGAGCTCCAGCTCGAATGGTGGTCTGATCAACATCCCCATCGACCTGTGCTTGGCTGTGTTGGGCGAGGCTGAGTGCCATAATGGATCATCCCCACCCCCCCGGCTGTGACCACCACCCCTACCGTCCCTGGTGTTGTTCCCGGCGAGACCAACACTCCTGCCGTCCCCGGTGTTGTGCCCGGCGAGACTGCTACCCCTGCCGTCCCCGGTGTCGTTCCCGGCGAGACCAACACTCCTGCCGTTCCTGGTGTTGTGCCTGGCGAGACTGCTACTCCTGCTGTACCCGGTGTTGTGCCCGGTGAGACCACCAACGTCCCTGGTGTTGTTCCCGGCAACTCTTCCGTCCCTGGCGCCGAGGCTTCTGCCACCCCGGTCGGAACTAGCCCTGGAGGACCTGACTCTGGTTCACCTTCCGGCGGTTCCTCTGCCTCCGGTCCCGGGTCACCTGCATACAGCCACGTTCCTTCTCTCACAGTTGGACGACCATCCCCCACCGGCGCTTTCACCCGTGTCACTCCCAGCTTCACCAATGTTGTCACTGTCTGCAATGCTGCTTGCCACGCATCCAAGACCTCTACCGCCCTAGTGGCCCACACTTCTCCTGTTTCCGGTGGCAACGGAGGCAAGGAAACCCCCATTGCCACCCCCAGCACCATTCCCTTCAACGCCGCCGGCCGCGTGACTCTGTCCGGCGTTGCCGTGGTGTTCGGAGCCCTTTGCGCTGTTGCTATGCAGATCTAAGTGGCGATCTATGTTGAGATATTGATAAAGGTGGTAGCCACCAGGGACAGTAGGTGATGCTCATTGTTGAGATTTATGGTTCCTGTTGCGTTGGACATATCAGTCCGTCTTTTCTTCTTCTCCTTCTATGTTCCATGGTTTGAATCAGCATGCGTTAATATAATTCCACGATATACGTCTCTCAATCCAGCCTTTTCTCGACGTCAAGGCTGTCCATCTGTATATGACGAATTTATTGGTTGCGCCAATTTGACGCAGCATGTCTTTTGACCTCATTATCACTTTCCCTTCAATCGTATATAACTGGTTTTTTCTTGTTCCCTTCCACAAGATATTGGAACCATATAATACATATGAATGCTTCAAATCCACCATTATATGTATTGGTGGCATGATGGGCGTGGCTCATATTGCCATCCAGTTACGAACAATTCCTTGACGTATTATTATTCACCTGCCAACTTATCTTTTTCCCCTGGGGTGGTCACAGAAAAGCAAATACATAACGCGTTAAACGTGTCAATAATCGATAATTTACCAGACCCAATAATAGGGCATATGATAGATCATACGCCAAGTCTTCAGGGGAAACCTACACAGTCTTGCTAGCGTTGGATTGGGGCCAATTGTGATATTGCACGTCCTCGACCAAATGGAAATTTAGTGGAGTGCTAGTAAATATTTAGTTCCAAAGGCATGGACTTGAGCGAATTACCACCGTTTGAGTTTCTATCCCTTTTGTCTGACATTAGTCCATTTTATTATCACCCGCAAACAAATTCATCTTTATTATCCACTGTCTTGACCTGTCCTATGTTCTGGGAAAATACTGCACTTTCAATCACCCTCATTAGGTAGGGACTCCAGATGCCCTTAAACGAGTCTCGTACTCAATTTTATCCTGTCCGAGATAGAATTGTGGGTTCAAAGCTTTGAAAAGAACGCGTTTATGTGGAGAGTCGAGGACTCCCACGGTTGGTGTCATCGGTCCGATATTAGCTTCCGCTTTGTATATTATACCAGCGTCTTTCAACAGTAGTTGCCTAGTCTCCAAAATAACCAAAAAGTTGAAATAGAAAAATGGCAAAAAATTCCTCTGACCCGGGATCGAACCAGGGACCTCAAGATGACAGGTTCTAATGAACAAGCAATTACAGTCTTGCGCTCTTCCAGCTGAGCTATCAGAGGTGATTATTGAGCGATTGGCAGTTATTAGAAAATATAAGTCAAACGCACACCCAGAGATTATCCCCTCTAACACCAGAGGGGAAGGGGTTCTATATGTAAGAAACTTGGGGAGAGCGTTTTTAGAAACCGGGCCCACACTAACCTTCCAGTCAAAAGAAAGGCAACCCACGTATGTCTAAAGAATGAGATCGCGACGAGTTCAAGTGCCAACCACTTCTCCAGTAAGGGTGATAATGAATCACGTGTCAGTGTAACATGGAAGGGATCAACAGCCACACCGAACGAACTGTTTCCCAACCATGTGGAAAGTATGGAGAACAGTTGGGATTCCCATCGAATCTGTCTTTTTATCTTTCTCAATCTCTAGTGTTTCCCCGTAACCCGATATTGGGAAACCCGGGCCAATCTCACCGACCAAGTTCACGGAATAGCGTTTATTTCATGTCTTAGACCTTCCTGAGACTCAGTTGGTCGCGCTAAGAGTGGGGTCTTGAACGTCAACTCAGATCAGCTGCAGGAAATCAACCATCCGAGAACTTCCGGGTAAACACCAGGTACCTTGGTACCTGTACCTTTTGATGTGTCCTGAAACACACGAAACCATGCATGGCGACGAACAATCAAAACGAAAAATCAGATCCGAGCATTCGAATTCGCGCTTAGGATGCATAACGTGCAAGTGAGTCACCCAAAAACAACTAGCCACCTGTCAACTAAACATTGGAAAGGATCCGGCATAAAAAGTGTGACGAAACTCGGCCGGCGTGTCTCAATTGTACAAGCTCAGGCAGGCAATGCAATGGTTACCTGCAAATCATTGATAAGAGGACGCGAGAATGGCGTGATTCCGAAGCCAGTGGTCTCGCCAATGACCAGAAAAAAACAGCTCTACAAAGCAGACGTGGTCTAACAGTCGCCCGATCTGTCGCTGCTGTTCCTATTCCTTTGGGCACTGCCTACCAGGCCGATCTCACTTGGGGCGAGCGATGGCATTTGGATTTCTACCGCAAACGAACGGCGGTTCGATGCTCGCAATACTTTCAAAACTCATTCTGGGATGGGTTAGTTCTTCAGATATGCGAACAGCATCCTGCAGTCCGCCATGCTGCGATTGCTATTAGTGCACATCATTATCAGCTTGAACGAGCTCAACTGAGCCGTGACGAAAACCGAGAAAGCCTTCTGGCCCTTCATCATTCTACACAAGCGATCACCTGCCTTCGAGAAAGTCTCGCCCGGGAACTGTTATCCCGGGATAAGTCAAGCCGAACACACAAACAAGTGGTGCTCATCACTTGTATCATTTTAACCACCCTTGCTCTGTTCCAGGGCGATCTCTCTGCTTCTCGTTATCATCTTGTTTCCGGATATAAGCTTTTCAAGGAATGGGACGTCCACAAGGATGAAGGCTCCACTGGCCTGGCACTGAGACAGTTGTTTGCTCAGATACACGTCCATTGGTCTATTTGCAATTATCCCGAGCTATTTGCGGAGGATCCCGAACTCTTTCATGACAAGCATTGGGTCTCCCCGAACACTACAGTTGCTCCCCCAAAAATTGTGACCCCGCCTTCTTCCGGCATTGAGCAAATGCACCGTGTTGAGCAATTTGTGGTGGTTGTTACGGGCTTGATACTTGAGGCTTCTCCTTGTGGATATAACATCAAATCCGCAAGCTCTATCGGCCGCGGCGCAGCCGTGGCGTTGAGTAAGCTTCGGCTCTGGAGAAGTCGTCTTATGTCTTCTCTAATCGAGGCGGACAGTCTAGCGCCGGATGACTGTGATGCGCTGAAACTCATCGCATTATGGGGCGGGATCATCGATATCAAGTTGGCTGTGGCCTCGAGTCACAAGCCAAATGAGATGGTATATGATGATTATTTGGACCGGTTCCAGCGTATTATAAAATTGGCACATGCTGTGGCAGGGTCGGGCTCCAATGATGTCCCATTATCGCTGTTTGTCTACAGGGCCTCTGTCCTGCCTGCGCTTTTATGGTCTGGGGCGAAATGTCGTGATTGGCTAGTCCGTCGTGACATATGTTCTTTATTAGATGAGTGGACAGGAAAAGACTACTGGGTATCGGCGACAACTCTATCACTGAAGAGATTGGTCGATATGGAGTCAAAAGGGATAAAGCAAGGTAATATCATCCCTGAAGCTGCTCGGGCCGACTTTATCGACGTGAAAATCCGACCCGAGGAATCCAAAGTTGAACTGCGATATCACAGGCCTCGGTATATGTTGCACCTAGAGAATGATTGTGTTAGATGGGAGAGTGAGTCAATATATTATTAAGACCATTCAAAAGATATCTATAGCTTATTTGGCGATTGTTTTTATACAATTGAAAGCCCATGACAAAAGTCTGCCGCGGCGAAACCCTTTCGGTCCACCTTGGTTCTTCTACCACCTGACGACCTTTTTAGAAAGATACATGTTAGTTTTGTCTTTTATCCTATGACACAAACCAACGTGCAAGTCTTCCCGTATCCGTATTCTTATACATTGAGTTGTAGGCATTGAGTGATAGCAGATGGGCTCCTGGGAGCGCTCCAAGGTTGTTCAACGAAGGTTGCACAAAGCAGCTCTTGTTATATCGGGAGCAAACACGTCACGCATTTTATAACGCGGTTGCACCTAGGTTATACAGAATAGCCCTCAACAATTCGAGTGATTCCTGAAGGTCAACGAGTTTGTTCTTGACTTGGGTTTAGTAATCTGGATGAAACTGGGATACCTACACTGACAAGCTCGAAGAGGTCCATAGCTGTAATACATACTTATCCTGGCCCCTGAAAGTATTATGACTGGAATATACTAAGAATCGTGATCAAAGCTTGAGAAAGGCTGGATGATAGCTAACACACGTGGTGACAAAGCGTTGCGCATTTTCAGGCTTAGATTTGGGGTTGAACAACTTGTCGATGGCTGGAATTATTAGAGATAAGGAAATCCACATGTAGAGACCAATGAGGCCGTGTAGCCCTACACCTATGTCATTTGAGAAAAAAGAATCAAGTCTTCTTACCACATCCTCTCTATGCATGGAAATCACATGAGGTTACTTATATAAAGACCTACTTAGAACCTGATCTCTGTGCGTTAAGGTGAACAGCGTACTGAAAAAAGAATTGCCCAATTCAAGAAAATCAACACCGGAAAGAGTTTTGCACATATATCTTGTCTTGCTTATCCAGAAAGAAATCTGGTTCCGCTTCGCAATGTTGCAGATTGATGGGTTGTGTGAATATGAGATAACGGAAACAAACCCCCAAATTCAACAACACAATGTTATGCTAAAGAACAACGATGGATCACTTGGGGTAAGTTAACGATTCAGAACGATTATGGGTTGATAGGGGTCGAAGCTAATATGAACAAGTTGGACATACCCTATCATGGTCTAGTCAGCATCCCACTCGACGCAGATGTATCCACTAGAGATAGATACCCCCCAGAGTCCTTAAAGGGTGTGTTGAGTGTTCATAGAAGTTTCAGAATCGCAATACAGGCATACACCCAAAAGCAAATCGAAGATCCGCTCGAGCAAGCAGTCCGCGAAGTCAAAGTCATTAGCCTCCTTTTCCCAAATGTTCGAGCTGAACATCTGCGGATCTGTATGGCTGCGTGGATTTGTATACTATGCACTGTTGATGATTTACTCGAGTCGATGAGGCCCTATGAAGCACAGATTGCTATCCAGACAACCATCTCTATTTTGCAGGGCAACGAGAAAAACAATGAATGGAGTAAGTTGAAATTTGAAAGATGTGGGTGGTAGATGCTTACAAAAAATACTTAGTCTGCGAGGTTTCTTCTAAGGGCGATGTTTGCTCTCTCATGTCATTATTTCAGAAGCACTGTTGCCAGTATCTCTCAGATGCAGCGGCAAAAGATTTCTTTTGCGAAATCTGCACTGTGTTCTATGGCTTCATACAGGAGATCAAGTTTCAACAGGGCTACTTGAAACGCGATATGCAAAACTACATGGAGATTCGAACACGAACAATCGGAATTGCACCTTACTTCAGCCTTATCAGGAGCGAGGTTTTTTCTCCAGATTATTATCCAGACAATATTATGGTTATGCAGAAAGCGATAAATGTTGCAGCGGGTCTTCAAAACGACCTTCTTGGGTTAGAAAGAGACATGGACGAAAAAGAGTCAATGAATGCTGTGCTTGTCGGTATGGAGGAGCCTATGAAAAAGGAGGAAACGGAGACACAAAAGCTCGCCGATGCTATTACAGCTGTTTGTGCATTGCATAACGTCAGTATTTCGGAGGTGGCACATATACATCAGAGGATCCTGCAGGGAGCTAGAGAGGAATCAGAAATCATTGTTGCAAACTCTCAGCTCCTCTTCACCGAGACCCATTTCAAATGGTGCACGACAGCCAAGAGGTATAGAACGCAAGTAGAATAGGTTGTGGTAGTGGAGGTATCTTCTATCAATAGAGAATTGATTTCGGGTTTTAGATATATGATCGCGAAGTAAATGCTTGTCGTAGCACCCATTTTAACCACAGAATTCTCAGCGCATTGTTTTTTCCCCATCTAGTTAGCTAGTTGTCTACATATCATGGATCGTTTTATCAATTAGAAATTACATACCGTGTTAGGCATGATATAAGAGGGCCAAGGACGGTAAATCAACGACGGCAGCTTGCAATCCTACTTCACTTGTATAGCTGAATTATCTGTGTGTGACAATACGACAGCAAGCCCTGGTTCCCCCACTCGCCCCCAATCCCACTCTGCTTCCAGCCAGACATGTAGCCATTTGGGTTGGGTGATTCAGCGCTATTGATCCATACTGTTCCAACTTCGAGTTTCCGTGCAATCCGCTCCGCAGCGCCAATATCGTCGGACCACACGCAGGCCGCTAAGCCAGTATCTGTTCCATTGACCTTCGAAATCACTTCATCCTCAGTAGACCACTTTGTAAGCGGAATGATAGGACCAAACTGCTCCATTCGGATGATGCGAGAATCATGCGGTGGTCGGTCCACAACCACGGGTGCAATGAAGAGCCCTGGCTGCTCGTCGGTATTTCCCCCACATAGTAAAGTATAGTTGTTTTCCTTGCAATCCCAGATAAGATCTTTGACCACTTTGTACTGTAACTCATTCTGAATGGGACTGAACAGAGGCGACTCGTCACCAGAAATGTCGATTTTGATGTTCTTAACTGCCTCCATGAAGGCGTCTCGGAATTTCTCGAAAACAGCCTGATGCACATAAATCCTTTTTGTAGCAACGCACATTTGGCCCGAATGGAAAAATGATCCGGCAGCAACCTTAGGAGCAACGGTTTTGACATCAACGTCGGGACAGATGATACTTGCATCGTTTCCACCGAGCTCGAGTGTGACTCGTTTCAGTGTCTTGGCCGCGTTTTCCGCTACTTTTTTTCCAGTCGTAATGGATCCGGTGAAACTAATTTTGTCGATCCCTGGATGAAGGGTAATGAGTCTTCCTACACCGTTGTCTCCGTTGAGCGCCTGGAGTACACCCTGCGGAAGCACGGATGTCGCAAGCTCAGCGAATTTCAAAGTTGCACATGGGGTGAATGGTGATGGTTTGACAATGATGCAATTGCCCATCACAAGCGCTGCAGCAATCTTGCCGGCGGCTAACACAAGAGGAAAATTCCAAGGGCAAATCGCACCCACCACTCCTATGGGATGATGGGTAGACACGATCTTGAGTTTATCATTTTCGTATTCCACTTTGTCGGGCAATGATTGGGATGCTGGACCAGTCAGTCTTTCCAGCCTGACAATATTTCTGGATGTAGATTTACGATACCATTAAATCTGATAAACGCCAAAGTATCATCGATCTCTATATTTGCGAGGAGGCTCTAAGAAGCTGCTTAGCAATATTTTCAACATTCACAATTTGGAGGGACTTTGTTACGGATTTTCCGGTCTCTGCTGCCAGAGGGGCATGTATTTCACCTCTTCGCTGTTCGAGTTCATCGGCTAGCTTAAGTAGATAAGTCTGTCTTGTCTCGACAGACAACAGCTTCCATGATTCAAATGACGCCCTAGCAGCTTCAACTGCATCGTTAAGGTCCGTCTCATTTGCGATTGTCACCTCCCAGAGGGCTTCATTCGTCCTAGGGTTCGTGACTGTGACAGAATCTCGGGCCCGTCTCTCCGAGTTGATAATATTGTAGAACATTTTGAAATCCGAGAAAAAGACAACCCAATCTGTGAACTGAATACAGCCCACAGCTGATTAGCTGATTTAAATACCGAAGGTCAGTTGTGGGTCAACGGGTTTCTCCCACATCCGTGACGGGATTCCTACATCATTTGGGAAATATACCCGTGTGGGGAAATGCCGACGTATATTCGAAGGTCACAAATCCTATTTATTTTCATATGAAGTGAAGAATAAGTTAGCCTCTGCTCCTAAATTAAGTCAAATTTGCCGTTGGATGCTAAACATTCCGACTGTCAACTAATTATCATTACCCATAATCCCTCACAAACTTCCAAGTTACAATGAGCTGTGAAAAACAAAGAGCACCATCAGACCAAGTGGTCGCAGCCCTTCAAAATGTAAGAAACTCTGTTCTCGCGATGAGACCATATTGTCTCTGACAAAATGCTCTTTTTTAGCAAGGTCCCAAGTTCTCTTTCGAGATACAGAAACTCCCGATCCCAACCATCAAGCCTCAAGAAGTTCTCGTCGAATTAGAAGTTACTGGTGTCTGTGGGACTGACCTTTCACTTGCTCATGGCTACCTTGGCCCATGTCAAACGATTCTAGGCCATGAGGGAGTAGGTCGCATCGCCGCCGTAGGCTCTTTGTGTAAAAGCCAGGCAGCTACGGTAGGCCGTCTGGTCGGTGTTGGCTGGATTCGTGATGCATGTGGATTTTGCCACGTATGTGACAATATGAAAGACGAGACGCGATGTCTAAAGCAAGTTTTCAGTGGGCGTGATGTGCCGGGTACCCTGGCTAGGTATACCGTTGTTCCGGAGAGGTATATCACGCCTCTGCCCGATGGAGTCCCTAGCGAGATGCTAGCGCCAATAATGTGTGCCGGTGTCACAGCCTATAAAGCAATTAAGGTGGCAAACCTCGCAGCGGGCTCGTGGGTTGGTATTTCTGGCGCTGCAGGTGGGGTAGGCTCGTTGGCATTATCATATGCAAAACATATGGGCTATCGACCTATCGCAATCGACGGAGGAGAGAAAGGAAGACTCATTTGCATGGATGCAGGAGCAGAGATATATTTGAATTTCGAAAAGGAGGATAACCTAAGGAGTGCCGTGCTCCTACAAACGGAGGGCAAGCTTTGTTCTGCGATCATCGTGTGTGCTGGAGCTGCAGCGGCCTACGAAGAGGCTTTGAGCTGTCTGGATTACCACGGAACTCTGGTCGCAGTAGGCATCCCCCCACCCACTTCAAAGATATCCCTTCACCCCCTTTCTTTGATCGACTATGGGATTCGGATCATCGGGAGCATCACGGGCGACCGCGTGGATATCGCAGAGGCTGCAGAATTTGTTCGCAAGGGTTTGGTGAAGCCAAGGGTCACCGAAGTTGGAATTCACGAACTAGACAAGTATGTTGGACGCGTGAACGAACTGGACGGGAAGCTTGTGGTGCGACTGGGCGCAAAAGTTGGACGAAGAGACGTTGTAAGTTCTATGTGAGAGCTTCACACTCATCGATTAGCCAATGAATATATTGTTCTGCGCTTAAGAGGCTTACTTAATAGCTTGTTGTGTAGACATCCTGGGGGTAAGGGTTGTTACGGGATGTAACGTAAACCCGAAAACCCATTGAGAAGATCACTGCAGGCTATCTGTAGGATGATTTTTGTTGCTATCACATCATACCTGGTTATACATATGTACACAGAGGGCTCCTTGGTATGTATACAGCTTATATTTTTCTTGCTTTTGTATAATGTACACCGTAGAATGATAAGCCCGACATGTCCAGTCTGCGTGATCTTTCCCATTCCTGTGAGACGTTCTATTATCAAACTAGCGCTAGAACTAGCACTGTAACTGGTACTGGCTGTAGATATGGTGCTCTCGTAGGATTAGAATTATTGGAGGATCGGTACAGCGAGAAGGATTGGGTGTTCCTGTATTCTGCACAGGCTACTCGGCGTAACGAATATTCGGGGGGTTGAAAGTATCCGTTGTTGAGCGAAGCCCTTGATGAAACTTCGCAGATCAGCACGTCAAGTTGATGAAACCCCGAGCGTTGACAGGTTAGTCCATAAAAGATCTGAGCAGTTGTGCACGAAATAATGGCGTCGTCAAAGATGGCGGCAGCGAGAGCTCCTCCCCTCCGTAGCTAAGCCCGATGGTCGGTGGACTGCTGGCCCGGTTGTCTGGGTAGATGTCAAAGCGCTTCTAGGGGAATAAGTTGATGACAATGAATCAGCAAGCCATCATAACTTCATAGCATGAGAGGATGGAGGAGAGTCAGTGATATGGATGACGATGGGAAGAAATTGTCTCTGGAAAGTAATTCCACAACACCTTGGAGGTAGCCTGAGACCGAACGCTCATTCAACGACTATGCCAGGCTTGGCCCAAAGGAAGCCTTGTTTGGGACCAAATAGGTGACCAACATGGGATTGCAATAATGAACGAGCACACACTAGCTTCATCAATTCTTCGCTGGAGCAAACCAATATCCTTACATACCTACAAGCAGAACACAGCGCCTGACTTCTTGACCTTGAGTCGAAAGTTTGCGAGTGAACGGGAGGACCCCGTGGGGAAACTAGTCCACATAGTGGAACCTCCTTCGCAAGGATCTCGATATATAGTTTCAAACTATCAGACTACCGTGGAGCTTTAGTAGTTCCTACTTTCCTTTCCGAGTCACCGAGCCCTGCGCGTGGCGTCAGTACGCTCTGCCCGGCGGAGAATGTCCACAGCCCAGCGGTAAACCCCCACACCACCGGCTATAGGCCACGAAAAATGACATAACACACCACCATAGGAGGTTATCATAGCGGTTTTGCCGCGGTATAATCAACTGCGGAGATTGCTAGTTGGGACTCGGGATACAGAACTAAAACAACCCCATGGGCGGAGCAAGTGATTAAACAGTTCTTTCAAATAGTCCCCATAGTCTCGCTCATTCTCTTCTTCCATCTTCTCTTCAACTCTCTCTTCACCATCTCGATAGGACTTTAGTCGCCCCCCTCCGGCAAAATGGCCAAATCCCCCCCATAGGGCCAACCGCCAAAGTTGACGAACGGAGATTTCAATGAATTTATCCAAGAGGTCATTGAAATTGTCGGCACGGAAAATGTTGAAGTCATAACCTCGAAGGATCAGATTGAGGATGGTTCTTACATGAACCCTAGACATACACACGATCCCCATCATATCATGGAACAGGACTACTTTCTTGCCTCGGCAATTGTTGCTCCTCGTAATGTCGCGGATTCTCAGTATGCAGTCCCCGAGACGGCCTGGAATAAAGACTCTGAGAGGAAACGCTGACTCCTTCGGACAGAGCTATCGTGCGACTTGCCAACACAATCTCATTTCCTCTTTGGCCTATCTCCATCGGAAGAAACTCTGGATATGGTGGTGCTGCACCACGGGTCAGTGGTAGTATCGTGATGGACATGGGAAAAAACCTGAATAAGGTCCTGGAAATCAACGAGGAAGGCGCATATTGCCTAGTGGAGCCTGGTAAGTACTGGGAGCTTTGAATTCTGTTTGGAGAATTACTTTTCTAATTTGGGACGGGAAGGTGTAACATTTCATGATCTATATGACTATCTTATCGAAAACAATCTTCGGGATAAACTTTGGATGAATGTACCAGATCTCGGTGGTGGTTCTGTTCTCGGAAATGCTACCGAGCGAGGAGTGGGCTACACGCCCTACGGAGGTTGGTCTCGCCCATGTTGAAGCAACACCCAGTCGCGAGCTGTCATTGTACTTACTTGGATGATGCATTGTGGTATGGAGATAGGGCTACCAAATGGAGAACTCCTTTGAGCTGGCATGGGAGCTCTCCCAGACCCTAAACGGCCCGAGACAATGGGCCTGAGGCCAGAAGACCAGCCCTGGAACAAAACTGCCCACCTTTTCCCTTACGGATTTGGTCCATATATTGATGGACTATTCAGTCAGTCTAACATGGGAATCGTGACAAAGCTCGGCATGTGGTTAATGCCAAAACCGGGGGGGGATACCAATCCTACTTGATCACATTTCCCAAAGACGACGACCTAAAGCAAGCAGCCGATATCATTCGGCCCCTTCGCCTGAATATGGCGCTGCAGAACGTGCCCACTATTCGTCACATTCTATTGGATGCAGCAGTGCTTGGAAATCAGGCATCGTATTCATCAAAGACCGAGCCTCTATCCGACGAGGACTTGGACAAAAGCGCAAAGCAGCTCAATCTAGGGCGGTGGATCTTTTACGGCGCTCTTTACGTGAGTTTTATTCTCGGTCCGTTAATACCTCCTAGGGACCTGAGCAGATTCGCAATGCTCTCTGGGAGACAGTTAAAGAAGCCTTTGCGGTTATCCCAGGTGTTAAGTTTAATTTCCGGAAGATACCGCCGATAACTCGATTCTTCTTGTCCGTGACAAAACCATGCAAGGTATCCCAACCTACGATGAGCTCAAATGGATTGACTGGGTCCCCAATGGCGCCCATCTGTTCTTCTCTTCTATTGCAAAGGTAGCAGGCGAGGATGCAATGTTGCAGTACGGAATTACCAGGCAAATATGCCAAGAGGCTGGCATAGACTTCATCCGGACCTTCACGGTCGGCATGAGAGAGATGCGTGAGTTAGCCCTGGGACCCTCTGAGAGTCTTCCTAGTATTGCTTGGCATACCTAATTTTCGAGTTACCTTTTAGATCATATCGTGTGTATTGTGTTCAACAAAAAGGATCTCAAGCAAAAGAAAAAGGTTCAGGGGCTCATTAGGACGCTTATTGACGACTGTGCAGCCAACGGGTGGGGCGAGTATCGAACCGATCTGGCTGTCATGGACCAAATAATGGGAACCTATAACTGGAACAACAGCAGTTTTCTGAAATTCAACGAGGTTATCAAAAACGCAATCGATCCTAATGGCATTATTGCTCCTGGAAAGTCGGGCGTTTGGCCCACCAAGTACAGTCAAGTCGGCTGGAAACTGTGACTACGACGAGACTCAACTTTAGGGATCTGTGATCGGCAGCCATGTCGACATTCAGGGGTGACGGGATTTACCGGTAGAATGCTTGGGCATTCATTGCCCAGAGCTCTCTTGGGGGGCCACTCACTATTCTTGTGGTAGACCTGTTCTCACTTCCCTTAACTAGAACAAGCTGTTTTTCTAGTCTTCAATATCAGCCAACATAGTACATGCAATAGTCAGCAAACGTGACAGCCACGCATCTCCCACAAATATGTGAATACTAGCGTATATAATTGTACCATATTCAGCTCCAACTCATTACTGGGATGGTTAAAACCATCTCATGACGTAACTACTAAAGAAATATAAAACATACGAACTCCCACATGGAAGGTCAACCCTGGAGAGAAACCGAGTCAGAAATTGACCAGCCATTGCGCCTGCATGGACCCCCAAAAATTGGCTTGTGCTTACTGCGGCTATGCCATTTTGTAGAAAACCCGTCGAACTGCAAGCAGCCTCATACGGCTCAGGATTCATCTTAGTGGCTTGGCTCTGTTCCTAGAGTCAAGTTAATCCAAGCATGACTACATGGAACAGGCCCAGCCATTTCAAATCTGTGCGTATACCGGAGCAAAGCCAATTGTAGTAAATTCTTGAACCTATTTAGCCTGATGCATGGGTTGCAAGTGTTCTGGTTAGCTTATAATATGAAACGTTTAGGGCCAAACAGGCGACAAGGTTACACAAGGTTACCAAGCCCGGTACTTTGAGGTCCGTAGTCTTGTTCTTGTCATCTTTATAATGTTCTTAATAATTTTCTAGCAAGACACAATTGAGTCGGCCGACAATAGATATGGCCTATAGTGCTAGAGGATTGGAAGGGGAGGGAAATAATCATAGAAAGAAATCTTAATGGGGAAACTCCGAGATTGTAGATCATTAACGCACTGACTAGGCTTGCAGATCATCTGCACTGACTCGACTCCGTCTCGCCAAGCATTACTAGTCTAACTAGTCTGACGCACATGCAATACCTCAATTGCAGTTAAGTACATGAATCGTTCTTAACCGCTGTAGTCCAGGTGTTACCCGTAATGTCGTGGAAATCACAGATGGGAAGCTGCACCTTCATGAATGTTTACACTTTGGAGCCCTGGATGAACAAACTGACGAGTCATATGGTTCTATTCATGGGACTGGCACATATGTGAATAGCTGCAGGTTTAAACCCATTTCCAAGGTCTAACTTGGTCTCGGGCCACACTGCGAAAGAAACACCGGACATTTGAAACTCCTTGCCTGAAAGGATGGTGTCAGCATCCCCACGTGTATTGATATATGGCATCTGGTACACTGTTAGGGTCACGATTATTAACTTGAAGTTGGAGCGACCTAAGCAACATAGTATGTAGCAGCATGGTCCAAATTGAAAGAGTGCAAATCGGCGAAGCCCGTTTGGTGCTTCTAGTTGGTTTAGAACAACTGTATTGGACCTCTGAGATGCCAAAAACAAGAAAAGTGCAGTGTGAAGAGCACTTTGAGAGATATAAAGTCAATTTCAGGCTTCATGACATCCCACTGAATTTTGTACGCCATGGTGAACTTTAAAATGGTTCAGTAAAGTCCACGGATATGGGGTGACATCGCATATAATGCGTCCAAAAGTAGGGTAACACCGCATATAAAGCATCCCAATACAGGTCGGCCCTCCATAGTTATCCTGAACTAATTGACAGTCGAAGCAGATCCTTTACATATATATTCTTGCAAGCACAAGCGGTCGTATATTCGTGTGATTACGCAGCAGCGCCCGGCGTGGCCTTGTACTTTCAGAATGCTATGCGCCTCATGTGGCTTTTCAACGTCGACACAAGATTCCAGCGCCCCTAGAGTAAAGGCAGCGGTGGCGGATCGCCGCCGTGAGCAGAATCGTCGGGCACAGAAGCGATTCAGACGTTAGTCAAAACGATTCGTTACAAAAAGTTGATAATATTGACATTTGGTTCGCTCGCGAGTAGAGAAGAATCGTGAACGAAAAGCCACCCCAGACCAAGACCAATCGCATCCACAAAACGGCGGCTCAGATGCCCTGGACTGCACTAGTCCAATAGCCTTCAATGCATTGGCACCACTCACACCACCCATTACAATGTGTACCAGTCACAGGCAGTTATCGATAGGCCGCTACGACGAAGGTCAAGGAGACAATACGATGGATTATGACTTCCTTTTGGATCCCAGCGATCGCTGCGGAATGAACAAAGGCGCGGAAGACTTCTGGACAACGGCACTGAAACAGACAGGTCCCTTTGCTGCTGCTATTGCCCTTGTTCCCCCTTCGGAGTTGAAAGACAGCCTAGGATATCACACAACAATGAGCCCGGGTGATTCTGTCAATAGCAACAAAAGTGGCAGAGTATCAGCAGGACCGACTGTGCTTCATCAAGCAGTGCAGACTGGAAATAGCAAAGTTGTATGCCTTTTACTTGAGCATAACGCAGATTGCAACTCGAAGGACAACGCTGGTCTGACACCTCTGTTGTGTGCGGTAATTGGAGGCTATGAGGAAATAGTAGAGCTATTGCTATCACATGGGGCCGATATAGAACATGTTGATAATGCTCATTGGTCGGCCCTTCACTGGGCTGTGTTCCATAATCGTCACAGGATACTGGAGCGGCTTCTGAACGGCTGCGGTGGGGATACTTCGTTGCTCAACATACGAAACAAGGACGGGCAAACACCGCTATCAGTCGCGGTTGGTGCGGGAAGCGAGGTGGCTGTGAAGCTGTTACTAGAGTTTGGGGCCACAGTGAACGTAGAGTGAGGGGGTATATTTGTATCTAGAAATATAGAAAACCATCGCCACTATCATAATGAAATACATATCCTCTTTTGAGCCAGGCCTAAAATCGTTTCATTCATTTTTCCAGGGCTTCTATGCACTCCATGTAATTTGGCTATTTCGAACACACTTATAGGCCTCGGGCCTTGACCTTAACCTTAACGCCACTCTGCTTATTTAAGAAGTAGTCATGGGTCGTCCAGCTCTTACTCGAGTCCACTAAAGCAAAATCAAATTTGCGAATCAACAGTGGTACGACTTTGTATGTCTCGCTAAGAGCAACCTGAGTTGACGTTAGCGCTCATACTCTACCTCGTGAGTTAGTTAAACTAGTCGCGGAATAGACTCGCCTGCTTGCCAATGCCAGTTCTAGTGGCCACCCCAAATACCAGGTTATTGCATCTTTCCATGTTGGAATCAGTGCGTTCGATCCATCTTCCTGGACGGAAAGTATTGGCATCTCGGCCGTATACGCCCTCACCTCATCCTACGACGGCCGCGTTCATACCGACTTTCCATCCTGGCGGGATGTACATTCCTGATAGTTCAATCCCAGTTTGATCCACCACTCGAGGCATAGTGAATCCCACGCCAGGATGTAATCGCAATGCTTCTTTGATCGTTGCCTTGAAAAGTGGGAGTTGGACGGCTTCGGAATAAATGGGAAATTCGGATAGTTTCCCGCTCCCCATGGCTTCGTCAACCTCCGTTCGAACCTCTTCATATATAGAACGATTATTTGCGAGGTAATAGAAGACTGCTTGCAGTCCAATCATAGTTGCGCCCGCACCTGCTGTCCTACCAAATCAAGCGTGTCAGCAGATTGTATGTGCGTGGGTAATTTATGCAGTGATAACTCACAGAGCCGCAAAGGCCTCGTTCTTGACGTCCTCGATGCCGAAGTCTAATTTCTCCCCTTTGAAATCGACAATGTTCAGCAGGTTATGTAAAAGACCCTTTATCTCCTGTTTTCCATGAGATGCAATATCGGAAACTCTGTTATCCACACTCGTGTGTGCCGTTTCGATAATGTGATTCATTCCTTTGAGGCCTTTACGTGCGGTAGAGCTGAGCGTAAATAAGCCCATAATCAACCCACGGACTAGAGGAGACGAAACCGCCGCCATGGTTAGGACGGGAGAATTGAATGCATGGCGCGCATGCGCTGAAGCGCTGCCGTCTCCTCTGCCGAAAGGTTTCCAAGCAGTTGATCTTACTCAGGTGTACCTTCGCCTCCACAATATTGGTCAACTTCTTTTGCAGCCCCGTGTCGTGCAGGTCATTGAGCGCATTGGGGCAGAGGTTGATGGTTTCGGTGATCGACTCGCCCTTAGCCGTTGGGGCCGTTTCCTTGTCTGCGGCTCCTTGGATTACTGTCGGAATTTGCAACTGTTAGAATCATGATATGGAAGTTATATGGATGGGAAAAACAGCGAAAGTTAACGCAGGGCACTTGGTGATCTCACCTGGCCTGAGGACCGCGAATGCTTGATCAAAGCCTTCCTCATTAAGGTCGGAGAGGATCGGCTCTTCTTGCATCCGGATTTGTTTGAGGGCAGCCATCAACACAACAAGGAATGACGTGTAACCTTCGTCAAACTTTTCGGCGAACCACTTGGAGGCATCGAATTCGTTGCAATCCCCCCGGATGCATGCATTGATGGACGTCGCCGCTGCTAGCGCACTCGAGAGGGCTAGCTCGAGAGGGCTAGATGATGACCGGACGAGAAAAAGGGATCAATGAAACACCCAGCATCGCCGAGAATACGGAAATTTGGACGGGCATAAGCGCTAGCACTGTAGGAGTAGTCTGTCGCTTGTCTGATACCAGAAGTCAGTTCAGCCGGCTCCAAATATGAAGAAATTGTAGGGCAGAGTGCAACCAAGCTCGCCAGGGTTTGAGCCTCCGTTGTCCCTTCTGGAAAGGCCTTCCTCTTGGCAAGAAAACTGTCTCTTCGAAAAACAGCCCCGATGGATACTGTGCCGTTATGTAAAGGTAACATCCACACCCAGCCTGACCCATCTGCATATGTTCATACATGATCATCCGGTCAGCGACAAGCGAGCAATATTTGCGTATAATTGACGGACTCACCTCTCATGCCTTCGGATATAGGCTGATTTTCGCGATCTGTTCCTGGACTTGGCGGAATATTACCCTTGAAGAATCCCCAGATAGAAATATTTCTGAAGCTCTCGTTGAACTTGCGATTCTTGAGGTACTTGGTTGACAGAATACCGACTCGACCCGTCGCATCCACCAAATAATCGAACGAGATGGTACCGGAGCAACCATCTTTCGTCTTCCATTCGGCCGAAACAGGCCGTCCAGGGTTAGCCAATTTGTGTTGGCTGGTGAACATACCGTTCTCATAAGGCTCGAAATTCACCGACTTCAACGAGACATTCTCGAAGGCCTTTGCACCACTCTTTGCGGCATGGCGAAAAAGAATCTCATTCGATTCCAATCTCACCACGTTCCAGGAATACCCGTTAGGACCGTTGGCCCGGATAAAGTCGGTGTCTGTGAGCGCATTCCATTAGAACCTCGCTCCACACATCATCGAGGTCAATACGCTCTACTAACATCCCGCACTCTTTGCATTGAGCTTGAAAAATGCCCCGAGCTGCATCCACAGTAAGCCTATCTGAACTTGCACGGGATATATACATTCTCTCTTTGTCCACTTGATGGCCATCCCACCTTCTTTTGGAATCCATGCTACTCGAAAGTATCTTCCAGGTCGATAAAACGAAGTAGATATCTCATTTAAGGGAGCAGACTATCTCCAATGTGGTATCTACGCAAGTCAGTTACTCCGCGCGTAATACGTGAGGCCTATCAGACAGATCCATACCGGGGGTGACTATCTGCTTCGAGCAAGACAACATCAACACCCTCACGTGCGAGAGCAGCGGCGGTATAAGAACCACCAGGACCACCACCTGCTACGAGAACGGTACAAGATTGAGGAATCGCCATCTTCTTCGATATACAATAATATGAATACTGAATATTCTATCTAATCGAAGTTGGGTGTGGAACCGGAACCTATAAAGAAAGCTATAGAGCCCTCCGGATGTGGGTGTTTATTGCGCTCTAGGTGATTGCCCAGGTGTTTGTATTACATCAGTCAGCATTATGCTTACATGGGATTATTGCTGCTTATCCAAGATTATTCATGCTTATTTTCATGATTTTCTGGAAATATTCCAACAGAGAAATGATCAATACTGTTTATCTCAATCTTTGTCTCATGGTGGCAGTCATCGCTCAAGAACAATCGGTAGCAAAAAGGGTTTGTAGTCGTTAGAATAAGCCCGGCTTATGCAGCCTAATTGGGAACAGCAATGTAACCAGGTGACGATACTACTAGTAAGGTCAACTTACTATAAATCCAAGCCACGATCCATCTTATTTTACGGTCAAGGAAATTGACGTATATGGTCAATAAAATTCCTGATTTGGAACTCCTTTATACAGCAGCTCGAGACGTGTCGACCTTCACATATTGGCATGATTATTCAGGATAACAGATAGCAACGAGGTTGGTCATAATTGGCATCTATTAATCTGGTAAACTTTCTGGGGATATTTGCTCCGATAGACAAGGTACGTGGCAGCACTTTGTAAAAGGCTCTATTAATACACGCAAAGCACACAACAGGCCAAAGGTCTGCACACAGAGCGCCAGGAAACTCCAGGCCTCTATATCCGACAACCTGAGTCGCAGAATGACACACCTCTCCCTCACTAGGGTGACCAGCCACCATTGTAGATACAACACCGAGATACTGGCTCCTAGCCAGACACTTCAAGGATCTACGGGCGCTCATGCAGCGCCACCAGCCGCCTTCTTCATCTCACCACCGTTGATCTTCTTCCAGCTGCCAAAGCATCCAATGACAGTGGCAAAACCGTAGGCGGCGACTGTAATTACAAAGACAGCTTTTAGACCAACCATGTAGGCATCAATGAGGGTGGTAACTTGCGAGGCCGTAAAAACTTCGCGGACTTGTGTTGCACCGGTCCCAATCACTACCGCCGGGTCGAGCTCGGGGAGTTTTCTGATAACCGTTTCAATCAGCTTATTGTTGAAGACGCATTGTGCTGCTGAGAGAAAGAAGGCTCCGCCGACGGTCGTGAAGACTAGCACTAGTGTTAGCAGACAGCTCGTGTAGGCTACAGTAGATTTAGGACTCACAGTTAACGATAGCTGTGGCCTGCGACATGTCCTCTGGTGAGGCATGGACTTGCGCGTTTGACATGGCAATCTGGAATGTCCAGCCCGAGCTGAAACCAACAAGAATCTGATAACCAATCCACTTGCCAGTAGATGTTCCGATATCAAAAGTATAGAAGAGGCCACAGCCGACGGTTCCCAAAACGCCACCTATGATCCAAAACAGAGGTACGATGCCAATTTTGGACAGCGCGAATCCCTGTACGACGGCAGCGAGGGCTAGGGGGATGATGAGTGCGAGCATTTTAACGCCAGATCCGATTGGACTGCTGTTGTATACGCTCTGGAAATAGATTGGAAGAAAGTAAAGGATGATGAAGTAGGCGCCGCCGAAGAAGAACATGAACATGGACCCGACGGAAATGTATCGTTTCATGAACTACATCGACCTCGCTATTAGTTCATGTCAGATCAGGATAGGACTTGCATCATAGCTTACCAGTCGTGGAACAATCATTGCACGTTCCTTCTGGTATATTTCCCAAGCCACAAAGGCCAGAGCCATCACAAAAGCGCCGACTAGCAGTCCTATAACCTCGCTACTCTTCCACGAATGTGTTTGGCCGCCATACTGCAGCGCCAGCAGAAATGAAACGATCAGCCCCATCATAAGGGCCCCACCAACGAGGTCCATTTGCAAGAACTTCTCTTTGGGTGTAGCCTTGGCCGGAGCTGCACTACTTGGGGTCTTGAAGAGAAGGAAGATCGTCCCGGTAGCAAGTCCTCCGATGGGCAGATTGATGTAGAAGCACTATTCATTAGTCAGTGACAGCCCTAATATTCGAACGTCTCGCAACTTACCCAGCGCCATGACACTTTGTCAGTGAAAGCGCCGCCGATGAGCGGTCCTAAGACCGCGGCGATGCCATAGGTTGCTCCGGTAAAGCCCAAAAGCTGTGGGCGCTTCTCAGGAGGTGCAGCGAACCCGATAATCGTGAAGATTCCCACACAAACTCCGGCCCCACCGAAGCCGGCGATAGCCCTGCCGACTATGAGAGTTGTAGGGTCTTTCGCCACGGCACAGATGAGACTGCCCACTTCAAAACTGAATACGGCAACGAGAAACCAGGGCTTGATCGGAAAGTACTTGTAGAACTTTCCCCAGGTTGATTGAAAGCCTGTAACAATTAGTTATGTTGTATCGAGGTGATGCGAAGAAAGGAGCCACTCTGCGTGAAAGGTCAACATGCCATCCCGAAACGAATGGGTCCATATAACTAACCACTGCCATAAGTCATCAAATAGGCTGCCCCATACCACGACACTTTGTTCAGGTCATGGAATTCGTCCGTTATCTTGGGAATGGCCGTGCCGAGGATGGTCTGTTGATAGATAGCCTTGGTCAGCTAGTGTGGTGTATCGCGAAACAAGTGACTGACGTTGTCAAGTGCCACCAAAAACATGCCCAGCATGAGTGAAACCATAACAGCAGCTAGGCGGGCACCATGCGGATATTCATCAGTCGGACGAGCTTTCGCATCGTGGTTAGGGATATCGGTGTCGCTGCGCTCTGAAGTTGACACAAGGGTAGACGAGCGCTGCGAAGGGTCATCGGCCGTCGCCTGCTTATCGGTGTCGATAGTTTGCTTCTCCATTGTTGACCAAGTTTGCAAACTGGTGATATGACAAGGATGAAGGCTGTTGATTGCCCCTTTTCACATTACGAAGTAAGTAGCTTGTTTATGTATGTCGATTTCGGACGAGCTCTAGCTGCAACAAACAAACCTAGACAGACGTGTCGCATCTCCGAGCCCAAACAAGGGAGTTAGACAAGGGGTATCACTACTTCGGCCGAATCAAGCTCGGCCCCAGAATCTTGTTCTACATTGCTAAGGAGACGTATCTGATTAGTAGTATTCATATATTGTATTAGTCTCAAGGAAAAGACACCCAGACCCTTGAAAAGGAGTCAAGTCTCCAAGATATTAGCAAAGAAGTAACATTGTGTCACGATTTGGACGTTCTCTGCCTATCTCGGCTGAATCGTCCGAAGGGGTCATTCTAGAGTTCGGAGGTTCGGGGGTTCGGACGAATGCCCATTACCTAATCAGCAGGAATGTGCCCAGGTTGCTGCAAAGGATTAAAAAAATAAAAACATACAACAGTGAGGATTCGCTGGTGGTCACCCACCCAACTACTAACTCACCGGCGTGTGGCTTAAGTACGGCTGAGCGGACGGGAAGCCCTGTTTTCCACACCCTATGGTCGTATGTATAAGATATCTTACCGGAGAGAGTTATAGAACGTAAATTGTTAGGTACTAGATTAGGGGTGAATGAGGGTTGCGGTCACTACCTATCAACCACCGTACTAACCCTCTTAGTTACTTCTTAGTGCTATAATTTAGACTAGTTCTAATGGATTAAATAAAAAGTTCTATTATAAACAAACGAGAAATACTCTTAAGTGTCCTTCAAGATCATATATCGCGTATTAAATAAGGATTGGTCTTTAACCCTAAAAAATATTCTACGTTTCCTTTATTTTAATATAGACTCTCTGTGGAATATTTTAGTATCAGACCTAAATCTTTATTTATTATGTTCTATATAGTCAAATTTTGTTTTCTCTATCACTATTAAATATCCTCTGTCTTTATCCGTAGTATATATATAGAGAGAGCTAGGCCCTAGTTTGTTAAAGTCCTAATAATTTTCCCTCCTATTATTATCTTCTTGATTTTATGATATTACTTAGGACTATGGCAAACTTATAATCTAAGTAGGAATCCGGTTTATATAATATCCTCCTCGCGTCTTAATATACTACAGCTAAGTTTGCCACTACCTACACGCTATATATTTGTTATCACAATTTCTCTTCGAGTTTTCCTTTCTCTTGCTATCTCTCTATTCATTATCATCTTTATCTATCTTCTTAGATACATCACTTCCTATCATCTATATAAACCATCCCTCTACCAAAGTGACATTCCTATTGACTTCCTTTGCTTTTCTCTTACTACCTTACTTTTACGCTGGCCGAATTATTGCTTCAGCTTCCCCTTATATTCAAAGATAAATGTCATTCAACGGCCGCCTTGGTGTCGTCCCAATCTTGGTAAGTAACAAGTAACTGCCATCTTTGATGAAACCTCAGATCTCGCTGATATCTAGCCCCTTAACGTAAAGCAAGCTGAACGAACGTGCCCCGGGCCCCCACAGGGTGGGCCCCTGAGGTCCGTCCCGAGGTCGCGCGACCGAGAAAACTAAATCTGGAGCCCTTGTCATCTATACAACAAAAAGTGCCTCGGGCATACAAATCATCTCGGTCCAAACTTCTTGGGGATCTACAATTTTCAGTACTCGGTCAAAGGCTCGGACCTCTTCCCACGATCGTTGCGACAGCCTACCGAATGATGAATTCTCCCTCGGACGAACGCGCGACGAAGCGCAGAAAGGTTCGCAAAGGTACACACAGCTGCTGGGAGTGCAGGAGGAGAAAAGTCAAGTGTACTTTTTCGTCGCCGGATGATGGGATCTGCATCACTTGCCATCGTCGAGGCACGACATGTATCAACCAAGTAATCTTGGACGGACCGGAAATGGCTGATAGCGATACGGGAGATGCTGAGCAAGACACCTCTATTAATACACGGCTAGTGAGCGAGAGTGGTGTCCGTTCTCAGCAAGATGTTGCTGTTGGCTGTTTACCACCGACGCCCTTTGCAATACATACAACACCGGCATCGTCAGTGCATGACAAAGTTAGTCAGCATCTTCACATACGTGGGTATTTACTAATTATATGAAAGCAAAAGAGTACACTGAGTCTCCCACAGACTGAGAAACTACCAAGCCAACATGCGACACCTCGGTTCCCTTCAACGCCAGTGTCCTGTCATGGCTCTATGTCGGAGGCTTCCGCATATCCCAACATCACTCAAGCTCTACGAAATTCTCTCCCTCCTCAGAAAGACATCGAAATTCTCATTGAAAACCTCAGCGGCATGTCCATCCTTTGCTATCAATCCAGCTTCAAGCTTTGCAACTCGTGGCTGAGCGAAATGGCCAAAGAACAAATACCAGTAGCCAATCTCCTATATTCGGAAAGTCACCCAGTCTTGTTGGCAAGACAAATGCTGCTTTTCGCAGTAGGTTTGCAACACCTGTCTCCCAAAAAAGTGATACATGGCCTCAGCAAGCATCATTGCGCCATCATGGAGCAGCTAGCAGACTCAGCCATCAAGCTGGTGAATATGAATGACGTCTTGCTGGGCACGTTGGAAGGCCTCGAGAACCTCATCCTTGAAGGCTTCTATCATATAGATGGTGGCAACATCCGACGATCCTGGATTACAATGCGCCGTGCTGTCATGACAGCCCAGCTATTGGGCTTGCATCGACCAGGTCACTATCGCTTCAAAATTGTCAACCAGCAGAACGATCTGGAACCTGCGGTCATGTGGTCCTGTGTGGTTTCCACGGAGCAATTTCTATGTTTGCTACTGGGTCTTCCCACAAGCACCAGCAGTGCGAGTTTCACAATCCCAAGAGCGACGAGCGCTTGTGTTGAGAGCGGCAACTTGCCTGTACTCATTCCGGACGTGGTACGCAAGATTATCGAACGGAATCAGATGCACGCACCCCAGGAAGCACTTGACATGACTCAAAAGATCGATCAAGAGCTCTTGAGGGTCACCGAGCAATGGCCACCTGCGTTCTGGCGGCCATTGCAATTTGCGGGTCTCGAAGTAAACTCGGTAGATGCCTTCTGCGAAATTCGACGAGCTTGGGACCATATATTTTATTACTCTTTAGTGAACCAACTCCATTTGCCATACATGCTAAACCCAAGGCATACCTCGCAGAGAGTCTACTCGCGAATCGCCTGCGCAAGCGCCAGCCGTGAGATTTTGATCCGACAGATTGCGATCCGTACGTTCAACCCAATCACGGCCGGCTGTCGGATGAGTGATTTTGTGGCTCTGATTGCGGGTATGACACTAATGCTGGCTCACATCTTGAGCTACTGTAACAAAGGTACAGAAAACCTACTCATACACCACCGGGTTGGAGACCGGGCGACGGTGAAGCGGGCTCTTGAATGCATGGAATCCATGTTGGAGCTACATGAGGATGTCCTCACAGCTAAATGTGCTGCCCTTCTGAAGAATCTGCTGGATATTGAGGCGGGGTCTGCAGAGAGGCACTCGGATGACGGTCAAGAAGACGACCAAAACGTGTTGATAGTCAAGGTGCCGTACGTTGGTGCCATTAGGATTGCGCGAGATGGTATTTCGATTACGCCCTTGGACACGGAGCAGGAGCAAGTTTCCCATGAGGGCGTTACAATTGGGGGCTTTGGGTCTATCCATGTAGGAACACCACGCGACTCCGATCATCATACTGATGTGGTCACATCCGATGCTTCAACCTCACGACCAACCGTGCAGGCAGTGAGGCCATCATCAGCACGCAAGCACGGGGGACAGGCTGCCGAGGTCACCTCTAGAGAGGTTTTCGCATTGCCAGAAACATTTCCAGATGCTTCTGCTGGCATGGAAGAATGGCTTTTCCAAGGCCTTGACACTGCCTTCTTTGATGTGCTGATGAGCGGAGCGGGGGAGCAGCCGCTGAACGGCACTGAAAGTGAAGGATGGAATTTTACAATGTCCCCATAAATAATGATAATTAAAGATTTGTAAACTGCAAGGAGCTTTCCTGGTTTGCTCAGTTTTAAAGTGTTGATACTCGCGGTCTTGATATATATAACGCAAATGTCGTCGTCACGCTACGAAAATTTTGTAAAGTACATCCCCTTTTAAGAATCTGAATATCCACCAATCTCTCCTCTTATTCCTGCCCAAATGGACTCTACCGATATCAGCACCCAAGGCTCCATCCTTACCCGCAAGCACTGTGCATTTCGGAACAAACCTGGCCACGTGACTACACAATTCAACACCCCACTTTCCACATTCCACATCTCTTTGCATATAGACATCTACACTTGAAACTACAAATTGAAGAAAGAATAGCCCAATCAATTTCTCGCCATGGACACCAAATTAGTCTTCTACGACATTGCCATGCGCCCCCCAGTCGAAAAGAACAATAGCGCTGTAAACCCTTGGAAAACCCGTCTAGCCCTGAACTTCAAATCAGTCCCTTACTCAACCAATTGGGTCCCACTCCCCGACGTATCCAAAGTTCGGACAAGCCTCAACATCCCTGCCTGCCGCAAATTCGCCGACGGCACGGACTTCCACACTCTCCCCGTCCTGGTGGACCCCACAACATCCCGCAAACTCGGTGACTCTTTCGACATAGCAGTCTACCTACAAAAGCAATACCCAGCCGGAAACGATCTCTTCCCGCCTCAGTCTCTGGACTACGTCTTCAGCCCGGATGCCACAATTTTAATTCCGTTGTCTGAATGTGACCAGAGTGAATACCCCCAATATGCGCGCTTCAATATGAATATCGATGCTGCATTCACCACGCATGTCGCACTCATGGTTCAAGGGTTACCGTTAGACCCTGCAACTGCTGAGGTGACGAAGGCTGAGTTTGTTCGGCGGGCTGGAGTGAGCTGTTGGGAGGATTTTGCTGTTACACAAGAACAACGTGAGAAGCTTATTGCGTCCTTCCGGAATATGTTGGAAGGGCTGGCCAAGATTTTCGACGGGAATGGGCCGTTTTTACTTGGGGATCGGGCTAATTATGCGGATTTAATTGTTGGGGCTTGGCTAAGGATGGCGAGCAAGACTTTGCCTGGTGAGGAGTGGGAGTTGGTTAGAGGGTGGCATGGGGGTGTTTTTGGAAGGTTACATGATGCGTTGGAGATTTACGCGGTTGTTCATTAGGGGGCCCTTGAACTTTGGTCTTGAGACCTATAGATGCTAGATCCCACACTACTCTGTCGCCGATGAACTTGGTCTGCCTAACGTGGCGATACGAGGTTTTCTTTTGAAAATCAAGACGAATATGGGATGAGAGCGAGTTGATAGCAATGTGGAGAAATATCTGAAAGCCAACCGTGTACGTGTAGAATCCGGGAACCTGCATTGTTTCTGGCTGACAAATACTTCTACAGCGCAGCGCTGACACTGTGGTTGGTTCATCGGCTGACAAGGGGGCGAGTATGAACAGTGTTCGGCGCGGCGATCCTTCGAGGATTACGCCCATCCGTCTTAATATTACAATATTCAGCCTCTGAATAATCTTGGTATCGATTTCCGAAAGCTTGAATCGCGTATTGGTAAGCTGGATTTTCTTCATTCTTCAATCTTCCCTGGATGTGACTTACGGGAGTTCATGTGTGAGGTACAATAGAGATAAAATGGATCGAAGTCACGTCGAAGACCAGCATGGCGCGCCATGGGGTCATCGCTGGCGATCGTCCGATACTTTTATTGTCAGTACGATGGGCCTGGCATTGTTCACTGGTAAGTGATAACGCGTACGACGGAGATGGGTTCAGCATCACATTTCGCTAACGCTTATGGGTGACGCTCAGATGAACTACTTTTTGCCTTCATGATACCTTTACTACCTACTGTGCTAGAGCATCGAATCGGTCTAGAACCGTCTCTTACCCAGAGGTACACGTCCATATTTCTTATGGAGGGAGCATTTGTTTCTATAGTCTCGAGTCCAGTCATTGGGGCGATAGCCGACGCGACCTCGAACAAAAAGGCACTCTTATTGACTCTACTTATACTGGCTTTGGTCAGTACGGCCTGCTTATCACTCACAACCCAGTGTATGTTTCTTTTATTCCTTGCCGGTGATCGATCGTCGCGTCTCAAACCAAGCTGACTGTGTGTGCAGTGGTATGGCTGTTTGTTGGTCGGTTCTTCCAATGTATCACTAGCAATGCATTGTGGATAATAGGGATGGCAACCATGGTTGAGAATCTTGGAACAGAACACATGGGCAAAATCGCGGGTCTGACTTCCACAATCACAGCTGCAGGCACCACCGCCGGGCCGGTTCTCGCAGGTCTATTGTTTGAAGCGGGAGGGTACTGGTGCGCGTGGGCAGGCGCGGCTGCGTTTCTCTTGGTGGATATCATCATGCGTCTCTTCATGATAGAAAAACCTGTCAAACTTCGGGGAGTAGTGGAGAACCAGGAGGGAGAGCCTTTGCTACAAAATGACCCGCCCACAGTCGCCGGCGAACAGTCCAATCGACCAATTTCTTCAGAGGTGAACGGATGGCGTTTTCACATTTGCCTGTTCCACGAAACGCGTTTCTCCGCGGGAGTCTTTTGCGCTTACGTTTTCGCTGTACTGATTGGCTGTTTTGAAAGTACTCTAGCAGTACATGTGCGAACCGCATTTGGATGGAGAGCACTTCATGTGGGATTGTTGTTCACTTTGATCCAGGGTCCTGGCATGCTGTTCGCAGCTCCAATCGGCTGGATGAAAGACCGGATAGGATCGCGAACTCCAACAGCGGTGGGATTCTTCGGCTTAGTGCCCTTCGTCATACTCTTGGGTGTTCCTGGCAACAATCTTTTCCCTTGGGCAAAAAATGAGGCTTTGGGAAAGAGCCTCTATGTGGGTTGCATGGCAGCTATCGGATGTTTGTTGTCTCTTTTGAACGGGGCGGGCTCTATTGAGGCAACTGGTGAGTGAACCTAGACCACAGACATGTTACAAGCTAAGATCAGTTGAACCCATGTAGAAGTGATCGAAAAGCTTGAAGCGCGCGAGCCTGGTAAATTCGGTCCCAACGGGGGCTATTCTCGCGCCATAGCCGTGACTAATATGTCCTGGATGACTGGGTTGATGAGCGGTCCTCTTTTGGCGGAGGTCGTGATCGGAATTTTCGGATACTTCGAGCTGCAATGTTGTCTCGGTAGGTTGCTTTGACATCTTAAAAGGTCTCGTCTCTAATCGTCATAGGGGTCATATCTTTGATAGCGGGGTGCGTCGCTCTGTTCTTCTTGGGCTCCCGTAGCCCGAAGCCTGTAGAGCAGCCAAGCGTGTGATGTCAAAGCAAATTTATATATAGAGTTTATTTAATAGCAAGATTATGTTAGGTTAAATCATATTGGCATGAGCATGTATTCATTCTTTCTCCATGTCAGACGAAAAATATCATGGAGGGAGAAGCTGTGTGTCTCCAAGATGGGAGGCAGGACTGCTGCGTGTCTCACGCTCTTTGGCATAAAAAGTTTGTGCAAACAGTCGGATCATTCTGCGATCAGTCTTTTTTGAAGGTGTTCGTGGGACTCGTGTGCCTAGCAAAAACAACGTCGGGATCATGTAGAGCGGGAGGGATATGGCAAGAACTTCCTTGATTTGGGCAACCTTTTGACAGGCCGCATGATCTTGACTTGCGTCTTTGAGACAGAGCTCTTCCGTTTCAGAGTTCTCTGGGTGATCACTGAGGTACAAGAATGCAGCAAGACATGGATCTTCTTTGCCGTCAATGACACCGAGAAGATCTACCACAATGGCGTCTTTAGATGTGAGAGATCTTCTCGCAAGGTGCTCGACCTCAATGACATCAATTCGACACCCGTCCAGCTTTACAATTGTGTCTTTCCGTCCAATGTACTCAATCCGTCCCTCAGGGGTCCATCGTGCCAGATCTCCTGATTGATACAAGCGGGCAGATTGTCGATCTGGATGAAGCTCCTTCAACCAGCACGGTATCTCCGCAAGAAATCCAGCTGGCTTAGTGCGGTCTGATGCTTGATGATCCTGGTCAAGATAGCCCCTTGAAAGATGAGGCCCCTCGATCACAATCTCCCCGACGGCGCCAATTGGCATCAGCTTCGCCGGGCATTTTGGGTCGACAATCCAGATCGCACCACTAGACGGCCTTCCGATAGTCGCAGGCGAGCTACTAGGGTCATGTACATTGTCATTGTATGCACAACAAACTGCTGCCTCGCCCATGCCAAATTGGTTAATCAACTTTGTCGAGCTTTCAGCCCAATTGCTCAGAAGATCCTTCGGAAGAGGCTCTCCACCAACGCATAGGATCTTGAGATTGCTCATTGCTTCTGGCTTTGCTTTTATAGCCACGGTAGGTGTGAGGAAGGCAATGTTGGCGTTGAGCATTTGGATGTTGTCGGCCAGATCCTGGACAGTCTTCATCGGACCTGGTACGCAGCAGCAACCTCCTACAATAAGAGGAACCAAGAATTCCAAGTTGCTAATGTCGAATGCGTAATCGTCAAAATGCAAGAACCTGGTGTCTTCATTCAGACCGAGGTTGTGCGCGTAGTCTTTGATAGCGGAGGCGTAAGACCGGTGCTCTTGCAAAATGGCCTTTGGCCTGCCGGTGCTCCCAGAGGTGAACAGGACCGTGCATGCATTGGATGGCTGGATAGTTTGACACAGAGCCGACTGCGGTCCCAATGGGAGCGCCCATAGCCATTCGGGGGAGACCGCAATGACCGTTTTAATGGTATTGCGGAAATGCTCTGCAAAGCCAAGGTCACTCAACATGATCTTGGCACCGGTGCGCTTTATTACTGAATTGAGATAGGCTGGTGGATTGCTGGAGTGGATCGAAATGTAGGCTCCTCCTGCACGCAAAATGGCCAATCGCGCTACGATTGCCCACGTTGACTTCTGAAAGCTACTCAAAACAAAAGTCTCGGGCTGTACGCCCAATCGACTGAGGTGAAGTGCTAGTCGGAGCGACAACTTATTCAAGTCCTGATAAGTCAAGTCGCCATCAAATGAGCGAACTGCAAGTTTTGTTGGATATTTGTGGCAATTTTCCACGATTAAATCGTGCAGACATCTAGAGCTAGAGGTCGCTTTTGTACGCGTAAGGTTCTTAATTGCTTTTCGATGCGGCTCCGGGCAGTAATCAATCGCTTCGAGCTTGAAGCTCACAGGATGTGCGGTAATTTGATGCAGGACTTGTTGAAAAGTCCACAACATGCTGTCGTTTAAGTAGTTTGCGGCATTTTCCGAATTCCTGATGCCAGCGCTCATTCGGTCATTGCTCTTGACAACGACAAGCTGGATGGTGAATGATGGCAAAAGATTAGAATATGAAAGCCAATACAGCGCAGACGATCAGCTTACCTCTAGCTTTGCATCTAGTGAAGTCGATGGTGTCAAAAGTCGGTCTGGAATCGTTACATATCTGAGTGCTGAATTACAAACATGGCGGGACTGAGGGAGATCTGAAAGTCGAGCACCATAAGACTGTGACGAACTTGTCACTTTGCTGAATTCTTTCATCTCCAGAGCTTCGAGAAGTGACGATACATCCCAATCTGGATTCACTCGCACGGTGAAAGTGATCGGGGGATCAGATCTCGGAATCGATTCTTCAACAAAGCTCAAGCTCATCACCTCCTCTGGGTGGAAACAACGAAGGGTAAGAATCCATGCGGCTTTCAAAAACTTTGATTCCTTGATAGGCGCCAGCGATACTTTAGTCTCTTTCGTGCTGGCCCAGTGGTGGCCTAGTTCAAGTTCAATGAAGCCTTCAGACGAGTAAACAGACTTAGTGGTTTGATGGCCTGTGAAACTCTCGACCGATCTATTTGAGTCTAGCAAACTTGGAGCCATCTCTCAAACTCATGAAACAGGAGGTCAGAGGTTTGGAAGGCAAAATTATCACTGAGAACCTATATTGTAGGACACCGGTATTTACACAAGAGATTCTACCCGTAAACTACTGGTCTACACCTTTACCAGCGGTGAGAAAACTTTACGGTATACTTTGCAAATATCGAAGTAAGGGTTTGAATTGTACAATACCCAGAACTTTCTTGTTTTTTTCTCCCTTTTGTCTCGCCCCCTTGATGAATATACTACCATAGTTCCAGAGGTTGTTAATTTACCAAACGAAGGGTATAATACAATGCGTTGAAGCCCTAATGTGGGGATGGTCATCGAGTTACGGTAACTTGTAGGCTTCACTTTCTGTGAACATACGGTGTACAACAAATTGTGATGTAACAAAGCAGACTCCCCGCAAGCTCGGATTTGCTCATATCCCAAATCCTGTCAAGCTGCCTCGTCATATCAAGGTGACGATTTGACATGTAGATCTCGGTGGGGCACTTTGGCGATCGATTTGTTTAGCTGGAAAACCTCCCGTTGTTTCTAGGGGAACCTGATATATTCTGAAGTTCCATTGTGAAAAGAACAATAAGACCGGATCATTTTTATGTATACCCGTCTAGGACAGCGAAAAAAAAAAGGATTCCAGGACAAAATCAACAAAAGTAGGATTCCTACTGTAGGAATGTCGTTTTCGCTGCCAAGTCCTCTCCCGGTTCATGCAGGGTGCGTTCACCCACAAATCTAGACCGCGACTTAGCGTACATATCACATGTGCAGAATGGAAGATATCTTGGTTTTGGGTTTTGTTGCAGCGGGCTAAAGACAAGTCTAGGCTATGTTTTGTAGAACATGTGGACTACGGAGTGCACTTTCCCGTATTATCACTGCATTTCGCGTAACTGGTATCCATTCTTGGTATTTTTGGGTCGCTCAGCTGGTCAAAATGGGGTGAAGATCATCGAGCGAGATGGAGGCAATGAATCCATGGAAGCGGGTAACCGAGAGAGTATGTTTTGCTCACTTTCCCTCTCTTTTTCTGTTACCTGATTCAAGCTAAGTTCCTTACATCTACTCCATATTTGCATCATGACTGTCACCATAAGCTCAACTTCCAATTGCGACAGTTTGGTGGAACCCCCTCTAGATCACGATCTTCATAATGCTTGGGGTACTTTATACTCGAACAGCGTCTTGATCAGCGACGAGCGCACTCGCCGAGTATGGGAGGACTACACCGTGAATACCGCCAGAGTTGAACAACAGTACCACGTTCTTCTGAACGAGTATACCGACCGTTTCCAATCCTTTTTCGGGGGATACTGGCCCATCACATTCCACGCACATGTGAGCGATGTACTCATACCAACAACTATAGCAAGCCTCATTCTCAACACGGCATCAACGTGTCCATTGGTGGTGGAGGATCCCGCATTGTCCCCGTTGCTCAAGGATGATCCCGAGCCAGAAAAAGTCCAACAGTTTGTTCGGGAGCTTCTAGGCTGGACCGATGTACATATTGCGGCGCCAAAGTTGGCCATTGTGGAGGGAATTTATGGCGGTGCTTATGGGCCTCTGGTAAGTCTCTACAATGTTCCGTGGCTGATTGCAAGTGAATAACAAGGAAGGCAGGCCCATTCATCCAACGAATGGGAATATAGAATTATCGGGTCCGGTCCTTCGTCGGTTTTTATAAGTCTGAGTGACTTCTCGTCCGAGGATAGATTATTGACCAAGATCATTGCCGCTAAAGCCGAAGGCTGTGTGGCGGTTATATGCGATCTGGTGGATGCCTCAAACGGAACTGTATTTCCTCCCGCGTTCTTTCGCCTCCTGCGATCCTGCTGCGATCAAGCACGTATTTGTCTTCTCGTGGACGAGGCTATGACCGCAATACGATGCGGAGCGCCTTTGGCCTCTCAAAGAGCAGAGTATTGCGAAGATGGAAACCTTCAACCTGACATGATTGCGTTTGGCAAAGGAATGGGCGTAAGCGGCGTTGCTATCAACTTCAATGGCCTGATGATGCGACACCTTGCTTTTCATAAGCGGGAACTGATTCTTCAGTCCATCAGATTCTGGCGTTCTATGGTAACCAGGCCCATCGCTACTCCAGTGTTAATTGAGGCCTTGGGGATTTTGAACGTGGCCGAGGCAGAGGATTGGCCAGCGAGAAGTGAGCAGATCGGAGTTGCATTCCGGAAGTTCATCCATCGCTATTCTGGAAGGAATGGTCACGGAAATGAGATCATACGCGGGCTAGGTGCTTTTATTGCCATCGACCGTGAGTTTTCCAAGAAATTCCGCGTCATGGCGGCATTTAGAAGGAACAGTTCTTGGGCACGGTGGATTCCCAAGCTCAACAGCACTGCTTTTGTTAATGATCAAGCGATCGAGACTTATTTGATTGGTTCTGGTGCTAAGAACCTCCGACAATCGTTATCGCAGGAAGCAGAAAAGCAGGGGACAGCGCCGCTGTGGTGTTGGGTTTGTGGGATTGACGCGATTGTAGAGGACTGGTGCCGAACTTGCTTTTTGGGGTACTGTGGCACTGCAGACTGCGCAAGGGGGTTCCACGCCCATGATTGTCTATAGAACCGATCAAATCTTGTCCTTGATTCGTGTTTAGAATGGCTTGACGTCGAGTCAATATAGGGCAAGCTTTTGGCTGATCGATTCCAACAATCTGATCCCCTTTTCAAAGACTTACAAAACATAAACTGTATGATGAGATATGTCTGCTAATATTGAATACGAGAGCCCTGGAGGAGTAATTGTTCTGAGTGAGGTAAGCTACGAAAGTTGTGTTTGGATTTGGATACCTGGGCAGTCATTGGGCATAGTGCGAAAGCCATGCATGTGTCCTTGCATGGAAAACTAAGTTTTACAGAACATATAAGCTGTAATAAATAATCTCGCAGGTATAATACCATTAATCAGCAACGCCAAAATTTTCCAGCTTTGCTCATCAGGATTTCGTGTTATGGTGCGAAGACTGAGATATGCCCCTATCCACAATAAAGGAAAATGAAGAGAATACTTTTTTTGACTACCGTGCCACCACACATAATCCAGAAATATATTTCTGACGATGATTGGTCGAATGAGATGTTACCGGCTCAACTCTCGAAAAGGGGTGCCTCAGTGACCATCAAACGCTGGACAGACGAAGACATCATCACCACCATCCTGGACAGTGACCTAGTGACTTTTCTCTGGGCCGAGGATTACATTCAACATCCTGTTGCCTTTCGGGAATTTCTGGAAACAGCCAAAAAAGCAATCAAAGTAAATCAAGATGGGGCAACCCCCCTGCATAATGAATCATATCGACCTAGTCCAATGGAACATGGACAAGAATTATCTCCTTGATATGCAACGAGCTGGGTTCGATATACCCACGACCAAAATCATCGATGCAGAGCAATTTTCGTCCGCGTCTGTGCTGCAACAACGAATACAGATGTTTCAATCATCCGGCTCTATTGTGCTCAAACCGTCTATCTCTGCGTCCTCCAACAATACCCGACTCATTTCAGATATCTCAGCACTATCAAATGACGATACCGCATATCTAGATTCATGCACGAAGGGCGATCTACAAAGCTCGTTAGTCATACAACGATTCGAACCGGCCATCGCCACAGGCGAATATTCCTTTGTTTTCATCGGGGAACACCTTTCTCACGTTTTTTTGAAAGTCCCTAAAAGCGGTGAATTCCGCTGCCAGCCTCAATTCGGTGGCATGATTAGTCCTAAAACTATCGATGCAATCGAGGAGAGAACATTATCAATGGTGAATGCTATTTTCGACACCCTTAGAATGTGGTTCGGGAAGGGATCAACGGGTGAGATGGGGTATGTGCGTATCGATGGTTTGGTGACCGACGAAAGCGCCTTCATCTTGATGGAGATTGAGGCCATTGAGCCTTGCCTTTATCTCGAAATGGAGGGCCTTCAAGACATGCTTTCTCTCTTGTTGAAATAGTATCTAAGCAATTGATTGTTATCAACTCCATTCCCGCATCAAATCGAGCCGATAGATTCACCCACGGGTATTTTGATAGTAATGGACCTCGTAGATGGTTCCAAATTCCCTTTGCATTGAGAGGCAGAGTTAAAGATAAGCACTCCCATGACTGTGGACCAGTTTGTCTTCATGTCTCACTAATCCATGCATAGCTGCCTGCCTAAGTTATCTCTCTCACCTTCTAGTCGGCACCAAAATGAGTCCAAATAGCTCCAAATTCATGGGTCCGACAGCAATTCCCAACCAATCCGGCATGAGATCATCTCCAATGACCGGTTCATGATTGCGTTCAAAAAAATCTCCACCCGGATCAGGTTTTCTTTCCCGGGATACGTTCGGCACTAGTCCAGTGGAGTACATTCGCCATTTGTCCCATAAAAATACCCCAGGTCGTCGATAAGGTGAGATATCTTCCATTGTAGCAGATGGACGCCGGCGAGAGTGACCACGCAAAGCCACATGACGTATTGTTCGAAATGACATCGTCTGTCCGGAGGGCCTATGGCAATATGGTGTAGTCAAATGCCAAGCCTGCGTCACTGGATCTTTGGTGGGCGTTTGTGATGGACACTAGAGCGGAGAGTGGTCCTTCACAATCGACCGAGCGACTTTAAAGGACGAAAAGAATGGTATCGATGTGTTTGGTGCCAACTCCTAGACGACCGTGGACCGCTGCTCTAGCTCTAGCGATTCTCCAGTAGAAGGCAAGGCTAAAGGAGCTCCCAATTCCACTAATACCGACGCCACAGTCCAGATTTGTTCGGTCTTAAAGTCAAGTATTTCATTCAACGTAGTATATGCATCAAGTTTATTGATTGATTCCCTCGACCATATCCAGTCTGGACCAGTCGAAGGGCTTTCGGTGCTATTGGTTGATGATGAAGCTCGCCGATCCACAGCTTTTCGAAGGTTAGAATAGCACTCAAGCTGCCATATTGCCTAGTACACACGATACTATTCGATAAGAGAAAGGCTTATTTGCCTTTTGTCCTCGAATCGGCGAGGTTCCTACAGCAGTAACCAATCCTTGCCTTAAAGTCAAGAGACAGATGCATGCCAAACGCTGGGTTTGGGCGGCGATACGAAGGATGCAACAAGCCAAATCTGAGGTCTGCCGGCGAAAAGCGTATTCAAGGGCGTTTTGTTCTCCATTAGTTGGTTGTATATGCTCGTCGAGACTTGTACAGTAAATTGAAGGGTCATGAACAAGGGCAATGTTTGAGATTAGCTTTTTGATTTCAGGGTACGATGGAATAGAATTTGATGAGATCACGTCTTGGATGATCGCACAAGAGTTGGCTCGAAAGACTGCCCTGGCTTGCAGGGATACCATATTAAGCTGTCCACGCCCACGAAGTCTGTATTTCCAAGGATCTGACTGACGAGTTCGGCGGGAAGTCGTTGGAACGGATCCATTGCAGAGGCTGCATATAGCAAGCATTCGCATCGATAGCCTAGGAAATAGCGAGAAAAAGAGACTAGGGAGTAGGAATTCTCGGGGATCGCAACGGATAGAGGGTCCTCATGCCCCACGGTGGATCGCGGCCTGGAAACTGCCTAATCACGCTAAATTAGTGGAGCAAGCCTTGCGAATATAAAGAAGGACAGAAATCTGGCAGTACAACAATGTATGGTATTTTCGGTGGCATGTAACTCTCTAAATAGTTGTATAATATTGACAAAAGCAGGATTTGCCAAGGTCCACGCCAGGCTTACCAAGGTCAACAAACAAAGTGACTAATCAATATATGAGCCCGCTTTTGTGTGGCTCCACACGGTCCGTTGATATTCCGGCTGTATCTGTTGTGGGATCACATGCTCGGTGCCTGGTTTGTCAGGCATGCTTAATGTTACCTATTTAGGTAGCTTCGTGTTTATTCGTAGAGAAATCAATCCTTTCTTCTCTCCGCTGCTTGCTCTATCACTATCAAGTTGAGATTCGACAAGGGGATAGTTTGGTAGATTGTCAACTGTCCTCTTATCTAGATATATACACTTGAGAGTATTTTCTAAATTCGCTAGTGGATATTGATACAAAAGGTGCTCGCTTCCCCCGTTTGACTAGCTTCCATCCACCTTAATTCGTTATTTGTGCATTTCCCCTTCTTACTGTTCGAGATGGAATGATGAGCATGACTGTCTCGATATGGACGTTACCATTTGATACCGCAGTTTATAACCATCTTCACTTTGCGTTCGCAGAGGTCACAGAAGCCTATGAGCTCAATATCTCCAAGATCCAGGCCCAGTTTGACAAGCTTAAGAAAGTGGGCTTAGTCCAGCGTATTATATCATTTGGTAGATGGTCCTATTCAACTAAGGCTGACTGGGCTTCGATCTTCGGACAAGGCGTCACAGGTGCAAAAGTGTCATTAAAATAAGTGACATGTCTCAGGATGATGCTTACCCAGAGTACTGGCAGCTACAGTGCCGCTGGTCAGACGATTGCGACTATACATCTCAGGGTGGTCATGCCAGGAACCTTGACTACAAGGATGCAAGCTTGGTCTATATTGGGCTTGACAGTCTGCATGAGGAGAAGGTCCGTAAACCCAAATTTTCATGTTTGGGGAGCGGTGGGATAGTGGTAGGTTATCGGCTTCAAGCTCGGTGTCTCTTGAAAGACTAAGATCAATTTGGAAGCCGAAATCTGAGCGTGGAAGAAATGGAAATTAGAAAAGCTTTCCCGTCATAGCATGATATATAGATATTTAGTTCTTTTGTACCAGTACGAGAACATTCCTTGAAGGTCAGTAATCCTTTATTGTCTCTCAATCGTTGAGTTTCGGGCATGAGCGTCAGACTGAGTACGCAGATAGAGGATCATATGAGGCCGAGACTAAAAGCAAGGCGGCCAGGTTTGGAGGATATGTTTATCTACGTGAGATTATAATGAATGATGTCAAACTTTTGTTTAAAAGACCAAAAGAGGTACTCCATTATATCCAGATGTGATATATTACCATCGTTGCCACCCCCCGCTTTCATTCTAGGTACAAGGGGCTTGTATAGAGATTATTGACATGAATAGCTCTTATCAGTCCGTGCGACCACGCCATTCATGAATCCGGAATATCCAATCACGAACAAGAGCTTCAAAAACACTAGTCTCATCGATAGGGAGACCATGCGTACCACGATCTAGAATGACATAGGTTGATCGTGGGTAAAGCTCCAGCAAGCGAAGGCTATCTCGGTAGCCTACGCTCTCGTCTTGCCGGCCACATACAACAAGTGTGGGTGCAAAGAACTTGGCATTTTCATTATCCAGCGAAAAGGATAACTGATATCGATGTGGATCCGCTCGGATTGGATCTAACACCTTATTATCTGCTGCTTTTTCCGCTGGAAGGAGAATCTTCTCGTATTTTGCCTTTAAAGTTTTAACATAGGCAGGCGTTTGAACGAGAACGTTTCCAAGAAGTGTCCTATCCTCGGCTGATATGTTGGACATGAGTTGGTCATTTGCGACCAAAGGTTTGAAATCATCGAGATCACGCATGCTGTCCTTTGGCTCAATAAGCGGTACGCGCAATAGTAAACCATCGACTTGCTCGATATATTTTTGAGCTATCGCACGTGCAAGGTAGCCGCCACATGATGAGCCGACAAGTAAGAATCTTGACTTCCCAAGTCGAACATCAATAAATTGCACCAGACGAAGGTAAATCTCGTCCATATCCTTGATATTATTCGCAGGTGTCGTGCCCATTCCTGGAAGGTCCACGTAAATCCGGCGAAGTCCCGGTGTTTTGTTGAAAATCGGCTCGAAGTCTAGCTCCTCGGCTCTCCCCTCCATCTGCCATCCATGAATGATCAATATGGGAAGTCCTTCGCCGATTTCATGTGCAGAGAGAATAGATTCCATTTTGTTGCTGGGTAGTGATTTTGTGAATATACGAGGAGCAGGAACCAGAGCAGGTACAAATTATTCAATCAGAATCACGCCATCTCAGCGTGCTTACAAAGTGTTGTTACTAGCTTAATGCGAAGTAACAGATAGAGAAAAGAAGTTGCCAGGTTGCCGCTTAACTTGCTCAATTTGCATAGAACCCCCCCCGGAAATTTACACTAACCCATATTGGATCTAGCGTACCATGTGATTGGGGTTTGAAAGAGTGTCTTAAATGTTTCCTGACATAAAAGTGATATCGCGTGCCATAGTAAGTACTACAGAGTGTACATATATCGCATTCCATCATAACCATTCGTGAGTTTAGATTAGGGAATTGATGCTGGCACTGAATTTTGAGTACCGCCTTCTTGGTTTAGTGCGACCAAATATTATGCCATATATTCTGCCGACTTCATTGATTCTGGTTTACATATTCCGTAGTGAAAATATATGTATTTTAATTAGAAAAAAAATCGCATATTCTGCCTATTACCTGCCTTAATTTATTCTATAAAGGTGTGACGGAGTATTTGATAAGTGGCTGACGGCGGAGGAGTTGATGGAGTTGACAATACGGGAGGGAGTCCTACGAAGTGAGATGTGACATGACTGACTTACTTTTGTTAGTGGTTTACATACAAAGTGCGGGTACCTACTGTCTTGCTACAATTGTATGGCGACCTCGGGAGATTGGTAGAAAAGCGGTGTATAAAATTTGAAGGGGTGCAAGCATCCAAGGGGAGGGTGCGAGTATCAATTCCTACAAATAGAAAAGAAATTAATACTAGCATATATGCTTCGAGAAGGTGATGATAAATGCGGTCAGGCAGTATCCAATGAGAGAGTTCTGTCGAGTTGTTGCCTGGACTAGACGAGCATAGGTGAGCATATCCCTCTCGGCTGAGCTGTACAACATACATAAATGCTCAGAAATAGTACTCCGTATACGCGGCAATTATCCACTTTCTCCAGTGTAAAAAACACCTAGTGCAGGAGGCTTAGTATCAGCGTCGGGGCTGAAGTTACTTACGACTTCACCGTTTTTAGACGGCAGCCTCCAGCTCCAGAACGGCACGCGCGGCTTCCTTAGTGCTGCATGTAATGGCGGGATGGAAGGAGAAGATGGATCAGTTATCATGTAAGATGCAAGATCTTGCATCTCTATTTCATCATACATCTCGAAGAAGTAGAAAAACGCATTCTAGCGTGTCTCTTAGAGAGCGCTGTTACTTGGATAATAGCATAACAGACAAGTCATATGTATCTGTCTGCTTGCACTGCCGTGATCTTCTGGGTGGCTGCCGTGTATGCCAGCCATATACTCTCTAACGATAGCATAATTGTTTTACCTCCAACTCTTGTCGTGTAGTAGAAACTGGGCTGTATGCATTTATATTGTAGTCACTATCACTTTGGTTCTGAAATAAATAGGCCCGTTTCTCATCAAAAATTCAAGCCAATTCTACAAGGCTGTGTGCAAAAAAATCAGCCATTGCATGGCCTCTGTAACTATAATGCTTAAATGCGCGTACAAGGGATCGACAGGAGAACTGCTTTCCTCAGATACCCAACAAGTTTGTATCAGGACACCAATAACGTTGATACCTGATATATAAGGTATCAACATGAAGTGGCGTGCCGCAGTAAGACATGTTGTTGTTCAATGGTGGGACCGTTGGTTTAAAATAGCCGGCCACCCGAAGAAGGCAGAGAAATTTCGGATACCCAAACCTACTCATTGGTCAGCCACTAGGACGCGAAGCAATGAGATCGAATCTCAAGTATCCTCTTTATAGGGTCCACTGTGGCATATAAGACATTTTCTTACAATACATGACGACATCTGGAACTAAGCTAAAGCACATATGCTCTAGCGTGCTTTTGAACAAGCCGTGAGTACGTTCCGGAGATTGTTCTGATTTGAGTGAAACGAGCTTTGATCCACTCTATATGGGGCGTTCGAACCAAGATACAATCATATGGGTCGCATGATCCAATCACTACATATGTGGCTTATCGACTTCGCCTATATTTAGTGAGATTATGTACATATACATATTTAAGCTATCCTTATTGATACATTCTGTATCAAGTCATGTATATATGGATGTAGGGAAAACGTTATGCTCGCTTAGCATCACCATGTACATAGTAACACGAAAAACAAGCTTCAGCCACACTCGAGTACTCTCAAGAACACGAATAGGGAACCGAAGCCATGCATCTGACACGTCGTCTAGTCCCCGCACGTCCCCAGGTCATGATAACGAGGGTTATGTATAAAGTAGTTACGAGTGCCTGAGCATGGCAAAATTAAAAATAAAAAAATTACCCTGCCCACCATCCAAGATTACTAGTGACTCTGTGCGATTTCCGGGGCCGGTATTAGATAGCACAAAATCACCAGGATAGGAATTTCCCCCGGGAGTGCAACTATGTTGTAGAGACGGGACGGGATTGTTAGATACATGTACATATATGGTATGTAGGTGCATATCTAGGGTCCACTGGATTTGCTTGGGCTTATCTAAAATACGAGAGGGAATAAATCGGCGAAACAGGCTCCGATAGCGAATTCAAGATTGGGTGAATATTCTATTAAACAGGGAATTTCAAGTTCTTTGTGTATTATTTTCTTCCTTTGAGAGGTCTGAAATTGAAGATGTGACGTCGAAGGCGGGTACCGAAAAAAAAAAAAAAAAGAAATCCACTACAAAGATGGGCTTAAACGGATATACGAAGTTTTACCGAGAATATCAAGGAAAATGAGAGCGCTCTAGAATTGGGATTGTGTAACTTATTCTTAGAGATAGTAATGTAGAATTCTTTTCACTCCATGGTGTAGAATAGAATAGTTTTCTTTTTCGCTACAGTTGAATTAATTACGAAGATTGCATGATGCAGCGTGACAGAAGAATAAAAGAAGAGTAAAAGAAAGCTTGTGCTTTGGCCTTAAAGAAACAATCCCATTAAAATGGGGCTTTTTTTACCATGTATGTCCCAGCCACACCTGTGTGTGCTGATACTGATGCAGCTGTATCGCTAAGAACTGCCCTCATGAGCCTATGAATTCGATGCTTTCCTGGAATATGTAAAATATCGTGAAAGTGCTTAGGCTGAGCGCCCATAGTATCACGACTCTGGTTGCTAATAATTACTAAGAATATTCGGCCGTTGATACAACTTTGTTATGTATTTTTTTGGATAGTCTTTGATGTGTTTTTAGAAGTCTTTTTCTCCTTATTACCTAGACTCGATAGCAAAAGGGAAAAAAAAGTCAACCCGTACAGGCGACTTTTATGTATAACCAAGGACAAAAACCCTGAAATCCTTTGGATCTATCTGAGACACCGAACCAAGAACCAACAAGCGGCGAAATGCCAGTGGATTGAGAAAATCTGACTGAGTGGGTCGGTGGTATACGGGACTATGTATAGCCCATCCGTTCGGCCCGATAAAGCGATGTGCTCCATCGTAAAAATGTATTCTTTGAAATATTTTTTTTGAAATCAGTAAAAATAATAGCTTGTCTCAGTTAATGTTTTTTGTTCTTTCACTCATCTCACTCTCGCTATCTACTCATTTCATTCGTTCTTGAGTCGCGCATCTTTCCGGCAGCAGGTTCCTGCTGATAACAGTATTATATACGGAAATGCAGCGCTCAGCTTTCCTCATACTGTCGTTTTTGAGCGTCTCTGCCTTTTGTTGGCCCTATGACGAACCACTCGCTAAATACAATCTAAATGAAAACAAATCCGCCGAAACCCCAATCGATTATTGGGGAGCATGGCCGAACCATGATTATCATCCGTCACCAGATAACTGGCGCCTCCCTACATATACCATCTTTTTGGACCGTATAGCCAACGGCGACCCCACAAATGACGATATAAACGGGACCGCATTTGAGCATGTGATCAACTCGAATCAGATGCGCCATGGCGGTGACCTGGACGGCTTGATAGATACACTGGACTATATCGAAGGAATGGGATTCAAGGTTAGTTTGACCCGGCATCACAATGATTCTATCGCTAACCCTCAAAAGGTCATCTACTTCGCCGGAACGTATTTGATGAACTTGCCCTGGGCCTATGATGGGTACTCGCCGGTCGATACCACTCTCCTTGACATGCATTATGGAACACTGGAGGACTGGAGGCGGACGGTCGACGAGATTCACAAACGGAACATGTATGTGTTGGTGGACAACACACTGGCAACGTAAGTCGATGCTCCAGATTTTAGTATGTGCATAAGCTGATCTTTGAACACAGACTGAGCAACCTGATCGGTTTCAAAGGCCATTTGAACGATTCCGCCGATTTCGAAGCATCAGAATATGAAGTCCAATGGGTTACCGACAGGGAATATGCCGATTTCAAATTTGGCAACGATTATAACGAAACATGCAACTATCCCAAGTTCTGGGATGAGACTGGAATGCCATTAACGACCGGGGGTGTTGAAAAGTTGAAGGGTTGCTATAATAGCGATTTTGATCAATATGGAGAACTAGAGGCATTCGGTAACTTCCCCGACTGGCAGCGCCAACTGACGAAGTTTGCCTCCGTGCAGGACCGCCTGCGTGAATGGCACAAGCCGGTCCGCGATGTGCTCACTCAACATTCCTGCCTTCAAATCGCGAGTCTAGATATCGACGGTTTCCGCTTTGATAAGTCTGTGCAATCGACCCTCGAGCCGCTGAGTGAAATGCTCGCCATCTACCGTGAATGCGCGAAAAAACTTGGCAAGAAGAACTTCTTCCTGCCTGGCGAGATCACGTCCGGAGACAGCATGGGCAGTCTCTACCTCGGCCGCGGCCGCCAGCCGGATCAGCGTTCGAAAAATGCAGGCCAAGCTGTCAAGCTTACGAACAACTCAGACTCATCTTTCCTGAGAGATGATGGGCTACAAGCTTTGGATTCCTCCGCCTTTCACTATACCATCTATCGTTCGATGACCCGTTTCCTGGGCCTGGACGGTAACCTGGTTGCTGGCTTTGACTTGCCTACCGACTTTATCGACGCCTGGAATGAGATGCTCGTAACCAACGATTTCCTCAATGCATTCACAGGAGAATTGGATCCTAGGCATATGTATGGTGTCTCTAACCAGGATAATTTCCGCTGGCCAGCTCTCCAGAATGGCACAGATAAATACCTCCTGGGTCTGTACATCATCTCGCTGGAGCTTCCTGGAATACCTCTTATTTTGTGGGGAGAAGAGCAAGACATGTACGTGTTCGACGCTACTGCAGCAAACTATATGTTTGGGCGCCAGCCCATGACGTACCAGACCGCGTGGTGGACACAAGGCTGCTTCAACTTGGAAACCGAAAAGTTCTACGATTTCCCGATCGAAAAGGGACGTGACGGATGCAACGATATCACTGTCACGTATGACCAGCGGAATCCTGCCCACCCGCTCCGCAACATCATGAAGCGCATGTTTGAGATTCGAGCCCATTACCCAGTCGCCCAGGATGGCTTGTTCCTTGAAACGCTCTCTCAACTCACAGAAGACATCTATCTTCCTGGTTCTTCTACCACCCCCACGGTCACTGGCCTTTGGTCTGTGTTGCGAAGCTATTTCCCTGGGGTACAAACAGACGCAATCCTGGCCAACGAAACGTTGTGGCTCGTGTATCAAAACGGGAACTCGACCAAAACGTACGGTGGCAACTGCAAGGTCATGAATGGGTCCTTGTTGGCTCCATTTGAGTCGGGGACAAAATTGAAGAACCTCTTTTATCCTTACGATGAGCTTACCTTGGAAGATGGCCCTGATAAGTCCGAGAACGTGAACTCCTACGGATGCGTCCGTAAAATGAAGCTTCTTCCGTGGGAATATCGAGCCTATGTCAAGACCGCCAACTTCGTTAAGCCCGGCCCTACCGTGACTGATTTCTTCCCCGGACATGATGCTCGGTTGCTATCTTCAGAAGACACGGGTGAAACCATGCCCGTTCAGCTTGGATATTCCTCAGAGATGGACTGTGACAGCATCACCAAGGCAGTCTCCCTCAATTCTACAACAGAGAAAAACATCTCCGCCGAGCTTGATAAATCCAGTGTCAACTGCACCAAAATCCCTGCCAGGACCACGAGTAAGAACTTCGTCGGAGAAGTCCCGACTGTTTGGACATGGTCTGCAAACCTGAAGAATGTTCACCATGGAATCCACCAACTGACTGTCAAAAATGTTTCCTCTTCTGGAGTTTACACCAATTCGACCGACAAGTTCTTACTCCGCCTCGGTGCTCATGACAACCCCCTGATTTCCCCGCTTGCCAATTACTCTACCAGCCTAGTCCACAAGTCTGGCGACAACCTTTACCTTCAGCACAGAGCTGCCGGTGCAGATATGTTCCGATACTCCTCTGATTTTGGTCGTAGTTGGAATGACTGGGCGACGTACTCAGGTGGCAACACTACTGTTACCATCCCAACCTGGGGCGGCACAGACGCCCAGAAGTGGGAGGGAACTCATATCCGAGTGCAATACTTTTCAAGGCTCACTGGAAGCAGCGATTACCTACAGGAGGGTGATTATGGAAATGACAGAGTCAGAAGATTCCCACACATGTGGTTTAACGGTCCATACAATCAATACGGCTATGATGCAGGAATGAACAGCAAGATGAAGTACGATTCCAAAACGTCTCGCTGGAACTACGACTTCGTCTACGAATGGCCAGCCATTGGCCAGCTGAATGTTTGGGGCACGGACAGTGATGGCAACCCTGATAATACCGAAGTCTACGGTGATGTCGGCAACTCGTCGTCGGTTCAAAAGCTTCCTCCGTCCTATCTCGCATCCAACGTCATCAACATCACCAGTCCGCCGCCATTCCCGCATCTTGGCTGGAAAATCTCCCTCAACGATGGCAATCTGAAATATGAAATGATTCCCATCGGATCTGGATGGGCCCAGTTGGTCCTCTTTATCCTTCTCTGGGTTGTTCCGCTTCTTATGGGCTGTGCCGGTGTCTTCATCTTCATCCAAAACTTCTACCGTGTCAAACTCAACAAGAATGGCAATGTTGTCAAGGCAGAAAAGTTCCCAGTACTGCTTTGGGGCAGAGTCAAAGGAATGTTCGCCAAAGATGATGCTGAGGAGATCCAGATGGCACAAAACGCTGTGCCTACAAATATGGCTCTCGCAGGAGCAAGCGACCAAAGACGTACTGTATTGATTGCCACTATGGAGTACGATATCCAAGATTGGCAGGTCAAAGTCAAAATTGGTGGTCTTGGAGTAATGGCTCAACTCATGTCACAAAATTTGAAGCATCAGAACCTAATTTGGGTGGTTCCATGCGTTGGTGATATTGACTACCCTGAGGATACGCCCGCTGAACCTTTCGTGGTCACAATTCTCGATAACCCTTACTCGGTCAATGTGCAGTACCACGTCGTGGATAATATCACCTACGTCCTACTTGATGCTCCGGTCTTCCGGCACCAAACTAAGGCAGAGCCATATCCTCCACGTATGGATGATCTGGACAGTGCGATTTACTATTCGGCCTGGAACCAGTGTATCGCTGAGGTAATGAAGCGGACACCCTCCATTGATCTCTATCACATTAACGACTTCCATGGCTGCGTGGCGCCTCTGTACCTCCTCCCCTCGCGAACTATCCCGGTTTGCCTGTCTTTGCACAATGCCGAGTTCCAAGGACTTTGGGCTCTGCGAACGGCCCAAGAGAAGAAGGAAGTCTGCGCTGTGTTCAATCTCCCGGTTGAAATAGCGACCAAGTACTGTCAGTTTGGCAGTGTCTTCAACCTTCTTCACACCGGTGCTAGTTATCTGCGATTCCATCAACGTGGCTTCGGCGCAGTAGGTGTGTCCGAGAAGTATGGAAAGCGCTCATTTGCTCGTTATCCCATCTTCTGGAGTCTTGGCAAGATTGGCAGTCTTCCCAATCCGGATCCCTCCGACACAGGCGCCTTGAAGAAAGACCCCGACGTGCAAGTTACGGTCCAGTCCACCGACGAGCTGGCCAATGACAAAATTCAGGCGCAGAAATGGGCTGGTCTGAATGAGGACCCCAACGCCGATTTGCTAGTGTTTGTGGGAAGATGGTCGAAGCAGAAGGGAGTCGACTTGATTGCAGATGTTATGCCGGCTGTCTTATCAGCTAGACCAAATGTTCAGCTGATCTGTATTGGTCCTATCATTGATCTCTACGGTAGACTGGCTGCTATCAAGTTGCAGCGCATTATGGAGATGTTCCCAGGCCGTGTCTTTTCGAAGCCAGAGTTTACGATCCTTCCCCCTTCGTGTTCTCTGGTGCCGACTTCGCTCTGATCCCATCTCGGGACGAGCCTTTCGGATTGATTGCCGTTGAGTTTGGTCGTAAGGGTGCGCTTGGAATTGGTTCTCGCATCGGAGGTCTAGGCCAGATGCCTGGCTGGTGGTACACTGTGGAATCAGACTCAGCCCGCCATCTCTTGCATCAGCTGAGAACCGCCATCAAATCCGCCTTGGATTCAACGCAGGAGACTCGAGAAGAGATGCGTGCAAACTCTGCCAAGCAACGATTCCCAGTTCTTGAGTGGGTTCAGAAGCTCGAAGTTCTACAACGGACGTCTATCAATATCCATCACCAAAAGAACCAGCTCACTGTTGCAGGCTCGGCGCGAGAGTCTCAGATCTTCTGGGAGACGGAGAACCCTGGCTTGCGAGACTCCACAATGATGATCCGCCCTTCATCATTCCAGTCAGCGACCGGTGGTGTGGATACGCCACCAAACAGAACATCGCAGCCTGTTCAGCCTTCCCTTCTTCAGCTACAGGCAGTCGAAGCTCAAGAAATGCAAGCAGCCGAAAGCAACAGAGGTAGCACGTTAGGTCGCAACCTGTCCCTTGGTCGACGGTCTGGACCAGGACAGGGCAGAAATCGTCTCGTCAAGAAGACACAGCGCCAGGGCCAGATGCTCGAGCCCCCCATGGATGGTGATACCACGGACGCCGAAGATGATGGCACACAGGAGAAATATATCTCTCAAGAAGAGGCTATGGCGGCGCTCAATTCACCTCTCCAAGATCTCAGCACACACCCTAGGAACAACAATCACTCTCGTGGCGTTTCTAGCTCGTCGGCCTCGGAGACATCGAATTTCCTCTCCAGAGACTCCTCTCCAGTGAGACTTTCTCGTGATCCTTCTGATGCTGCTACACCTTTCGCTCACGCCCAGAATATCTCCGTCCTCTCCTTGCCTTCTGTTGTTAATGACCATAACCAACCCAATTTCCATCTGCAAAAGGTCGATCCGACCTTTACCGATAGCATGGGCAATTTCACGCGGCACTTCGAAAAGCAGCTCACCAACCTCAACAAGAAAAACTCGATCTCAGATTATTGTATTGAGCTTTATCTGATGAAGAGTGAGCGGAAGTTCTTTTACATGTACAACGACGCGCAGTTGAAGAAGCAGCCCAAAGAACGTCCCCTGACAGGAGCTGGCTTGGACCAAACTGTTGAGACTCAACCGTATAACCTGGTCACGGAAGGTTCCGAAAGCTCGGAATCTAACAATACAGATGAAATCGACCTGTGGCTCGCTCGTCTGGGATACAAGAGACCCATTGCCATTCAGCGCTTTATGAGATGGCGCGTTGGAAACTGGCCTGTCTATGCTCTTTTCTTAGGTCTTGGACAGATCATCGCCACGAACTCTGCGCAGATCACCCTATTGGCTGGCCAGATTGGTGAGACAGCAGTCAAGCTCTATGTCATCGCGGCAATCTACTGCGTTTCTTCCATTGTCTGGTGGTGCCTTTTCTTCCGCTTCCCGTCTGTGATTGTCCTCACTCTTCCCTGGTTCATATATTCTATGGCATTCATCACCATTGGCGTTTCTCCCTTCGCACTCTCGGAGCTCGGTCAAGCTTGGGCTCAGAATGTTGCTGCAGGAATATATGCCGCAGCATCTTCCAGTGGTTCCTTGTTCTTTGCTCTCAACTTTGGTGACCAAGGCGCTGTCCCTGTGAAGGATTGGATGTTCCGCGCAAGTCTTATCCAGGGTATCTCACAGCTCTACACCGTTGCCCTGTGGTACTGGAGTTCCAAAGTCACCGCAGTGGAAGTCGGAGGTGTTTCCACGGCTGCCATGAATTCCTGGAAACTCGCGGCTGTGGTGATGCCCATTGCCGCAGTTTGTTTCATTATCGGTGTGCTTCTCGCCCTTGGCTTGCCCAAGTACTATCGCCAAGCACCCGGAAAGATCCTCTTCTTCTACACATCTCTCTTCCGCCGCCGTATCGTCCTCTGGTTCTTCTTCATGGTCATCATCCAGAACTGGTTCCTTTCCGCGGCATTCGGCCGAAACTGGTCATTCCTCTGGTCCTCCCAACACACTAAAGCATGGGAAGTCGCTCTCCTGGTAATCTTCTTCTTTGTCTTCCTCTGGGTCGGTGTGATGCTCCTCTTCCGCTTCTTGTCCAAGGAGCACAGTTGGATCTTGCCCGTCTTCGGCCTGAGTATTGGTGCACCCCGATGGGCCCAAACATGGTGGGGAACATCGGACATCGGCCACTATCTTCCATGGGCTGGAGGGTTGACTTCCGGGGCTATCGCATCTCGGTGTCTCTGGCTCTGGCTCGGTGTTCTTGATGAGATTCAGCAAGTCGGTTTGGGAATGATTCTCCTACAGACGTTGACAAGAGTACACGTCGTTTTCGTCCTGTTGGCCGCGCAATCTCTTGGATCTATCGCCACAATTTGTGCTCGTGGATTCGCACCAAACAAGGTCGGCCCTGCAGGCATCTCCCCAAATGTTGGAGCCTCACTAGACGCAGTTGGCAATGCGTGGTTCTGGATTGCCCTTTTCTTCCAGCTTCTGGCTAGGTCAGTTATCATTCACCCCCTTCTCTCATTTTTGGGCGTTGTACTAACTATGATTCCAGCTTTGGTTTCCTTCTCTTCTATCGTCGCGAACAGCTCAATCGGCCCTAGGTCAACCACTTAGTAATGTAGTAAAATTGTTTATGTTGGCATATAGATGGAAAGGAGTTGGAGTTGATTTTTATTTGGTTAATAAAGCACTATTTAGTCCTCTAATATATATCGTGTACAGCGAAAGATTTATCTGAATGTTACCACCTACGGCTAATTCTTCGTATCTTTCTAATGATAAATATATATATGTCCAAGAGCTATCAAAGGGTACCAAAAAGGGTACCAAAAAGGGTCAAAATTCACTATAGGAAAGTCTGCAGTGGCACACTCGCAGTAATAGTGACGCCTTTTCTCTTCGAACAACCAACTCTACTTCGGTCCTCCAAGCCCCGTAACTAAGCAAAAGTCGAGACCTGCAAGAATCAATATGCTACGCAGTCTTCGAATTCATGATAGGACGCAATGAATAAGGTAGATAGAAACCAAATAACCGAAAGTAATGCAAGTACATGGATGTTCTTAGATCTTCGGTCTCTTTTTCTGCGCTTCAGACTTGATACCCTTTTCCAGTTTAGGTCTCCATTTGGCGGGCGCAGTCAGCACCTCCCTTGTTGACTGATCAGTCCATTTCCGCTGCACTCGCAGCTCGTCATTGTTCCACCCCTGCACAGACTGGCCAATCCATGTCCCAATAAGAGAAGCAGTTTCAGTCACCTTTTCTAACGGCACCATATGACCACAGTCTAATACAATTGTCGTCTTAACTTGGGAGTGTTTCACTCCACCGCTTCCCCCAATTCCAGCACCTGTCCTCCCAAGTATTTGGCCTCGTTCCTCTGATGTTGATACCGAATTCTTCTCGCTAAACAGATAGAAGACTGGCGGTCGGATATGATTGAGCATACTTAACGCAATATGCGACTCGCTTCGATAAAATGGGTTGGATGGGTGAGGAGGGTCGATGATGTCGGGGTAAACCAGTGGGTCATGCATAGGCGCTTTGGTAGGGTCTGCTAGTGCCGAGGTAGTGTGGCCCATGAAGTTTGGTCGAATATAGAGCATGGCTTCTTGATATTTTGAGCTGGTCGAAGTGACTGGTCCGTCAGTGTGTTTGGTTTCCCCGCCTGTCTGTGGGTAGATAGTCGTCTGTGAACTGCGGTATCCATGCTCGTTCCACCGCTTCAGGACACGAGAATCCCATTGTGCAAAGGACCTGGTCGCTGATTTGATGGCTTCGGATTTGGATGCCCAGGTATCCCGTCGCTTGATTGAGAGTAGCGCAAAATGTTGGATGTTCGAGATTTTTCTGGTTAAGGCTGGTTCGATTAGGACCAGCGATGTGAACAGGCGGGGATGTATAAGTGATAAGAGGGCGCTAGTAGGTGAGATATCAGCAAGTCACTCCGCCGTCTCGCTCTTGGTTCAGGCAACATACAGTTGAGTCGCACCCATACTATGCCCTACACCAATGATAGGCCTTGGCATCTCATGGCGAAACTGATTGATCATATATAGAAGATCACGAGGATGATCGAACCAGGACGCTATACTATTCAGCTGCGAGATTCAAATGCAGAACAAGATGCACTCACGATCGTCACCAAGAAGTTCCTCATTTACAACACCGCTAGCACCGAGATTCACCATATCTGCAATCCATATCGATCCAATCCGAAATCCTTGCTGTTTACTTTGCCCTAGAATCTCTTCCCATAACGGCTCGTAAAGCTCCTAGAACTTTTATTAGTCGATAATATCCGTATAGTACAAGTTATAGATTGACTACTTACCTTTGGAAGCCCGCATCCATGTGCCCCGATGATGGTCACATCCCCGGGCTGAGGATCTGAATTATCAATAGGCGTATATCTTTTCACCACAAGCTTTAGAGGAGAATCTTGGGAAACCGTCGCATTGGGATATTCACGGATGTATCCCGCGTCAATCACATGCTCCGTTACTGTGAATATTGCAGGTGAACTGTCTGCCATGGTGTTCGTATTTGAGAAGGACTTGTATGTTAGATCTCGGATATCAGCGACTTTAAATACTATATGAAGCCATTGACCAATCTCCAGAAGCTTCCAAGGTTAGTGTCGATCTTAGAGGATGATGAATACAGCGTGATGCAGTGACTAGAGTAGCCACTAGTGAAATCACCATTGTAGTCTAATACTGATGTTGCCTCATGCGCCTCAACTGCTCCATCATATGAGACCAATGGACCGTTCAGGGTTGGTGACACAACATTGCTGTAGAAGCCGAGGTTGCTTGTGGTTGAGTAAATAGACTTACTCGTTCTAAAAGCTTACATATCCTTTCTAAAAGCATCAGTGTGTGTGTGTGTGTGTGTGTGTGACAGACCCACACCTCCCTGAAGGCGGATACAAACGGTTATGCATGATAGACCATATTTGGTCAAATACATCCGCCTCGGGCCCAATCCCTAGGCGTTTACTGGCTGAGCATAGATACCACGCCGAGGACCCGTTTCAGCTATGGCGCTAGATCTCGGTAGATGGCCGCATGAATCTGTGCGAGCAGGGTCCGGTCCGAATGGGCCCATCGGGGCCCCAGATACCCTGAATAATGCAGGTCGGAATCTGACGTCATGCTTCCGATTGGTCGAGGATCTTGTATAGAATGGTGCGAACAATTGAAAGTAACAAAGGCATCTGAAGGGACATTTAAAAAGATGCCTAGGATCAATATGTAAAAAGTGTTGAGCCTACAATATAAAATGCCAAAGAAAGAAAATGGTATTGTAAAAGACCTCACTAGTAACATTGTATAAAGTGCGATGAGATGGCAGTGAGTCTCACATGATCGGCTTTATTGTACTAATATAGATGTACAGATGTATAACATATAGTTTACAAAGAAGACTGCCCATACTAAAGGGACGATCGAAGCGCCAGACCATAATACTATGTCTGCATTTCGTGCACCTGGTGAATTAATCACAAAAGATATCGTCATAGACCAATGTAACCCAGGGCACGTCTAACTGGGCCAGTAAGCTGCTTAGTGCAGACAGCTGAAGCTAAAGTTCAACAACACACGTGGCATGGAGTATTCAAAACGCCTTTCGGGGCTAGAGCGGCATAAAAGCTATCAAGGATCCGCGTAGGAGAATTCCTGAGGTCATACAGTGCTCATGATTAGCATGCGAGAGTCTACTTATGGAAAGGATGTAAGTTCACATAGTATCCATTGCGTCAAAAGCAGGAATGTCCTACCCTAGAGAGGCGAGGCGCATAACCGATTGCACCCGATATATGTTATTCCACTGCGAAAACCCGCAAGTATTCCGTCTATACATGAAGATCAGATTGTGAGGCATGTGAAAAGCTTCCAGTTTGAGTATTCTGTAGCCTAGAAAAGCCTGCTCAGCATGCAACCTCCTCTCCTCACCCTGCAGGGCCGTTGTCGGCCATACAATTGAAATATAAAGTCGAGACCATTCGGCCTCTTCCTATCTTCTTCGAGATTCTCATTTTCATACCTCAAGCTCCAAGGTTATCTACTTGAAAGATGCTGTATTTCTCATTCAACATAGCCGAGTCCCTGCTCTTGCTGGTGTACACACTCCTTGGCTACATAGGCATCAAGATCATTTATCGTCTATACTTCTCTCCACTGGCCGGGTTTCCAGGTCCAAAATTGGCAGCAGCAACCAGTCTCTATGAGTTTTATTTCGACGTTGTGAAAGGAGGCCAGTTCATGTTTGAGCTTGACCGTTTACACGACAAATACGGCCCTGTCCTCCGCATCAACCCTCACGAGATACACATCAAAGATCCTAGCTTTTACGACACTGCCTACGGCGGGCCAATGAATAAAAGAGACAGGGTGACTTCCTTCATTCACTCTGGACTGCCCCGGGCAACCTTCGAGGTTGCGCCACACGGTCTTCATCGAGAGCGGAGGAAATTATTGAGCCCTTTCCTTTCAACACAATCGGTTAATGGCCTCCAGCCTGTCATTCAGGAGAAGGTGGACCTCATATGTAGCCACCTGTCGAGAAGGGTTGGCACAGGAGAGTTTCTGGACTTGCACTCTATGTCTGCTTCTTTCGCCGCAGACGTGATGTCTACATACGTGCTTGGCCGCGAGCATTGTTATGGATACTTGGACAAGTCGGAGATAACAGATGAATGGAAGAAAAATATTACCAGCGTCTTTGAGGGGCTGATTCTTCTCAGGCATCTTCCCTTCATATTCGACCCAGCACGCAGGTTTCCGAAGATTGCCACCTGGTTGTTTCCCACCTTTTATTTTGTTCATCGATTTGAAACGGTATGTATGGCAATTATCAGGCACTGCAAATAGACTGATAAAGGATTAGAAAACCCTCCAAAGTGTGAAAGCTGTGTACACAAAGCCAGAGGGGAAGTCGATGATATCAACTATTCTATCCAACGAAAAACTCCCTAATGAGGAAAAAGAACTCGAACGCCTCGAACAAGAAATGCACTTTGTGATACTTGCTGGGACCGATGCTCCGTCCCAAGTAATGGCAATCACTCTGTTCCATATTCTTTGGAATCCAAAAGCACATCAAAAACTCAAAGACGAGCTAGATGAGGCTTTCCCCGACCTGTCCGACGCTGACTGGAGTAAGTTGAAAAGTCTTCCCTATCTGGTAAGGCACCTCAATCCTGAAATATTCCCATATATTATGTTAACAATAGCCGTGCAAGTCTGCCGTGTTGAAAGAGGGTCTACGACTTTCTGCCGTTGTGACAACAAGGCTTCCGCGTAGTGCACCAGATGAGGCTTTAAAGTACGGAAAATGGACCATTCCACCCGGGGTATGTCTTCCGAAGGATTATATATCTTCTCAACTTATTAATATTTCGATATAGACTCCTATCAGCATGACCAGCCGTTCCATTCTACACAGCCCCCAAATCTATGCCGAGCCGATGAAATTCATCCCAGAACGATGGATGGGCCCTCCTGAGGAAGTCCGTGTGCTGGATAGATACCTCGTTCCATTTGCGAAGGGCAATTCGAGTTGCATGGGTCAAAGGTAAGTGGTTTCTAGTTTCTTCCCCTGTTCTAGGGCCGTGATGCTGATATGTATATTAGCATGACCTACTCGTGGTTATACGCAGTGATCGGCACAGTGGTACGCAAATTCCAATTGGAACTCCACGAAACTGACGAAAAGAATGTTGATATTGTTCGAGACTGTTTCAATGGACAGACAGTCCCGGGGCTCAATGTGCTTAATGTCAAGGTCGCCAAAGAGTTCACCTAGAATATTCTATCATCATGCGCAGCATCAGTCTATCTTGAATTAGACTCGAATTGTCCTGTCATCTTGTTTCACACTTCATTTTTGTCACATTCATTTGGTTTAACATCTGCTGTCATTCTCCGGGCACCCGGAGTACATAATTTACTGTTTTCGCAATAAATTCTCTCTTTTATTTGTATTTACCCGCTTATCTACGCTTTATGGAAGACTATACCATGCATTACTCGGCTCTCATGGGAGATTTACTGGAACTTGGGATATAATAGCAAAAGGTCCAAATCAATATAATAAGAAATAACTAAATAGGATGTACCTCAAATACATCACTAACTCACATGTCTCTCAGGCTATAGGACTCGAGGCTCGAAAATATAAGGCCGATCGAGTGAAAGGCGCCCGGCAGCAATCTCCATCTGGTAGTGCTCAGCAAGTGTGATAACCCCAAAATCCAACCCTGCTGTGCAAGGTCCTTGTCACAGTTCATAACTGGGAGCGAGAGCCAAAGGGCTTCCTGGTGGTGCATGGCATCATAGTGGGTGACCTTGCAGTCGCCAGCCCGGCAACGGTCAGCCATAATATCCATCAGCTCCTCGTCGGAAGCGAGGCGGTTCTCAATGGTAAGTTGCACTGAGACCCACCACAGCTCGGGTAGGGTGCGCAAGTCCTCGTAGTGAGGTAGGCCCTCCGAGAGCAAAATAGTACGCGTGTACTGCAGGGCTTGTCGCTGTGCATCATTCATGGCTGGGGGCGACGCGCGTCTCAAGAGCCGAGGGATCTTTGATTGAAAAATGATTGCGAGGGTCGCGGGCTTTGATGACCGCATATCGATCTAAAAAAATGTTTAGCTGCTAAGGGAGCCGGGGTTTGGTTTGGTTTTGATGAAACTATGATGAAGCGCTGTTCTGTCTGATGGTTTCTGATGGTAGAGATTAGATGGGGGACTCCGAGGCTATTTAAATAGGAAGCAGTGGAGTAGAGGACAGTTGTGTCGAGAAGGCTGTCTTTGACCTGAGAACAAAGTCTTTTACCCTCAGGTTGTCACAATGCCTTTCGTCAATCCTTTGACTCGGTACTATAGCACCCGATATCTAAATACAAGGTATCACAAAGAGCTAAACAAAGCCTTTAGGAATATCGGTAAACGATATTCCTTCGAGTAACTTGCATTGTAACTGAAGCTAACCCTAATGTTCAATGCCTAGTTAGGGAGATTATGGAACAATGAGACATCTCTGATGGTGTCAATCAGTCCAAACCTAGCAAACAATCCATTATTCGATCATTAAAATTGCAAACTTGATTGCTGCAGGATATGCTTTTTGTGGGCACTGGCATAGAACCTCGCAGCCCATGAGCTGATCTTGCCGGGATGGAAGTATCCTAACTCGAAAGAATTAGGCTGTTTATGCACAAATAAATAACCTATGACATCTAAGAGCCTTTGCAGGAAACATTGCATTTTTTATCCACGTTTCCCAGCAAGGAACGAAGAGAATAGTACCAAACGGCTAGCCATAGTACCTGGATAACGGGGTAGGTAGATTCACCAAAGAAACCCAATGCGTCATTCTCATGCATGTTCCATAAGCCGAGACCTCCCTAGGCTCCCAATGCCACCCATTACTCAACATAGTTGGCAGGAAAAGGTCCTTTTTGCCCTCTCAACTCACCCTCCCACCAATCGTCCGTGCTTTGTGTTTTTCGCACGATGCGAATGCGGTCCCCTTCCCGGAAACTCAGGTCACCATCCCCCTGGCCATCAAAGTCATACAACGCCGTGACAAACACTGGACGGGAAGCTGGTGGTGGTGGTGGTGGTGGTGGGGGTCTCTTTTTCCCTATGGCGGCAGCCATGGGGGATACCTTGGCCTGGAAACAGTCTATGTTTGGGCCGGCGGGTGATCTCACTACTCCTGATGGGATGGGTGTGGGCTGTGGAGTTGGCAAAAATGTCGGACGAGGAGGGTCGAAGTAGTCGCCGCCCGTCGAGAGGGGCTTGGAACCTGCGGTATTTCCAACAGGAATCGCGTTGCTCTTATGACTAATGGTTGACAGGGGCGGAGAGGGAGGATACTCTGGCACGCAGGGTGTCTGGCTCGACGATCCTGGTGTCTGTGATCCCCGGCGGAAAGAACTATGGAGCGAGGTCGACGAGGCTGTGCTAGATAGGCGACCTCCAATCGAGGGACGTTTCTTATTCTCCTGATCCGCTGCGGCTCGGCGCATGGCCTTGCCTTGGGCCAAACAGCCGAAATTTTCTATCTCAGCGTGCACAGGGTTGAAGGCAAACTCCCAGTCTTGGACAACTTCCTCCATGGCTGGTGGCGGGGACGGGAATCCCTCTTCTTCACAGTAGGTGTGGAGCACTGTGTAATAATGCGCAAGCATGCGGTTTTGGATCTCGACCTGTGCTTCGAGGATGTATGGCGTCAGGGAGAATATGAGGGCGACTAAGGTTGGGAGTCGCTGTCGTAGATCATGGTCGGCAGCTTGGTAAGCCTGGATGAGGATTAGTGTTTCTTATTCTATGAGTAGTATTGGGGTTTTGGGCATTGGCGTTTGTACCTCTTTCGTATTGGAAAGTTCTGCCTCCGCTTTGGCGAGGCTCATATTTTCGCGATCGGTGCGCTTTGGCTTTCTCATGAGGCTGTCAACACGTCCTTGGGATATTTCGAAGTCGGTCTAGTGATTGGGACATCAGCGACAATTAATTCACCGAGAACTGGGTTTCTTCATTGTGTACCTTCTTATCATTTCGCTTTTTGATCGTCTTTTTCATTGGCGCAAGGGATTCTTTGGCGTGTGCAGCTGGCCGGGACATGCGAGTATCGACAGCAGTGAGTTCCTCTATGAGATCGTTACGTAGCTCGTCATATTCCTTCCGCAGTCGATTTGTCCGAGCTAATCTGCTGGGGTCGGTTTCCACGGCTTTGTGATTGGACGGGGTTTCTGAGGAGCCAACGATAGGACCGTAGAGGCCGTCGAACTCATCGACAAGGCGACTCTGGTAAGTTGCGATAGAGACCCACGCATCACGCCAAGCTTGGGTAGAATCCACAATCTGATAAAATAACACGTATCAGTAAATGGGATGAAACGCGCGTCTTCGGGGTAACATTGTCTACCTTTCCCAGGAGCATATCTGCATCGTCGAAATCTTTTAAAAGCACAGCGATTTGGCTGTCATCTGCAGACGACTTCGTCGTCATACGACCGAAACGCCTCGACATGTTCTGCATGTTGGGCAATGTGGGAGTTTTGAAAAGTTGGGGAACTCGAAAGAGAGAGAAGTAATGGAAGTGTCGCACGGGCTTGAAAAAGAAGCTTTAATTGTCAATGGCACAAAATGTACGGAGTAAAGTGGGAGAAACACTGAAAGAAGGGGGCTAAACGTTCCCCTCAGAATAAACTCCCAATGAAATGTTTCAGCCTTGCGGCTCTCGCCCCGACCCCCCTCAAAATTGACCTTTCGGGAAGGTGATAGGTTGATCTTGAACTTATTCCCCACTGGAGATATATATATATTAAATTAGGGGCATTTTATCTCTTTCAACCATACTCCGGACTCCGTACATCATTACCTGTAAACGCATGGGCCCTCTGACAAGGATATATGTATACTTTGGGGTTATTAGCTTGTGAGTCATATAATCACAATGCCCAAGAGAGAATACAAAGTAAGAGTCCTGGAGGATGTAAACATTGAAATTGATATTAAGTATTGCAATCCATGGAACTCGGGAACTTTACCTGCTGACCTCAGAACTCTATATACACGTGATTGCAATCCACATAACTGCTCGAACATTTTATCCGTAGACATTTGTTTTCTCTTCGACCATAATTCAATCGGATAGAACAGTTAGGCAGAAACGACCTAGTTCTATTCTAGGTATGGCGCCCTCGCCTTCGCTCCGGTTTGGGTTTAGACGCAGCCTAGCCGTTTTTACCAGCCATTTGCCGTCTACAAAAACAGCGCTCGTCCCCCCCCCGGGCTGTCTTTAGCGCGTGACTCATAGAGCAAGATTGAATTCAAGTTATCTGTTCCTGATTGTAGCAAATGGGAAAGGGGAGAAATTACGAGTCTCCTCTTGAACTTTGAGATTATTTCGTTGGAAGTCACCCTAAAGCGGCACAGCAATATTCGTTATAGAATCTAGCCTCGGCGTTCCGAAGTCACCCAACGTAAGGAATTATATAGCCAAATAAGTAATTAGCGCCGAGCAATCAAAGTTTATGAACACACGTAACACTATTTCCTAAATCATATCCAATGAAAATACAGAAACAACGACGTATATAACTATCATATTCATCAATAGAACATCTTGTTCAATCACCCCACCTTAGATACTGTGCCTGTACCAATCGAAAGTGAATCCAATCTGCTCAGGCTCACCTGAAGAAAGTAAATCGAGAAGTCTACGTTTCTCCAGGGACTGACAGAATTCCTTTTTCGAAAGGAATTCCTCACTATCTCCTTCCTGTCTGCTTTCCATGCTATCACTTCTTTCAGGTTCCGTTCTTTCGTTCAAAAGCCTTTTTATGCCCGAAGCCAGTTCTGAAATTGTGGCATATTCGTTATGCCAACAATTGTCGATTATATTCTCAACCCGAGAATTGCCATTCAATTCCGGAAAATTTATTCCTATAGCAAGTCCACAACCTTAGGGCCATGCTTATAAGGATCTTTAGTAAGTAAGATATCGGTCTCCATAAACCTTAAACCCGTAGTTAATCAAATAGTATATAGATCCGAGGGCGAACTATTCTATTCGAGAGCCGAGGAAACCGAAAGTTCTAGGTTCACCGCCTCGTTACTATTGAGTATTTTACCATATAGGGCTATATAAGCTTCGTAATTAGTTCCAATTTTAGCCTTATAATCAAAGTCGGATAGTTTTAGTCGGTTGCGATCAATTAGGACATCTTAAGGTCGTAGGTCACTATAAGCAAGATTAAGTGACTCTTAGAAAGCGACGGCTTAGGCGAGATCGTTTATCTATTCTTTTCGTAGGTTCTAACTTTTTTACCTTAGTAACCACTATAGTTTACCGACCCCGAGTATGATTTTCTTATATCTTAGAAGAATGTGACTTACCTATTATAAGTAGTTATTAGATGAACCTATTAGCTACTAATAGAGGTCGCACCTCTCATGTACTCGAGAAAGATGCCGTTTCCTGAAAAGAGAAAATATTGCACAATAGAGGGGCAAGGTGGACTTCGTGAGAAGATCCAGTATATCTCTAGCTCTTTATCGAATTGTTCTCCTTCAAATTCTTCTGACTTCGGGACCTTGACCACAATGCAAGGGTGAACCTCGCAAACGAATGAGATACCTCCTCTCCAGATCCAGTGGACACTAGGGAATTGTCGAATATCCATAAGGAAATAAGGATGTGAGAGGTGAGAGGGATGTTTTGAAGAGCGGTCACCCAATTATTTTCAATTGGTTCACTTGCTTACTACTTGTCTTTCGGGTTCGACCACCCAGACCTCTGAATTATTCGAGGTTGATGCTGGATAAGCACCATGTAGCTGAATTCAGATTCAACACACAAATATTCAAACTTGATTGATAACATCTATAGCAAGTGTAAGGATTCTCTTTGATCAATAAAAAAGTGAGACAGAATGATTTCAGGTTGTATATCAAATTAACAACAAATCGACGCATTTGCCAGACAAACCGCAATGTCGCGATTGTCTCAAAGGTCAGTTGTATCCATCTTCAACAAACCTTTCTTCCACCACTTCTCCTCCTCTTCCACGGCCGCTATCCGACTCTCTGCCTGCCGGAATCCATGCCCTTCTCCATGGAAAACCACCAGCTTAGACTCACGACCAGCCTTTTTCATCATTTCGACCATTTCCTCTGCCTGGTTCATAGGAACGACTAAATCCTGGTCTCCCTGAAGCAACAATAGCGGCGCAGTAATTTTGTCTGCCTTCAAGCAGGGGCTGCGTTCACTGAATATGCGGTTTTTCTCGGCTTCATCCGCACCAGGGTCAAATAGCAAGGCGAATGCGTAATGACTCTCGAACTTATGAGTATCCTCACAGAGAGCCTTGACATTGCCTATCCCGTACAGAGAATTTCCACCCGCGAAGAGGTTGGGGTAGTCACAAAGAGCTTGGAGTACGATGTATCCGCCCGCACTTTGGCCACGAACACCGACTCCGTTTTGGTCAATTCGGCCAGTGGATGCTAGGTATGATACACAGCTAGCAGCATCTGCTGTATCGATTATTCCTAATGGTGTTTTGTCAGTATTGGGAGATAAGGGGGTGGTTCTGCCATGAGAGGAATGTAATTCTCACCCCATTGCCCATTCAAAATATCCCGGTATGCTCTGCCATATCCGGAGCTACCTCCATAATTCACCCAAACAACAGCATAACCTCGAGAAGTCCAGTATTGGTCCGTGGTATTCAGGCCGGTTCCAGTTTGAGACGTTGGTCCGCCATGCACACAGACGATCAAAGGCGGCAGTGCTCCAGAGGGTGGCTGATAATCCGGGTTCTGAGGTGCATAGAAGATGGCATGTGCTGTCCCTTCCAAGTTCTCGCCGTGAACTCTTGGGAAGGATATATGCTCCGGCTTGGAAACAAGAGAGGCTGGCATGGGGAAATCGGAAGCTGCCTTGAGTGCATTGATATTGACGGTGTCGGCGATGTCCAATGTAAGAACAGTATTGAAGCTTGTCTCACTGGAACCAAGAAGTGCTACTTTTGTGTCCGAGAGGGGAGTATCTGCGAGAATAATCGTGTCTGTTACCGGCACATTCAGGTCTTGCCAAGAGTCATTTGACAGATCGATCAGTATGAAGCTCCATCGAGCATTCTTTGTGTACGATGCGATCATTGTAGTTGGACTCAAACACACGTATGTGCAGCTAGCAAAGGTAAATATAAGTCAGCCATCAAATCAACAGCTGTTTGCTCCAGTCGAAATCAAACGTACTTTCCTAGACGCCAGTCCGGCTGCGAAAATTCCACTTCTTCCAAGCCATGTAGGGCTACCCGTTGGCATTCCAAAGTATCAACGTGAGACCGATAGAGCTGCCAATACCCTGAACAATCGCTCGTGAAATACAATGTGTTATCAAAGCCCCATCGTGGCTGGCTAACACTTTCTTTCTTGGGAATTCCAGACACAAGTTGAGAATCTGTGACCTTACCATTGTTCCACTTAGCCACATACAGGCGGGCTCCTGTCCAAGGCATATCTGGATGAGACCACTGGGTCCAGCATATCCTGCTGCCATCAGGTGAAAACTGAGCAGCGCTGTAGAAGTCATCGCCGGAGGCAACGTTGATTATCTCTCTGGACTGCATGTTAACTGCCACGAGTCGATTCCGAACTTCCGACGGCAAGGGCTTGGAGTGGTCTTCTTCGATCGCCAAAACCCATCCCGAGTCTGCCTGACCATCGGACAAAGAGCCCATAACGGAGGTGCACGCATAGCGGAGAGCAATGTCTGTCTTGGTGATCTGCTCAACCTGGCCTGTGGAGGGATCGAGTTTATGCAGATCCTGTGTCTCCCGATCAGAAAAGACGATATGCCCATTGGAAGCGATCATCGATGCGCCGCCATATTCATGAACTTTGGTACGAGCGTCATATCTAGTAGGCTCTCATTAGAGGTGGGTTCATACATGGGATCTCAAATATGTACTTAGCCGGTAAGATATCGCGTCCTTCACGACCAGAGTATTCAACAATGCAGCCTCGTCCCTGCTCTTTGGGTCGACCCTCAATAACATAAACCTTTCCATTTGATGCCTGAAGAGGTCAATAAAAAACTATAATTCGAGCGATCTTGATATTCATTGAACATACCGCGATGGATTCAAACTGAACACCATCAGCACCAAGCAAGGTAGAGCTGATTGGGCTCTTCCATTGACCGAACGGAGCCGTGATAGGAGTACTCATGACGGTTGTAGCAGCTCTATTGTTTATCGAGTTGATACTCCTGTTGAGAAAGTATGTTGGTATAGGTGTTGACAATGTTGCTAGGCGAGGTTTGGGAAAAAATCTACCCCGCAGAGACCACAATCTTGAAGCTGACGCGGTGTCAGCGAAGATTCAAAAACGAGCAATCGTCTAATTCAAATAGCCAAATGTAAAGAAGATGTCTATCTCAGTATATCAACTTATGATTAATTGACTAACCTCTGACCGACATCTCTAATATCCCTTTCGAGGCATTCGTATCCTGTTTCTTCTCTTCTATCTTTTGCTTCGGCTTTTTTTGATGTCTGAAAATTCTTGCTTGTTGAATGTCTTGCTCCAAGTTCTATGAATGAGGTCCTTATTAGGTGATATTCTCAAATAACTGTAGAAGCCCCATGTCTATATTTTCCAATGTTGGTGCCTGAGGTTTTCACATCCCCTCAACCTTATCAGCTTATCGTGTTTTCCACTTTGAACGCGAGAACGCGACTAAAACTACGTTTCGCGACTCCATTCGATGCAGCGCTGAGGCTGTGATCAAATTAGGTGTTCCACAATGCTACGATGATGTCCACTCCATCGTCCTCCACGCGTGTCCCCCCGACCTCCCCGCAAGTCACTGCCTCGGTTGTGAAGTTTCGCTGTCTGTACACCCACGACCTACGCCGCAAGTCAAAACGATGGCACGATGGGTACCTTCGCTACCATAAATTCAACAAACGGGTCATGGTCTATGATGACCAGGGGAACTTTATCGGCGACCATCACTGGCGGTCCTCCGATGAAGTACAGGATGGTGACGAAATGGAGCTGGACAAGGGGGTCCTAATCGAGGTGACCGAGAACATGGGCACAACGGAGACGGATATTACAACCTTGTACGAAAAAAGGAAATCCAGTCAGGGCTCACCGCAGACCAAGGACCCGGTGTCACACGTCCCCCGTACCCCTGCCCACACTTCAACCCCCACCTCTGCACCTATTCGTTCCTCCGGTTCGTCCCAGTCATTCCGGTCACTTAACGATTTGCTAGGCATTAAAAGGACTCCAATCAGGCATTTGGTGCCCCCATACGAGGAAAGGAATTCTTCGAGACCAACACCCAGCCCCAGCGTTCGGGAGTCCGCACCAGCACCGAAGCGACAAAAGACATCCTCGGTGGTGGATCGAAGCGCCGAGAAAGGCTCGCGTGCCCGGAGTGAGGTCATTGATTTGACTGATTCAATAGATTCAAATCAGGGACTCTCCGCGAGGCAAAAGTCAAATCAACTGGCAAAAGAACTACCCCGAGCCGGGGGTGATTCTACGGGCGATGTGCTCCTGACAAATTGTGAGCAGAAGTCGACAGTCCAGTCAAAACAAACTAGGTCACCGAGACCCAATCCTCCTTCATTCTCAAGGGCCTCCGCTTCAACTGCATTTGAACCACCCGAGGAAGCAGACCGTACAGCCACCAAGGGTGTCCAACCTGCAAGGCCCCTTTATAATAAATCGAAAGATGCACCGGCCCCTATTCAATCACTAAGACCCCTCGGCCCTTCTTCGAGAGGACCTCTTCCCAGTATACCCCCAGAAACAGAAATACCTAGGCCTCGAGGGAATTTTCACGTGAAGCAGCCATCAATCAACCGTGAAAATCAATCCAAAGTCGTGTCACGTCCCAACCCACCACAGAGGTCTGACCCTCCAAGAGTTTCAAGAGACTCTCCCCCAAAGGCACCCAGACAGCCTTCTGTTGGTCGATCTACACCACAGGCGCCAGTGCGTGCAGTCACCAATTACATGAAGCCTATTGAACCTGCAAACAACCAAGCTCCAACGAACGATTCGCCTCCAACGAACGTCTCATCTTTAGCCAACATTCCACCTTCGGTCAATATCCCACCTCCGGCCAATGTTCCACCTCCAGCCAACAACTCACCTTCAACGAGCATGCCACCTCCAGCACTACGCTCTGGGGCACCTACATCCGCTCTACGCATGGGAACCGGAAAGCCACGTAGAAAACTGATGTACAGTGCTTTACTGCCTGGCGGTTCACGAAGTCCATCACCGGCGACCTCGGATACACTTCCTACTAGGGCAACCCGTGAACCCGCCACAGAACCCCCGGAACGACAGTTAGTATGTACCCACCCATTACCCAAGATTGTGATACTAATTTCTGTGTAGCCTAACCGCCGCTCCAAGTGATTCCTCAATACCAAACGAAGAGTTTATGCCCTCGACCTCGACACAATTTATCTTTGACGAGTTCATAGATGGATCGGGGTTCAAATCCCCCTCCATGATCAAAAGGCTAGCCGGGAAAAGGTCTCTCGATTCACCTTTGCGCAAATCGACTTCGGACCCGACCGCATTGACTGCCCGCCAGGTTAGAGCAGGAAGATCATTCCACGCAGCCAACATGGAAGATGAGCCCAAAGAGCAAGGCCCCTGGACATCCGAGGCATTAGATTTATTTGACTTCTGGCCTGCTGGACGACCAAAGCCGTCAAACGAATGAAGAACTGCGGCTCGCTCTAAGAGCCGTGCATGAGGTTCAAAGCAAAAATAAGCAGGATCCAAACCACCCGCTGACACAATGGACAAGCACCTTCCAAGCCCCTTGCAAAGCTCTTGTTTCTAATCAAGTTACCGTCTCGTGAGAAGCAACCGCAAAGTGCCGAAATACCCCTCGTCAACCATGCTGTCCTCGAAGCCACGGCAGTGAGCAGCTTTCTGTATTTTTCCTGCGAGAGACAGACAATTTTCCAAGATGCCATTCCCAAGTGCACGCGCTGCGGAAATACTGCTTGCAATTCTTATCGTGGGAATCCACACATTCATCCAAAGACTCCTGAAGCATATGCTGTCTGTTTGTCCGAAATGAAACCTCGAGGCTCAGAATCATCCCTTTCGACCGACGCATTGTAAAAACGAAAATGTGATAGAAACGAAGATACCCATTTGAATTGATGAAAAACACATATGCACCTAGGTCATGACTGACTCACACCAACTTAAACTTCTTAAATCCCCTTCTTGACCAAAACTCCAGAAATATAAGGCATAGCCGACCACTCAAAAGCCCTCTCCAACTCAACACTCTCCCATCCCCCATCCACATCAGCAGCAGCCCTCAAAACCGCTTCCGTGTCCCTATCCAAACAACAATCCCCAATAAACCAACTCCACCCGAGAACCTGATAGATACCCTGCACAACCCGCCCAACAAGCGACCCCTTCGCCCGACGCCACGGGTTAACAACATGCTCCGTAACAAGCAACCGGCCACCAGGCTTGAGCATCCCGTACAGCTCACCCACCGTGCGCTCCATCTCCGGCACCGAGCACAACACCCGCACGCACAGGATCGTGTCGAAGATGCCCGCACGTGCGTCAGAATCATACGCATCCACGACGCCCGTGCCCGTCGCCCGCAATGCGGGGATTAGTTCTTCAGCTGCTACCCCTGTCGGCACGATGTGATACTTGGACGAGATTTTCTCTGCTTCCGCTTTTTCGCGGATCGTAGAGTGCAGGCTTTTGCATGGCTCGGCGCCATATAGAGCTGTTATTGCCGGTGAGGTGAGTAGTGGCATCTGTGTGCCTGTGCCTGGACCGATGTCCAGGACTATCCCAGATGCTGTGCGGAGGAGTGGGGGGATTAGAGCCGAGGAGCCGACTGGCTCGGGGATTTCTGTGTTGTTTGGGTCGGATGACATTTGGCGGGGTGCTGTAGTGGTGGTTTGGTTAGGATTCGCGTTTTGCTTTGCTTCATCTTTATTTTGATGGGGATTTTGATAGGGGGCTCTTTTTCTTTCTTTGATTTTGTGGAAATTGCTAAGAGCAAAAGGCTCCTCTCTGGGTTTGTTGATGATAGATGATGTGGCTGGTACTCACAGGTGAAATCGATCCAGAATCTTCCAAATGCTTCATCGCGGAGTCCCTTGGTCTGGGTAATTGGAGCAAATAGCTGGCCATTTTTGAAGACGGCTTCAGCACAGACTCGGATGTAGTCTGTGGTATTGCAGTTAGTGAGGTACTACTTTTAGGTATAGAAAACGAGAAATTAGTTGAGGAATGCGCAACGAATGCCAGACAGAAAACAGAGAGCGTCCCGCCAAAAGACAAAAGATAACACGGAAAATAGATATAGCATAAAGTAAATACAAGCAGAGCAAAAGCATATCCACCAGTGTCGAGTTTCATATATTGAGATCGAAGCCATTCGGTGTCTGCTCGGTGGTTGTTTGGTGTCTGTACTTACGCGACATCGCCCAAGTCATGATCTGTGCTGGCTCTAACATTGCGAGCATTCGCCCGACAAACGGTGGGGGGCTATCAGTAGACATGGTGATTGAAAGATGTTCGAAATCTGATTTGACCAACTCCAATGAATGCTGAGAGGAGATAATACGGGTGGAGATTTATATAGAGTTGGGGGATATATCCCACGTGACCCGGAGCCATTGCCGGAGCTTCGGCGTTTGAAACAAGTCACATCTATGATCTGATAACCAATGGATGATCAGATGGATGATTATTCCAGTGATTTTAAGGTTGTATGGTCTCATAATATATGCATCTTACAAATCAAAAGTAATCAGACTTAATCCAACAAATTCCAACAAATTGAACATAGACTAATATCTAGCATCCTGATCTGGTGCAAATTGCACAAATACTCAATAGATGGCCACACCGAAGAAAGAGCGCAGCCCATCAGTACAAATACGACTGCATGTAGTGGTCACAGGAATTATCAACATAAAAAGGAGAATATAGGAAAAGAGCAGACTCAGGTTGGGAGAAACGTTCCAGCAGGGCACCAACTCGAATTATTGAACGAAGGACAGAGATAGTAGGAGAGTTGAGATCTGTAGAGAGTAAAGAAAGAAAAAGATCGTAGGTGAAGAGGAGGCGAAGGAAGTCGGGGTGAAACTATTCAGGGAGTTTCGGAGCCCAATAATCCATCACCAAAGAGTATTCCAGTTGAGTCTCGGTTTTGATGTATGAGTAACTCCACGCTCGTGCGAAAGAAGTTGAGGTGGAAACACTATTAGAAGGGTTGCTGGTTGGACAAGAGACAGAAGAAAAGGAGACTCGTCGTCATTATCTTTGTAGGTGACTGGAGCCTGGGTTGAGGACCTGCCCACAAACCCTACGAACAAATGCCAATCCCATAGGATGATGTTCAGTGACGGTGGGGTGAGTGGATACGGTTGATCCTCGGGCTGTATCGACTGGTGCGAGAAAGAGAGCCAACATCGTGTTTTCCGTCGCAACAGGCGCGGACATTTTCAAGGCGGTCTTGTTCCTGGGCTTCGACCGCCTGTCTCAGATCATCGGCACTTTCTTGGCCATGAAGACTTTCATTGTGGACACTAGGAGATTGACCTGGCCGTCCCTTCAAACTTGCGATGGAACCCCGAATCGAACTGGAGATGGTGCTGAGTCGTGACGAAGAACGTTGGCGATCATCTGGAACTTGCAACGACGAGTTTGGGTTTGGTACGGGTGAGCTGAGGGCCGGTGATGCACGCCCACCGAGAGTCCCGGAAGATCGCATGGACATCGCCGAGGCCGCTCGCCGCTGTTGCTTGTGTGCATTACGAGCGGTGCGGCTATTGTAAGATGAGAACGACATTCGTGCTGTCTGTCGAGAGCCAGACCGGAAGCTAGGGGGGTTGAACTCGTTGATATCGTCGAGGGTCACGCTGTTATTGTCCTCGCAGTTTTCGTTGGTCTCCCTCAAAAGGAGATAAGACAACGCGTTGAACCATGTCTCGTGCCTCTGGCTCGTCGTAGCCGTAAACCTAACTCGTCGACCAGGACTGACAACCTCCAAGCTCCTACAGTGAAGACCCGGAGGATAAGGGTTGTCATCGGCAACCACTCGAACAGCCTCGATAGGCACACTCTTGGTCCGGAGCTCACTCTTTCCGGCAGTTTGCGGGTCTTGCGTACTCCAGTACAGAGTACGGGTGTACGGGTGGACCCAGAAGTATCGTCGGTGCCGTGTTGTCGACATATCCGATGATCCGGTCTTGCGGGTATACTTCCAAAGGAATTCACCGATCATAGTTTGGGTAATCGCCTGGATCATGCGTGGATCCGTATTAGGTCCATAGCCCTGGGGCATGGGGCCAGCATGAGGGGCCATATTGAAACGCTCCTCGATCTCAGATGCAAAAGACGACACTGAGGATCGTCGAGACATCTGGCCTTGACTTCCCCTCCTCATTCTTGCCTGAGATGAACCGGTTCTTGAAGAGCTAGCCCGCGCAGCCTGTTCGCTTGGCGTAAGTGGGCGTTGGGAGTTCATGCGGTATGCGGAGGCTGGTGCCAAAGGCGGCCCCATGACAGAGGTAGGAGACGGCGGAGCAATATCGATAGACCTCTTCTCGGCTGCCATGATAGCTTCCCGGTGATCGAATGGCAGTGGGGGGTGACTCGCACCAGATGTCTGACTGGCGGCACTGGTAGGCCGGCGGGAAATTGGCGTTGTCGACTTCGCAGACTGAATTTGCGACAGGCGAGGTCGTGTCGGAGCCTTGGGTGTCACGTAAGGGGCTGCGGCAGATGTAGTGACTGCGGCAATCTCTCGTGAGTTGTCCGTCACCTGGCTGTCGGAAGATAGCGGGCGTGCAGATACCCGATCCATAAGGATCTGATCTATCTGTTTGGAGGACAGGATTGTCTGAGATCCTTGGTCCATGCTCACTGAACTGGATTGCTGTCTAGCAGAGCGAGCAAGGGCGTTGCCAGAAATATCGTTCAAGGCCAGTCCGGCGCCAACGAGCTGATCACTATTGGCTGTGTTGGTGCGGCTGCGAGTAGCGCCAGTAGGCAGGTCTTCGTGGACAATGACAGCTGCCCCTGCGGCCTTTGACTCTGTCGGCTCGGTCTGAGTAGAGAAGTCTGCCACTGCAGGGATGACAAATGGCATAGATTTCACTGGATGGGTTTCCACAGAGCGCACAGAGGAGAATGACAATGCCGGCGTAGGAACAAGACGAGATCTTGGAATAATAGGCTCCGTGTATGCGGGATCAAGGGAAGAGACCGTCAAAACTGGTACCTCACGCTCACGTTCAACGTGCTTAATGACATCAACGTATTGAATGACAGGCGGCAGCGGTTCAGGAACAGTTGCTTTGACTGGCTTGGTGGTTTGAGTGGTGATAGAAGAGAAGGTCAATTCGGGCACCTCGCGCTCACGTTCGACGTGCTTGATAACATCAACGTATTCAATAACCGGCTCTGCTTTAGCAAGAGTTGCATTTACAGGCGCAGTGGATTGGGTGGTGATAGAAGAGAAGGTTGACTCTGGCACTTTACGCTCACGTTCAATGTGCTTAATGACATCAACGTATTGAATGACAGGCTCCGGCACAGCAAGCGTTGCGTGGACAGGGGCAGTAGACTGGTTGTTGATAGAAGAGAACGTCAAGTCGGGCACCTCGCGCTCGCGCTCAACGTGCTTGATAACGTCCACGTATTCGATAACCGGCTCTGCTTTAGCAAGAGTTGCAAGTACAGGCGCAGTGGATTGAGTGGTGATAGAAGAGAAGCTTGACTCTGTCACTTCACGCTCACGTTCAATGTGCTTAATGACATCAACGTATTGAATCACAGGCGGCAGCGGTTCAGGAACAGTTGCTTGAGCCGGCTCGGTGGTTTGGGTGGTGATGGAAGAGAAGGTCAATTCGGGCACCTTAACCTCGCGTTCGACGTGCTTGATCACATCGACGTACTTGATTATAGGCTCCGGCACAGCAAGTGTTGCCTGGATAGGAACAGTGGATTGATTATTAATGGAAGAGAATGTCAACTCGGGGATCTCGCGCTCACGTTCGACGTGTTTAATTACGTCGACGTATTTGATGATAGGTTCTGGTTCAGGAACAGTTGCCTGGATTGCCTGAACAGGTATTGTCGACTGAGCGGCGACAGACGAGATATTCAACTCTGGCACTTGACGTTCACGCTCAACGTGCTTGATCACATCAACGTACTTGACGATAGGCTCCGGCACAGCAAGTGTTGCGTGGACAGGGGAGGTTGATTGAGTGGTGATGGAGGAGAAGGTTAGCTCGGGCACCTCCGGCTCTCGTTCCACGTATTTGATGACATCAACATGCTTGATGATTGGCTCAGGTACCATAACCGTTGGTTGAATGGGGCTTGTGGTTTGTGATGAAATTGAAGATATCGTCATTTCCGGCAGTTCCGGCACGGGCAGCTGATGCTTCACAGGTGTAGTGGTCCCCCCAGTGATGTATGAGACACTCAGATCAGGCCGCTTAGGTGCAGAAGGCGTGGTCTCTTGGGAAGAAACGTCGGCCATGCCCATCTCTGGGTTAACCAAGTCAGGGATTTCCTTCGTTTCCTCAGCGATCTCTTGGTCTGCTGTTTGACTTGGCTGGGTTGCAGTGAGAGCGTGCGGCAGAGCAGCTCCTGCGGCGATACCGGCAGCTCCAGCAACAATGCCAGCAGCACTGACAGAAGGCGTGGGCTCCCAAGGTTCAGTCATAACACCAGAATCGACCATTGGGGGCTTGGGTGGTGCATCCAGCATTGCATCCGAGGGTCTTCGTGAATCCGATGCAGGCTCCATGCGCGGTGTCGAAGCCTGGGAGGTTACTTCGTCGTCCTCAGTGCTGTCGAACTCTGCGAGTTCGGCAAAGAGGCTCTGACCCTCTTGAGCTACTGGCGCTTGCGCAAAGCTGGGTGCCACAGATGCGCGGGAACTCGAAGGTCGACTAGTGGATGCGAATGTGGCCTCTCCAGATGGACGAATGCGTCTCGAGATGCTGCGTTTAGACTTAACACGGGGTCGGGAGATATGCATTTGGCTCGGAGATCCGAATGCTCCGTCATATTCTTCTTCATCAGAAGACGCAGAGGCCGTGCTGTGATATGAGGTGCGATCGCGAGCTTTGGCCATGATCAGGGAAGAAGGCACTCGGCTGCGAGGAGTTGTCTGTACGTTATTTTCCGTCTCGGTAAGATCTGCCGAATCGCTGCTGTCATCGGCCATGCTTTCCACACCGGTCTGGAACGCTTCGCTCTCAGTTGCGGTTGCCCGCTCATTGGCTGTTTCAAATCCATCTTCCGCCTCGGTAGCTGTCTGGTACACGTCGCTAGGTCCATCGGGAGACTCCGAGCGAGGGCGGCCCCTAGTAGATACCGCCTTGTGGGTTTGGGTAGGGCTGATTTGACCGGCGTTGTCTTCCCAGTCGGTATCATGAAGCTCAACAAATGATTTCTCTTTACGACCGGCACCCAGAAGATCTGGGCGGGGAGGCTTTCGGGACACATCTGTCTTTGTCTTCTGGCGTTTGCTGGTTCCGTTTGGCGCAGTGCTCTCGCGGCGCCGTTGCTCAACTTCATCCCGAGCATCTTGCAGCATGCGCTTGAGCTCAATCTTTTCGGTCTTCTCGCGGTGAATTGTGCTCTTAAGGTTCTGGATCATGCGATGAGCATGGCCCAGCGAGCTCTTCAAGGTTTCCGATTCAAGATGGCCATGTCGAGGAGTGAACTTGTTGGGGGATGGTGGCGGAGAGCTTTCAGGTGTGATATGCTCGGGCTCATCGCCCTCGTTGTCGTACGCAGTATCCCTCGAGGCTTGATTTTCATGGTCCCGGAGCCTCATCGCAACTGCCTTAGCGAGTTCTTGATTTTGAGAAGTCATTTCCATCAACTTCTTCTGGAGCGCAGACTTTTCCGCTTCGCCAGAAGTCAGATTCCGCCGCAATAGGTGGATTTCCGCATCATTTGCCTTCTGTGTGAGGCTCTGGTCCTCAAGTAATCTCGCATTCGCTTGCCTTAGCTCCTCCAGCTCTCGTTCCACGGCGTTCTTTTCCGCATTTGACAATGTTATGGTACTGTTGAGCCGTTGTTCACGTTCCGCAGCATCCCTCGCAGCTGCCATCAACTCATGTGCTTGTGTCTCCAGCGCCCAGTTCTCGTCCTTGTAGCGTTGCTCACTGTCATCAAGCACCCGGATTCTTTGCCCATACCCCTCTGCCTCTAACTCAAGTCGCGATTTTTCCAGATTAACAAACTTGAGTGTCTCATCCCGCTCTGCGAGAAGAGCTTGCAGTTGGCGGACTTGGGCCAAAAGTGAAGTGGAGATCTCAGTCGCAAATTCGATATCGTGGACACGGTTTGATGGTTGGTTGCGCTGCTTGCGAGATGGAACGCTGACTTTGCTAGGGGAGTTTGTGGCCTGACTGGCGAACAAAGCGGGACTTAGGGGTGACTATCAGAATTCATGTTAGTTCGGCTAGAAATCGGACCAGAGCCAGATGTAAGACCCAGGCAATACCTTTTGATCGAAAGACGGCGTCCCTAGCTGAGCATCCTCCGGGCCTCCAGCAAGACGTTTGGGTGCTAAAAATGCTCGTGCCGATTCACGGCCGATCTCATTGTACTCCTTCTCCAAATCTGCAAGTTTGCGTCGCAGATCCGGGCCCATCTCTCCCTCATTCTGCTGCTGCTCGACCTCTTTCAGCTGCTCCGATAGTTGCCGCTGCTGATCGATAAGGGCCGTTCCTAGCCTTGAAGCCTCCTCCAGTCGACGCTCCGTCTCCACCAAGTGGGCCTCGAGGGCCCGTTTGGCCTGTGCTGGTGAAGACGCATTCAAGCTGTATAACTGTGTATCAAAGGACGAGTTTCGATGGGAGTCGCGAGACACAGCTGGCCTTCCGGAATTCACAACGAAGGGGTCTTCCATGGACGCAAATGACCCGGTGGCCTCAGCGTTGGATGTGGTCATTGTTCGGGAATCGGGGGCCTCAAACGGCATCTGAATCCTCTTAATGACAAGGACACAGTAGCCGCTGAGATATCGTGGACTCGCGGATTAATCTTTGTTCTGATTCTAGACCGCGGGCATCATCCGAATCACCGCACTGGGTCAAAAACGGTTGTCGCAAGATGCTTGCCGTTGGGATCTTTGCCGAGCCGACCAGCGACCAGAGGTTGTTCGAGATTGTTTGAGATTACCACACGCTAATGTTGATGCCGGGATGGGCGTGGAACACCGTTGAGAGATGTGGAAGGGAAGAGGGGGAAAGCCCACACGATTAAAAACAACAAACACCGAGGACCTTTGGACGAATCAGTGAGCTCCCAGTGAGATTGGACAGACACGCGCGTAGGGATGCAACTAACCACAACAAAGTGCTCGGGATCTGTAGGAAGCTATCGCAAACTCTCGGTTTGAATAAACGAAGGACAAAAACACAAAGAGAAAATAAAAGGACAGCTAATTAGAAAAAAAAAACGAATGGAAAAAAAGAAAAGGGAGCGTAGGGAGTGATTGGATAGGTCGAGTTTGGAGGACTCGGCGGGGGAGAAAAGGGAAGAGAACGAGAACGAAGTGAACGTGCTGTTATTATTGCCAATTGGCGCCGGTGTTTGAGAATCACGATAATCACCCCATACGGGGGGAGTCGGATCTACGATACTAAGCTATATTCTTTCCTTTGAATAATTGGGATGAAATTTGCTATAAAAGTGTCAAAACAATATGAAGTGCTGATTCGACAGGTTCATGCCTTGTGTTTTTTTGCGATTTTCGCTATCAAACGCGTCCCAAAGTGAGGAGGCTGTTTGTCTTGTTTGCATTTTGCCATCTGCTTAGTCATTTTCGAGGGTTTGACATCTCCAACATTGGAAGTGGCTGCATCCAAGGGTTTACAACCTTTGCGTCTGACACAATTGTTTGAACGTCTACGACTAACCTTTACCAATACCCAAAACCCACAATATGGGCGAAGAAACCGGAGTAGCAGACGCCGTGCCCCAAGTCGCTTTCAAGAAGCGCTCCAAGGGCAAAGCCAACTTTCGCAAGAAGCCCGCGACGCCACCTCCAGGTTCTGACTCCGACTCCGACTTTGTATCGTCCGATGATGACGAAGGGCGCCGGATCAAGAGACGACGCAAGAATGCAGCTGTCACCGCATCATCCACATCAAATGCGACAAGGAAACATCGCGCAGAAGACGAACCTACGAACGCGGTCCCCGTCCCATTGACCTCGAGCAACGATGCCACAAAGCGTTCTGACTGGTATGATGAGAACCTGAGCGAGAAGAATTTGCTGGGCACAACTCGAGCAAATCCAGTATCTGCCTCAGAGCCGGACGGAACCTATAAAGGTGCTGCCAATTATCAATCTTTTATTCAGAAGAACCCCGATGCACCTGGGAAATTCGGTCCCGTCAAAGCCTCGACCAACGTTAGGACTATCACAGTGATGGATTATGCCCCCGATGTGTGCAAAGATTGGAAACAAACTGGCTACGTGAGTTATGCCCTCACCTCCATCTGTCTATCATGAATCAATACTAATCTATTTGAAATTAGTGTGGCTTCGGAGATAGTTGTAAATATCTCCATTCTCGTGAGGCCTACAAGGCAGGATGGGAGCTAGATCGTGACTGGGAAGTCAACACCAAGGGCAAGCAATTAAGCGGGCGAGTGGTTTCGCAGCGAAAAGGTGCGGGCAAACTCGAGGAAGATGACGAAGACGACGAGGATGAATTGCTAGAGAGCATTCCATTCGCCTGCCTCATCTGCAAGAAACCCTATCAAGAACCTATCATCACCAAATGTGGGCACTATTTCTGCGAAGCCTGTGCTTTACAGCGGTACCGGAAAACCCCGTCGTGCGCTGCCTGTGGCGAGGGAACTGGGGGTGTCTTCAACGTTGCAAAGAAGCTGAATGCTTTGTTGAACAAGAAGCGGGAACGTGCGCGCAAGATTCGAGAGGAGGCGATTGCAAATGGGGAGGAGGTTAGCGATGAAGAAGGTGATGATAGTGATTAGCCGTATCTCCGTGTATCATAATATAAACACAAGAAGCAGCTGGACTGCAACTTTTGTCCTCTGGCAATGTATCAACTCTTTTTTATTTTATTGTTGATTTTATTGTTGATTACCTCCAGTGGTTTACCTTGACATCAGTACTTCACATGCATTTACAACATAGACGACCCCGGGGGGATGCATTCGATTATAAATCAGTTAATCCCCAAACTGCGTAACATACAAAAGAGAACATATCCTTTTTTGGGCCTGGTAATATCAATGTAATGGGTGTTAAGCACTATATCGGTACAGTTTTAGGAAACGCACTTACTCTCCCAAAATATATATCTACACCCATGCATTTAATTCAAATAATTGATCACCAGTTCTAGCAAGCTTTAAGGGGGATCGATCCGATTGATCATTCCTTTCAGTTTTTTGACCAGGCATCCATATTCAGGTTCAAATTTGGCGAATATGGCGGCTATGTCATAGTGTAAATACTTCTCCAGCAACCATTTCTTGATAGTTGCCGTGTGAATAAGAATTTTATCTTGCATAAATCTCCATTCATGATAAATGTACAGCGTAAGGAATTTGCAGTCTCTTAGTTCATGATACCTTCGCTAAAAGATTGAACCGGGTGTGGGGCAAATGCATATGAACTTTGTTCTCGGGATGTACCATATACTAAGGAGTTTAGGCTTCTACGTTCAAGGTTGGGGCTGTGTGCCAGGGGCGTATCCACCAATTATGGTTACTTCAAGCGATGTACGAAGTAACAATACGATAGCCCAAGCCAATATACGTCAACCCCGAGAGATCCCCGAGATCTTCACTGATCCAAAGATCAAACGAGCCAAGAAATATATGTGTCAACCATGTGGCACGATTGCAAACATTGCAGTCGATATCGCATTGCCAACGAGAATGACATAGTACACTGTCCAAAGGGCAACGCTATTTCAAGATATGAGTAAACAATAATAAAAAAATGCGCCCGGGCCTTAGACTGTCTCGCTTGGATGTTCCCCGCTTGAGTAAATTAGGAATCGCTTCCCGCCCAAGTGTTGAAGGTAAATTGGCCCCCATTAATAGCCCAATATCGCATTCTTACGAACCGATATACCCTCGGAGAATTACAATTTTCACTTGACCATGATTTGCATTACTTGTAATATTTTCTGATCTCATAGACGTCATTACCATATTGCAATGCCGCTGATCGGCCAAGATGTGGGCCTGATTCTGCTAGAACCACACGCAATCAAATAACCCACATGTTAGGACCCCGAACATTTCCAGGGTCCGTATGAAATCACCAAGGAGCGTTTTACCTTCCCAAGTAGGCTATTGACAAAAGAGTTTAACGCAGCCGACTAAGGCGCTATTTCAACCAATGACACAGCCCCACTGTGATACGAGCGAATCGTGTAGAGGACTACGTACTACAATCACTACAGGATCACTTCCCCATGGAAAGCTTTTTAGATTAGCAGTCCCAAACCTACTTTTATAACGCCACGTGCATTCCATGGTACAGGAAAAAAAAAAAAAAAAAAAAACCACGCGTATCGCCTGGATTCCAGAGAGCGACAGGTTAAATATCGTTGCCTACATGTTAAGTCGAGGTGCGTACGTATGTACAATGTCTTGCGAATGGGGTCCATTCCTTTAACGTTAAGCCTCCATCCCGCCCATGGCTCAAGCGTAAAATCTACGCTTAAAAGGGTAAGCGTACCCCAGAGCCAAGCTTTCCACACCTTGGAACCATCGAAGGGTCCAAAACCAAAATCTAAACACCATCAGACTAGTGGCCCTCAGTACGTCGTAAATGTAGATTAATATAAAATACACTTGCGAAATTACTATGATAAATAATATATACACGTCGACATGTGTAAGAGTAGACTGTCATGTGGGGGCAAGTGGAAGTAATAAAATCACGTGATTGTATTCTAATACTTCCATAGTACGGTAATTAGCAACCCTTATCTTATTTTTTCAACGTTTAACATAGAAGATTAAACATTTTATATTGAAAAAGCCAAAGTATGGTATTGAAACGTAATGATATAACGGTGGCCCATGGTGGATCTATAGTACCCCCTGTTTAAAGACGGCTCCCCTGAACTAACACCTCATAGTGGCCAATAATGATATGAGTATGACATTCTAAGGTTCGGGGTGCGAGTCCACTATGAAAAGAAGCTCCCTCTTTTATTTTAGTTCCCAGTACAAATTTTCTTTACCCTAATTTCCCCCTCTCCTTCCATTATTATTTCGACCTTCCACCGCGCAGTTTGTACTGTTTTGCCTCGTTTCTCGAACTTGCCATCAGGGCTCTTGCTACTGTGGAAATTGCCGTCAGGAGTTTTCCTTCTTGGGATCAAACTTGCCCTTCGATTTCTCATCATTATACATCGAAAACAGTATATATCAATGGCTTATTGGTGAAACCTCTACCTTGAATTCACACCTACGGGTTCCTCTCCGCAAAGTCCACCGGAGATCTCTCCCGTTCATCATTCATAATGAAAGGTGGCCTCCGTATCGCAGGGTTTTGCGTCTTGTGTCTCGTTTTATTCTCACTATATCTACTCGAGGCGCATCTACAAGACATTTGCGATCAATATGGCGCCGGCTCATATGTGATTAATTGGCTAGATCGCAATAGCACCGCCCCAAGCCCACACGACAAGATCATACCGGGTGATAAGGTGATTGTTATGGCCAAGCTGCAAGAAGAGCCTACCGAATGGGTAGAAGAAGAGCTTCCTGAGTGAGTGCTATTTTGATCTCCAACATTCCGCTCAAGATGCACGACTGATTGGCTTTCTTTCTAAACAGCTGGCAACGCGCAATCTACACTGTCAACCCCTCGCCTGAGACACGACTAAACGGCAGCGCTCTTACGACCCCATTGAACAAGGGCCACGAGTCCATGGCCTATTTCACGTATATAATTGATAACTACGACAATCTTCCTTCGACCGTCGTCTTTCTCCATGCCCACCGCGCAGGCTTCCTCATGGCCTGGCACGTTGATGCGCCACTTCATGACAACGTCATAGCCATGCGCAATTTAAAACTTGATTTCGTCCAGCAGAACGGCTATGTGAATCTTCGCTGCAATTGGAATCCGGGCTGCAAGAGCGCCCACCGCTTTAATAGTCATGTCACTGACGAGATCTGGGCGGACGTCTTCGACGGCACAAGTACGCCTCCATTAAATATTTCCTCGCCCACGGATCAGGAGTTTGCGGGTCAGAATTATCTTCGCAAGCCTATCGAGATTGGCGCCGCATGCTGCGCGCAATTCGCTATCTCGCGAGATCAAATTCAGAAGCGTCCGTTGGATGATTATGTCAAGTTCCGGCAATGGGTTATTGATACGGAACTTGGCGACGCTTCGTCGGGGAGGGTTATGGAGTTCTTGTGGCATATCATTTTTGGTATGAAAGGAGTATAGTAAGTTATGATCGATCACATTTTGTTGTAATGTTGAACTAACCGTCTTTTGCAGTTGTCCCGATGAACAACTATGTTATTGTCAAGTCTACGGGCAGTGTTGAATCCGCGGTTTCGCCTTGAGCATTCATTGCAGAATCCAGCGACATCTCCCATGCTGGTACTTACATATCGTGGGACACGTGGCTTACATCTTCGCCTTGCACATACATTTTCGTCATTATGCGCAAATTATTTTTGCGACAGTACAAACACTCAACAGTACAAACCTGCCCACTTGAAATTCGACCCATTTTGTTGCGTTAGAGTTTCTAGTGGCGCTTTTTATTATATATTCATTGCGTTCAAGCGCGCCGAGGACAAAGTTCCCGTGAACAACACGTCATCAGTTTTATTGATGGACATCTGGATAATCAGAGTACATGAAATGTATATTCTTACTGAATTTCTCAATTTCCATGCATACATCTCATACCATTCACATTTTCACATGTTCGACCTCCAGCAATTGTGACTTGCTCTAATAACCCCCCAGGTGGCCAAAACAACCCTATTATTCAAACTTGATATTTTTTGTTTCTACCAACAAGCTCCTACGATATCAACCCCCTGTGCTGGATCTATGCCAGAGATCCCATACGCACCATCAAAAACCGGTCGATTCATCATAGAAGCGCATCTCAGCCTGCTTCTCCACGCACATCGACACGTGGTTCCACTCAAAGGACCGACGCAGCTAGGAATGCAGAATCAACGACAAGAAAAAGCGCAGTCAATTGATTGCATTGCAAGCTAACAGAGAGCCGGAGAAAGAACAAAGAGCGAGAGAGGGAAGAAGCCTTCTTTCCAAAAAAAAAAAGTAGGACCTAGCCTGAAGCATCACCAACAAACAGGCGCCAAAATTTATCCAACTTGTAGAAAAGAGAAGGATCTGTCTCATAGGAAGCAAGATCCTCACAGACCAACGGGCACATGCGACAGGCAGTCCTATCAACGGATTTCCGACGACTTTTGTAGGTTCAGGGTGGAGGAAATCGTGGAAAGGCTCGATATGATACACCAGCTGTGTATCCTCTATATCACAAATGGCATAGTATCGAGCCTAAGTGCTAGGCTGTAGAAATGGCGAGGATAGCCATCAGAAGCTCCAACGCCGACATGTCGAGGTTTCAGGATCGTTGTCCGTGATGAAGGTCGGAGGTCGAGAAATGAGCTGTTGTGTGTCAACCTGTTTTTCAGATTGATATTCGTCGGCACGATGATCGCGTGTAGGTGAAGCCCGGTCACCGGTTTCTACATCTGTAGCCCAAGGATTTGCTATTGGCACCCTCGTATACCACAATATGACGAGGTAAAAGAAGCAATGCCCGAAAAGCCCTAGCCCCACAAACAGGATAATATCAGGCACCTCTGCCAATTCCATCTTCATCTTGGCGGTTGTGCTGATGGTAAGATCTTCAAAGGATCATAACAGCCAAATTTAAAGATAGGTTATTGATGACATCGGTCTGACATGTATCATATAACTACCTAGGTAGGTAACCTTGAAAGAAGGTAAAATGTTACTTATTGGCACGGTGTTTCACTATTGGTATATTGGCCTAACCCTTGTCACACCCACCTTTCAATAGCAATATTGTTAACATGAGGGCAGTTTATTATAGTAAAAACTACAGCCTTCTCCTAGTCTCAGCCACATAGTACTATGTTTAGCCATCTATATTCCTCTATATAGGCATGAAAATTATACCGCAAGAGTAACATAGAAGGATGTTGAACATGATTGTATTTGATTGTATTAGAAAGGAGTACGACAAGGGCCGGGGTACCACGTCTAGTTGAGACCGCAAGGCTGGCAAATGAAAGCTTCAAATCTCGGAAAGCCTTGTTTGGACCTCTCATATATCATATCATTATAGTAGTAGTCTCGCACAGCCTTGGTTCCCTCCCTTCTACATAGTCAGAAAACACAAAATATCTTGATATCTTTCTGATTATACCAACAAGCTCAAGACAGGTGCTAAGTACTAGAGATCGTCCGAATACACTGCTCTAGATAACCGCCCACCCTCTGCACGTCACTAAGACAAGCAACAACACCAACATACCCATCAGGCCTGACCACCACCAATGCGCCATATGCCGGGTCTACACCATAGATACGATACGCATCATCTAAAGCCGACCCATCATAGAAGCGCATCTCAGCCTTTTGCTTCACACACGCCGGCACGTCGCTCCAGTCAAAGGACCGATGCAGCTGGGGATACAGGATAATCTGCTCAATAGTCGACTTGGGGAACTGCGCTTCTAGCAAAGTGACTGCTTCCAGTGCCTGTACAGAGACACTGTTTCGATCAAGAAGGTCGGTCGATGTAAGACATACGATGCGGAATCGGCCAGTGGAGGGGATATCTGTGGGGTTATTTGGTTAGATATCATGTTCCCATCCGATATTTCCGTACCTCTTTGACATACCGTCGTGAATATCCCGCTGCCACCCATCGGCGTGCCGCAGCAATCGGACATTGAGCAATCTCCGGCCTGGTCTCAAGATGCCGGATATGTAGTCCGTCCCTGTGACAGGGTTCGAACCCTTGCTTTTGATATAACAGTCTAGCTCCTCTCGAATAACTAGCATGTTCTCCGGGTATTCCACGCCACAGCCGCTGGTAAATCCATTGCCGAGCGTGAAGACCTGTTGGAACTCTTCTTGTGTCAGTCCTTCAGTTGCGCCCATTTGGCCCGAGAACATGGTAGAGAATTTCCGGTCGAAGTCGATGAGCTGTTGCGCTATTTCGTGGCGTTCTGTCTGGTATGTGTCGAGTAATGGGGCTGGACTATTGTGCGCTGTTGGTTCTGGCGCGAGCCCGTTAATGTGATATATAAGTTTCCAGGCTAGGTTGTAGGAGTCCATCATTGAAACATTCATGCCTTGACCAGCCTGGTGGAATGAAAGTTAGTGAAATCCTCGAGCAAAGAGTGACTGTGAAGACTTACTTTCGGACTATGTGTATGACAAGCTATAAATATGATTCACGTTAGTTCGAGACCATGCACGCTCTTCAAAACGAACTCACCGTCTCCAGCAATGAAAACCCTTGCAACTCCCTTTGAATCATTGACAATAAACTCAGGCGAGACACGCTGACCAATTTGATAAGCAGCCCACCAGTCAACAGCATCCTCCTTAGGCCGGAGAGAGTATGGCTTGACCGCATCGGCAGCTTGTTTCAAAATCCCGTCAAGGGTAATCTTGCTTCTTCGCTGCCGAGCATCCTCAGACTTAACACCCTCTGCTCCATTCGGCGTTTGATCGCTCTCCGGAGCCACATCCTCAGGAACCTGAACATACAGCCGAGTGAGGTATTCGCCCGTGGAGATCCTCTCTCTGGGGATAATCATAACAGATCCGGCAGGAGAATGAATAGCGCAGCGACGACGAATATCGGGGAAATCCGTCTCAGCAATCATATCAACCACACCCCAGATATGATCCAAAGACTCTCCTTCCAGCCGCAGCCCCATACATTGCCGGACGACCGAATGCGCCCCATCCGCACCAACAAGATGCTTTGTGCGAACTGTTTTCTCAACACCATCTGTAGCCATAGTCACAAGCACTGGAAACTCGGCATCTCCCTCTTCGTCAATCTTGACATCCACAACGCTCGTATTGCGCACAATCCCCCGCTCCGAGTACCGCAGCAAATCGGTCTCCATGATACGCTCGATCCGTCCCTGGTGGATGGTAGCCTCGTACCGGAACCGCGCTGGAGGAATAACATCCGGCACGACGGATGTGCGCTCAATCACCTTCTTGGGGTCAGATGATGGGTTCCAGAAAGCGAATTGCCACATCTGGCATGCTTCGTTCTCTATCTCGGTTGAGATACCGAGTGATTTGAAGACCTCCAGCGTGCGGGGTTGCACGCCATCTGCTTGACCAGATTTCAGAGTACTTGGTTTTGCATCAATACAGAGGAGGGATGTATCGGTAAGTCCATAGCGGGAGAGGAGGAGGCCTAGCATTAGGCCTGCTGGTCCGGCCTAAATATTGATGTTAGGGTCTCTTTTCGCGAATTTTAGATACCGCGCTGGTATCGGGGGCATTATGGACTACATACGCCGACCACAACTGCTTCATATTTGTCTTTGTTTTTATCATTGCGCTCGAATTGGGGTGCTAATCGAGGTAGTGGTGGTGCAAATGATGGCAGGACTCTCAAGTCCCGAGATGACGAGGAATGTTCAGTGAAGACTGGCATTGCTTTTCTGAGTGCTGGAAGTAGAGCAATTGAGAATCTCCACTGGAAAGAAATATAGCCATACTTATAAACTGATCTTGATTTGGGATGTTTTGACGGGGTAGAGCTACAGCCCCCGCGAATCTGCTCATGTGGGGGAAGAACACCCACAATTTGTGATGATTGGTAACAATTACATTTGTTATGATTGGATTAAGGCTAACATATATATATATATATATAGTGACAATTTATCCACAGGGTAGGAGTTCGGATATACGAAGTACAAGACATATATTTACACATAAACTTCAGTAAAAGAAACCAAGATAATTGAAATCAAATAGCAAGTGTTCAAGGAAATCTGCCAAATTCCAGTTACCGAGATAGAAATATTCTCGCATATTTGCCTCGAAAAGTACCATAGTGGAACCTCACCCCGCAAGATATGGGGTTGAGGAATAATCGGATGTGAACATCGGCAGTGCTATGCATTTGGTGATTTGAAAAAAATACTCTTTAGGTGGAACTTTTTGATTACATTTTGAGTAATTGGTAGTTTGCTTCAGGCTTCGTGTACAATATAACAAAACGTTACTTTATCCATAAGCACGACCCTTGCCCTCATCCAGCACCGTTGAAAGCACATTCGCAAAAGCCTGTGAAATACCCCAACGGCCACCCCGCTGTAGCAAATCAATCATTCCATATAATTGATCCAAATCCGTAACTACAGATCGCTCACTACTTTGAGCATTCCCAGGAAAACATGCAAGCTCCGCAGCCCCATCACCCAGCAACTTGAGCTCCGGCGACGCAAATGCCTCCGCATTTACGACATGTTGGGGCGCAAACTGCGCAATACACAAGTAGATCAATGTCGCCGAGAATAGCGCACGGGGGACATGTATCGCTGGCTCAGCTGATATACTCATGCTCTCGAGATACCGGGCAACCAGCGATGCGTGCACGAGACAGCGGCTTGCATTCAGGGAAGAGGCCCATTCTCGCACCTGTTCCAATGCTTTCAAGGCTGGGGCCCGGCCGTCCCGGCCGACCGCTTGTTCCAGGAGATCCATATCCGCGTAGAGGGATATGAAAATGGAATGCCACAACACGGGTAGACAAAACGGATCTTGGTCTGTCGTACGATATGTCTGCCACCACTGGATCAGGAGATTGGAAGTATCTTGACAGACTAGGTGGTTGAATTCTTGAGATTGTTTGGCATCTATGAGGCGAGCGCTGATTCCTTCAAGGATCCCATATGCAGTGAACCTAGAGTCTTGGCCTGTGACCGGGAATGGATCGAGAGAGAGTTGAGTTTTCAGTTGATTTTCGCTCTGTGATTGAAGAGATTGGTTGAGAAGTACGGCCCAGTTAGATGCAGTAGGAGCCGAAAACAATTCATCGGATGCTAGACGGGGAAACTGGCGGGGTCGATGACTGCGAATTGGCTCGTGGTGGTACAAAGCAGCAAGCTCGGCATCATGGATATTCAGTGCGGCTTGAACTCGAGCACGTTGCTCGCTATCAATCCATCGATGCCAGCTTCTTTCAATATCTGCGCTGTTCAGAATATCTTGTGACTGGCTGCAAAGAGCACCTAGTCGATTTGCTTCACGGGCCCATGAGGCAACTGTCCCGTGCAATACATCTGCCAGAACAAGGTATTTAGGCTTTCCAGCTAGAATAGCATAGGTTTGGCCCAAAATAGCAGCTTGTACCATGGACAGGGCATCTGGTCGGCTTTCTGACAGGAAGGACTCCCATGATGCCAGAATGGCTTTGTTCAGCCGCTCGAATATCCGTGAGCCTTGAGCCACTGCGCGGGAAGACCCGACGAATAAGCTGCCAATGGAGCAAATCGATAGGAATAATAGAGAGTTTTCCGCTGTCGGCCGAAACGAGGGAGCATGTATGACAGGTAATAAAGGATGAAACCGATGAAAGTATAATTTGGCAAAAAGATTCAATTGCTCCGAGGATGGCAATGCCTCATCTTCCATAGGTCGACGGAGCTTCTGAGATAGACCAGCTCGGTATGATTCATTCGTATTAGTTTCCCCTGACCAATTTGCTCCTGTGCCGGCAAATTCTCGACTGGGTCTGTTCTCGTCAGATGGTGACATGTGGGTGAACCATATTCGTTTGACTGTGTCCCCGGTCATGTTTGGAACTTCAATATCTTGAATAGAGCTTTGGACAGGAGTAAAAGCATCATGCTCTCCCGTCGACAGACTCGCAGCAGGAAACAAATTTGGGATCTGCGCCCATTCGGATATTGTAGAGGTTATTGAGAAGTCAAGCGCACTGACATCAAAATCGTCCCCAAGGAACCATGCTCCGGGTCCTGAACTGTGAGCTGGTTCACCTACACCACTTTGTGTAGATGCAGTGGGTTGTCCAAAACTGATGGTATTGGTGTGGGGTATGCTCAGTATATTTGTGTTGACAGGCGATTGTGGAGAAACATGAGTTACTGATCCAGAAGGCAGCCCTGAGAAAACTCTGAATGAATCAGCTGCGGATGGAGGTGTGAGCATCGCAGAACTGTCAGAGAATCCTCGTGGCGATACAGTAGTCAGCCTCTCCGGTTGAACCTCGTGGCTGCGTTCATGCCGACGCAGGACATCACTAACAACGTTAATACGAGATCAAACTCGACTGACCATTTGGAACATCTCGTACCTCCGCGAATATAATCTCCCACAGACAGGGCATACAAAAGGCCTTTCTTTGGTGTGACCACGAATATGTCTAGTGAGATGCTCTTTCTTGGAGAATGTCTTGTTGCATGTATGACATCTTCGATCATCTCGTGACCGTATCCTATCCATATCATCTGTGATCTTGAAACTTGGCGGGGTGGTTTTGTTGCAATATTGGAACATGGATCAGAGGGCGAAAGACATCGATTCTGACTGCGCCTAAAGTAAACACCCCTAGGAAGGCTTCTGTATCAGTTTTCCTTGCCAGGATTGTTTTCTCCCAGAGCAATATGAAAATAAGTGTTGAGGATCAAGTCTGGGGTTCCCCCACTTCCCCACATTTCCAAGGTTCGGTACCTACCTAATCAAATGGCAGTTAACGTATTCGGTAAGCGAGCTGGCCATGTAAGCCAGCTGGCCACCTCACCCAAAATTGTCCGTTAATTAGCACTTCATTAATTCAACCACCCACCATGCCACCAATTCGCTCTCAAAGCTCTCGAAATTCAATAGAGCAAGAGGGTAGGATATTATTAGCTATTCAGGCTTTTCAAAAGCAAGAAATCTCATCAATTCGTGAAGTGGCTCGCCTATTTAACGTACCCCGTTCCACCCTTACTACGCGCCTCAATGGTGTCAGAAATCGCGCGAATTCTCGCGTAAATTCGCAGAAATTGACACAAACCGAGGAGGAAACTCTTCAAAAATGGATTCTTTCTATGGACTCTCGTGGATCTGCCCCCCGGCCTTCTACTGTACGAGAAATGGCGAATCTTTTACTTCAACAACGCGGAACCACCCCGGTTATTTCGGTCGGCGAAAAATGGGTTTATAACTTTGTGAAACGACACCCTCTCCTCTCCTCCCGATTCTCGAGACGCTATAATTACGAACGTGCGAAGTGCGAAGACCCGAAGATCATTCAAGAGTGGTTTACACTTGTTCAAAATACCATCCTTCAATTTGGAATCGACCCCGATGACGTTTATAACTTTGATGAGACTGGTTTCGCAATGGGGCTAATCGCTACTGCGAAGGTGATAACAAGGAGCGAATTCTACGGTCGACGCTCGCTTTTACAACCTGGAAATCGCGAATGGGTGACTGCTATTGAGTGTACAAATTCGTCGGGTTGGGCCCTCCCTCCGTGTATCATTTTTAAAGGCAAAGTCTTTATTGAATCATGGTTTGATGGCCTTCCGGATGACTGGCGATTTGAAGTTAGTCCGAACGGTTGGACCTCTGATGAAATTGGACTTCGTTGGCTTGAAAAGCTCTTTATTCCTAGCACTTCTTCGCGTACGAAGGGGAGGTATCGTCTCCTAATACTCGACGGACATGGAAGCCATTTGACCCCTAAATTCGATGAAATTTGCGAGCAAAATAAGGTTATACCAATTTGTATGCCTCCGCACTCCTCTCATCTTTTACAACCCCTGGATATCGGTTGTTTTGCTGTGTTAAAGCGATCATATGGTCGGCTGGTTGAAATGAAAATGCGGAACGGGATCAACCATATCGATAAACTTGACTTCCTCGATGCATACCCCCTCGCACGAATTGAAGCTTTTAAATCGGAGACTATTAAAAATAGCTTCGGAGCAGCTGGTTTAGTACCTTTTGCACCTGATCGAGTGATCTCGAAGCTGAATATTTATCTTCGAACCCCAACCCCCCTCCAAGCCGGGGTAGCGAATCAAGCCGGAATTTCACACCAAAAACACCAGCTACAGAGAAAGAACTACGTCGACAGGCTTCCTCAATCAAAGCTTTACTTCGTACAAGATCTCGAAGTCCTCCAAGCCCGTCAGATCGTGCATTAGACCAACTTGTGAAAGGCTTCCGTCTCACAATGCAAGGTGCTATACTACTCGCTAAAGAAAATAAGGAATTACGCGCTGAAAACGAGAAGAAGAAGCAAAAGCGGACCCGATCTTCAAGGCATATAGATCACGAAGGAGATCTTTCAGTTCAGGAGGTTCGTGAGCTACGTTCAGAGCCATTTGAGGCCCAAGTAGCGCGTATCAATACCTATCGTGAGCGGGTTTCGGAGGGTTTACAGCCAGCTACACGGGCCGGGCGAGCGTGTGGAATATGCAGATTACCGGGACATAGAAGAGAAACCTGTCCAGATAGATAAATCAATTTAATTGAATTAATTTAATGGTGTTTTGGTTGAGATAAATCAAGTTGAATTTAATGGGCTGGGTGAGGTGGCCAGCTGGCTTACATGGCCAGCTCGCTTACCGAATACGTTAGTCAGCTAGTTAGTTATAGGAGTAACTATGAATGCCTGAACGCCTTATTTTTAGTCGATATCCCTATGTACAATTGTTTATAAAACACCCAACTTGTTTTACTGCCTGCTTGAACTCCATCCAGCTTATATATATTGAATGATCTCTAAATGAAATGCAGCATTCCCCTTCATTCTCCTTATGTGTTAAAAGTGGGTTTATTATATGGCCTCATTTTTCATGCAATGTGAAATGACCGATACAAATTATGAACAGCACTTTGACAGCTTAAACAACATCCCTCCGCTCCCAGCCGCATGGCCGTTTTGGATCAGGCGCTTCAATTGGATGTGGCTGGCTTGGGTCATGGTACTCGGCAGTGTAAGGATTCGGGTCTTTCTTTTGATCCAAGTTTCCCAACGTATGGTTGACCTCACGATGCTTTGCCTCGTCCGCCCTAATATAAAGCAAGAGGTCAACCATCTGACGTTTCCTCTCCGGCATTTCCCAATATTTGACCGCGATGTCCGGGGCCGCTAGGTTGTTCCAAAGGGGCAGTTTTCCAGCTTCAATGTCGTGGATTGCATGTGTATACGTGATCACGGCTTCTTCCTCCAGGTATCCCACAAATCGATGGCAGGTTCGGGGCGAGATAAGGTAGGACAAGAAGAACATATTGAAGAAGACACCTTGAGCCCCAAGAATTATTAGGCGCATGAAAGGGCCCGGCTCCGCAAGTTTCATGAAGGTCAGCAAATGCATACGTTCATTATAGGCTTCTTCAATCAGCGATTCGATCCTGCGTGCAGATGTCAATACAAGTTCGAGGATCGAAATATATAAATCTTCATATGAACTTACCATCCATGATCTCTCTTCATCTGCCGAATGCTCTTCAGGTGTCGCAACATTCCCCCAACCATCCCCGGAACCCCTGCTACCGACTCCAAAAAGATGAACCGAATTAACCATTTTCTTTCATCCATAAGGAACCTTTTAGCAACTCTTTCGTCTTTCTTGGGGTTCCGATATCCGGTAGCAAAGTCAGTACCCCATCGGAGTAACCGCACAAGGCTGAGGGCGACTTTGTCAGACATACAACGGGCGTCGCGGTGAGCAACGCAGATGTCTCGCATGTCCTTCTCGGAATAACTATAGCTGCATTCAGTATGTGTATGTTCGCCAGAGAGGGTGCCATTATCAGAGGCTCTGCAGGGTAAAAATGAGCGTACATTGGATGATGCCAGATGATCTTGGTTTCCTTGATTTTCCCGCTATCAGGCGGGGCTAACAGGTTTCCTGATGACTGTTGCTTGGAGGTAGAGAAGTTCATTTTCTGGGCCAGATGGGGCCCATGGTGGCTTGCTTTGGCATTTTTGTCTTGTCGCAGTGAAGCTGCAGACCAGAGCCGATAAGGAGCAGTGGTCGATGTTGGGAGCCGTCTGAGAACACCTCGCGCTTGTGCACACATCATGTTGGTTATTTTCAGTTGTTAATAGAAAATAGCACATACTTTAGAGCATCACAAAAGCGTTATATACATACAAAAAAAAGACAGGAATCCGATACGGAGCCCCGAACATGGAAAAGGCCGGTTGACACATACCTCAGTTCCGCCCAAATCTTCTCTCTGGAGCTTCTCCCCGAATAAGCCCAAAACGGACATTTCCCTTATGGACAGTCCAGCTCTGCACTGCCTAACCCATGCTGGCAGCACCGATCGGGTCGGAAGCAAATCAGAATACCGGAAGGTGGAGACGCCATATCCCGGATAACTAAATTGGGATTCCGACTGTGGTCAGAGGGCCTGAGGCAGCACATCATCTTCTAGAATTCATATACAAATATTATAGTAAGGATATAGTGCGGTTGCCCGGGCCAAGTATTATTTGAGATTCAGGAAACTGATCAATCTGACGCTTTTATTAAGTATTCGTTCATTTTTGGTCAATATTCAAGGTTGTGTTGCAAGTCTAGAAACACCCGAGGTTTCTTTCATCATATTCCATTGAGGGTAAGACCTGAAAGAGAACAAAATGACTATGTTTTCGAGATTTTCTGTTCGCCGAGTTTTGAACTCGGAAATCATTCGTTCTTGCCGATTGAACAAACAACCATTATTGTCCCAAGTCACCCGGCGTGCATTGAGCCTGAAGCATCACGGAGACCCAACTCCAGCAGTTGGAACCACCACGCGAGTACGGAACCAAAGCTTTGGAAATACAAAGCGAATTGCATTGGTCTCCCTTATTGGGGGCTTTTCAATTGCGGTATACAATATCTACCACCTTAACAATCCCCGGGAACAACTCCAGCCAGATCCCAGCAAGAAGACTCTCGTGATCCTGGGAACGGGTTGGGGGTCGACATCATTGCTGAAAGAGATCGATTCCTCAAACTACAATGTCGTGGTGATATCATCACGAAACTACTTCCTCTTCACCCCGTTGTTGCCGTCTTGTGTGACTGGTTTACTAGACACTCGGTCTCTGATGGAACCCATTCGGAATATTTTACGCCATAAAACCACTGCGGTCAAATTCTACGATGCGGAAGCGACTAATATTGATTATGAAAAAAGGGTGGTGCATTTCAAGAGTGACTCCACTGACGCATCTGCTGCTGAAATCCCGTTCGACTTGCTTGTTGTCGGGGTTGGTGCAGAAAATGCTACCTTTGGTATGTCAACCAGATTATACTCAAATCTAGAGCTTGAAGAACACCTGCTGATGTGCTTCTAGGAATTGCGGGTGTGAAAGAACATGCCTGCTTCCTTAAGGAAACAAAAGATGCAGAGAAGATCCACAGGAAAGTGATGGCTCGCGTGGAACAAGCTGATTTCAAGGGCCAAGGGCAAGAGGAAATCAAGCGACTGCTGCATATGGTTGTTGTAGGAGGTGGCCCCACGGGAATTGAGACAGCCGCTGAATTGCAAGACTTCTTCAAAGACGATTTAAAGAAATGTGTTCCCGAGCTGGCGGATAAACTCAAGGTCACCTTGATTGAAGCCCTTCCAACGGTACGCATACCTCACCATCGTTCTACTCTGATACTAATAACCATTCTTAGGTCCTTCCAATGTTTTCAAAGAAATTGATCAATCTCACCGAGTCAACCTTTCAGGAAGAAAACATTGTGATCCGGAAAAGGACGATGGTTAAAAGTGTTTCAGACACGGAAATTGAAGTGGAGTGCCGGGAGCTTGATGGGACTGTAAGAAAGGAGGTGATTCCTTATGGAGTTTTGATCTGGGCGGGCGGTAATGCAGTCCGCCCGATTGTGAGGGACTTTATGGGCCAATTTCCAGGCCAATCTACTGCTCATAGAGGACTCGTCGTTGATGACTACCTTCGGGTAAAAGGTGCTAGTGGCGTATGGGCGCTGGGTGACTGTACCCAAACCAACTTCGCACCAACAGCCCAGGTTGCTAGCCAGCAGGGTGTCTTTTTGGGCAAACACCTCAACGCCATCGCAACAGCAAAGAATCACTCGTTTGGCAATATTGCCGGTGACGTCGGCCAGCCGCTCCTCGGATCGAAGGCAGCCAAGGCATTTGATTATATCCACCAAGGCAGCCTGGCTTATATTGGCAATGAACGGGCCATTGCGGATATACCACTGCTTGGTATGAATATCGCAAGTGGCGGACAATGGACTTTCCTCTTCTGGCGTTTGGCCTACGTTAAGATGTGTCTCAGTGGTACGTGTCAAATTACTTTACATTTGATATTCGCTAACTCTGCTTAAATCGACCATAGTTCGCAACCGATATTTTGTCATGGGTGATTGGCTCAGAGTTCAACTTTTTGGCCGAGATATTTCGAGCCAATAGCGTTTATGGCTGTTGAGAGGGTAGAAAAAGACTCAGACCTCAGACGTGAAATATGCGTGATATAGTCGGTTCTGATTTCAATTATGTTGTGGTAGAGACGGTATCACATGCCTTGGTGCTTGGTTTGTCAGGCTTGAAAGAACTATTTAGGTAACTAATTGGCTTCATGTTTGTTTGTAGAGAATCAATCCTTTCTTCTCTGCTCTCCTTGCTCTACCAAATTATTTATTATCTTTTACCATGAAAATGAATTCGTAGAGCAATGAGGGCTGCCAACCATCTCACTAATGAACAACATACTCAAATATATCCCCCTACTGGACAGAGATACGTTGGTTTAACAAAAAAGACGTAGGGAAATCATGACTTGGTTTGAGTAAAATCTGGAAACTGGCGAGATATATATTCAACTGCCCCAATGAGGGTTATTTACCCGGGTATGTTGACCCTGAATATGTAAATAAAGTTACTAAAATGCCTGGAAAATGGCAAGGAGAATGCAGAGTTCGATGAATACTATATATTTTCTAATAGAACAATAACTAAAGCTGAGATCATGAAAATACAAAATGTACAGAGAAAAAATCAGATAAAGTCGATAAATAGTCAATACATCAACTACTCACCAACATAGGCTACCCCTGTGATTGCACCTCCGATGTCAGGGAAAATCGTGGTCTTGCAGGACCCGTCCAAATTGGCACTGTACAGAGAGCCTCCAAGATCGCCGAAAAACATGCGGCTATTTTTCAGGTCCAAGGCAAGTCCAATCCCTTCGTGAAGCTTGCGAATCAGTATCTTTGGTTTCATGTTGCTCGTTGACAAATCCGCAAGGGCAACTGAATTTACGGTGTTGCCATGTGGTGGATCACCTCGATCAGTCCAGTACAGTGTTCCAGAAGCGTGATCAAATTCCAAATCGATGGGTTCCGGAAGATTGTCCAGAAGAACCTGGATATCTCCATCTTTTTCGATATCCATTCGAAGAATTCGTCCTTCGTTTCCCTTCGACGGTCCTTTCTGCGTCCAAAAGACAGACTTGGACTCTTCATCCACAGCAATACCGACACACCAGTTATGCACAACCTGACTATCTGTATCAATGATACCAGCCTGGTAAAGCACTTCAACGTCACTACCATCCATATTCGCCCTCATAACTCTCATACCCTCTCGGTCTGACCAGTACAACATTTTTGACTTGGGCGCAATAGTCAGCTGCTTCGGCGTATGTGTCTGGCCTGGTGGGATGATCGTCACGATATTGTTACCGGACAAGTCACTGCGTTGTATGGACCCATCGTTGGCAGAGGGGACTCCCATATTCGTCCAGTATATGTGCTGGCGACCCGTGTCAATGGCGATTCCGTCGGGTAAAGTTCTGATGTTGGTAATCAGCTCGCGGAGACCAGAGCCATCCGATTGGCAAGTAAGAATGCGGCCATTGAGTTCTGGATTTGAAATACCAACGTCGAGGAAATAGAGTCGACCCATAGGAGCCGTAGCAAGGGGAGATTGGACCATTTCAAGAGTATACGAAAAGAGATGAAAAGAGATCTAGGTGATGAAGCTTTTTTGCAGGAAAGTGTTGATAGGTAAGCCAAAAGGCAAATCACTACCTTAAATACTCCGTTATTTAAGACGATTGACTGTTATCACAGGCGAGCCGACTAGTAGTCAAATTTCCAGGAGTACAGCCGGAAGCTTAATCGGGATGCTCCGACCTCGGGATATGACGACAGTTACTCCGTTGACCCATTCAATTTGGAATCCCGAAAACATTTCAAGCCGGCTATGTATCGGCTTCCCGAGGTTCGAGCCCCATCTTAGTAAAACGTCATATAATCCAACTTGTCACTTCCGTGATAGGGACCAGCAAAATGGCACTATGGCAAGCATAGTATACTCAAATCTACTGTGAGGTGTTAGATGCGAAACTAAGTTGTGATGGAGCTTTCGGCAGACCATACCGAACATAGTTCCTATTACTTCCAGGTTCCCGGCTCTTCGCGGAACTAGGATTATTAATACGGCCTTAATGCCTACCTAGGTACCAGGTGCTCACTAATCAATTATTCAGGTGTTTATAACCGGATTATGGCCTCCTGGGAACAAGTTTATCCCTCCCTAGCTGCAACTATTTAATTTGCCCCTGCACAATACCTTTTTTCCCTGCCATACAGCTGCTCTGAAGTCGCTAAAAGCTCAAAATGTCGTCTGAAGTTATCAACCAGGTTGCCATCCTCACAGCTAAGCCAGAAAAGCTTGACGAAGTAAGTCAAATATTTAACTGGTCCGGCTGACAGGCCGATGTCCCTTCTGATAATGACTGTTGTTGTCATCAGGAGTACTTTTTCTCCCCAAATGTGGGATTTTGAACTGATCAACTTTTATTGCGTCCCACCTATAGCTCATTGCCGAATTAGCCAATATTACCCGGAAGGTGCAAGAGGATGAGCCTGAGACCACTGTATACTATGCCTTCTCTATCGCGGATACAAATGAAGTCATAGTCGTTGAAAGGTGCGTCTATGCTCTGTCATCTGCATTCTCTTTTTGTGGCTTGACAATTGGTCTCTTTTAACACACTTCTTTTTAGATATGCAAACCAGGACGCATTGGAAAGACACCGTGTTGCACCTTACTTTCAGGAACTCATTAAAAAGGCTCCAACCCTGTTGGCAAAACCTTTGGCGCTCAAATCTGGCAGACATTTGCTTCAAGACTCTGCACAAGTCATCCGCCTATGATCTGCTATGAGAATGTCTATCTCTTGTGTTGGACTGTTGGATTATCCCATTGATGCTGATTTGTTTGCTCACAAGGTGAGCGGTTCTTTGATAGACGGATTGTTTGTTAGACAGGTTGTTTGTTAAACATATTGTTTGCTAGACAGCAGGGGTATAATACCCTGCTGCTTCATAGATTGAATAGCCGAGACTTCTTCATCTTCCCTCTCTCCCTCTGTAAGCCAACATCTTTTTAAATCACTTCCTTCACTTTGAGGGTATTTTGCTGATTTGTGTTTCCGATACCTACCACACGGAGCTTCAACCTTTTTTTTCTCGGCTGTCGTTGAAAATTGTTAGGAAGTAACCAGCGGTTAAATATGATGGTAAATTTAGCTCAAAGCAGCTTGGAACCGACATTGCTAGGTTGGCAACACTTGCACGTTTTTGCTTATCGATATACCAAAGGACATTGCTGTCAACCTTGGAAATAAAGGCCACCGTACTTGATTTATCGCAACACTGCTTGCAGTCTAAATAACCCCCACCGACTTTGGATACTGCTAGAATTTTCATCATCGAAGGAAAGAAACCATTGGTTGTATTGGGCTAGTTGCTAAGAGAAAAAGAAGATCAAACAGCCAAGGAGTAAGGTCATTATCTTCCTGAGGCAGAAAGGCTGCCTCAACGATGATCCTTAGGCGGAACCCTCAGTTTTGCTCTTGATCAAGCCAACTAAAATTTTGTCCCGACTTTCTTCAATCTCTTTCAAGTTGACCTGCGAAGTCCACTCATCCACTCTCTCTTTGAGAACATCCATATCTTGAGAATCCATGTCAAATTCATGCCGGTGCATGTCTTCCAACCACGTTTTCAACGCCGGCCCCAGGTGGTTCATGAAACAATTGAAGTCTCCACCTCCACCAAGAGTGTTGGTCATAATAGGTCCAGTCAAAGCCCAACGAAGGCCAAGGCCAGATGTCACAGTTTTGTCTAATAAAGTCAGAGAAAGTCGTACACATTCAATCAAACGGATAATACTAACCAAGGTCTTCGGCTGAGACGACACCCCTCGAAACAAGGCTATAAGCTTCGGCACAAACAGCGGCTTGAAGCCGGTTCGCAATAAACCCGGGGGTCTCTTTCTTGACAAGCACCGGATCTTTGCCTAGGCTTCGGTAGAACTGGAGCGCAGCCGTCACGTACACATCACCCGTTCCTTGGTGGGGAACTACCTCCACCAGGGGCACTAAATGCGGGGGGTTGAATGGATGACCGATCAAAATACGGGCTGGGTTTTTCTTGCATTCAGTGATAAATTCCGATGAAGGGAGGCCGGATGACGACGATGCGATGACCACGTGCTCGGGGGTATTTGCGTCCAAATGAGCGAAAAGACGGCGCTTGAAGTCCAACCTCTCCGGTCCATTCTTATGTTGAAAGATCGATCAGTAACAACCTCGAAGAAAACTGTTTTATTCGCGATGGCCAACTCACCTCTTGTATCAAATCTATGTCCCCAAGATGAGCGTCGATTTCCTTAACGAATTTGAAATTATTCAAGTATTCGTCTTGTGTCACTTTGGTATTGGGTATGGTTGGCCAATGTTTTAGCAAATAATCACGGAGTTTGCCATCAGCTCCTGGTGCTGGGTCTGTCACAATGACCTTCAAGCCTCTAGCCAGGAACAATGCCGTCCAACTAGCGCCGATCACACCAGTGCCGATCACACCGACAGTTCTGATGGTAGGCAGAGTCATGCTTTTTGACTTGTTAGGTGATTATTCCGATCTCTGTGTTTAAATTGAGATTCTATACTGGTTGGTTGACTATGCGTGCAGTGAGGCCAATATATAGTCAATGAGCCCCGGTGGCGGAGCAAGGTTAGATGAACTGGAGCCTGTGTACCCAAAGTGTTCCTCGGAAGCGTGTGCTGGCTTCCGAGGTCGAGTCCAGTCCGAAAGAACCTTGGGATAATTGTACCTTCGTTGCCGGGTTCCGGCCCCGGGGGTCATAAGCTTCGCGGAGCTCAGTGGTCTCTTCATGATTGGACATGTTCATTTTAACTTTTATGGAGTAGAAGGCTTGGAGCCAATGAAAGAAAAGAACAGAAAAAGGAAAAATTACCTTTTGGGTCATGCCAAGATATTCGGTGCCATTTCGGGCCTTCCGAGCTCGGGGGCTTCGTAGGGGCTTCTAAGCTTCGGAACGGGAAGATCCATATCTTCACGGATTGGCGAAAAGGTATAAATACTTCGCCGCAACCAGAGTGTTATACGAGTTATCCGACTATAGAAGCTGCACCGAGTCTACTTCGTCCTTACCTTTATTCTAAGTCTTCATCGTTTATCTCTTTTTTTCTCTCTAAAAGTGATCCTTTGGCAACATCCTGCTGAATTCATAATGCCTTATCTACACAAAACCACGCCGAGCACCGATATCTACGGCCCTGGGACTTTCATGGATATGGACTTTACTCCAGCTTCCCAGGATGCTGCTCGGATTTTTGAGTATATTGCAAAGAAAACGCCTGGGTTCACTCAAGACAAAGAGCTTTGGGATACAGTCAAGTTTGAGGGCAGCGAGCTACCAATCATTCCTGGCCCAATCAAGGCCCCTCTCATTGCAGCTGCCCTACATGCCATGTGTGGAGTTGTGGCCCATGAGATTGTCGAAGATCGGGACGGCACATTGGCGCGTACCCATCAGGTTACTGTCAACACCGATCATGCTGGTATTTGGTTGGGAACGATATTTGCGGCTTCCGTGGAAGGGAAAGACTTATCCGGTCTGGTCAAGTCGCGTCAGCTGTCATCTCTTTTTCAGCAGGACTTCGACCGAGGCTGTATGGCCACACCGATAAAACAACGATGTACTGCTATCTACAAGACAAAGACTCCAGGCGTTTGGTATCAACTTCACGGTTCCCTCGATCCTATTCCGGTCCTCCAATCGATGGGAATCGATCCTGATTACCCTGCCAAGACCTTAGATGAAGCCTATGACTACATCAGCCGGCATGTGGAGCAATGGACCGCAGACGAGTTGGAAATGCACAACGTCAAGAACGGCTACTGCGGCAGCATCTGCTTTACCCCCCAAGGCTGGTCAGACACGCTGATGGGAAGGAGGCTTGCAGATCACCCACTAGTCGGCTACTCCCGACAGTCGCATGCAATTCCGACTCCTCCAACCCCCTTGCCCAAGATCGCAAACGATAGCCGGCCTCTAGCAGGTGTCAAAGTGATTGAGCTGGTTCGCATTATTGCCGGTCCTGTAATTGGCAACACTCTCGCCGCTTTCGGTGCCGATGTCATACGCGTGAACTGCAGCCGATTAACAGACCTTGGTGTAAGTGGCGGATTTCCTGCCTACTCCTGCTCGAACTTCGTTGTGCTGACTGGTAATATGTAGGCTTTGCAGCTTACCCTGAACACAGGGAAACGTACTATTGATATTGATCTGAGCAAGGACGAAGATAAGTCACGATTACGGGAACTCATTGAGGATGCCGATGTTTTTGTTCAGGGCTTCCGCCCTAATGCGATCGCAAGAAAGGGCTTTGGCGTCAACGATCTCCTCGAGATGGCCGGCAACCGTGGGAAGGGCATAGTTTATGTCGAGGAGAACTGTTACGGCCCTGATGGGCCATACCATGAAAGACCCGGCTGGCAGCAGATTGGGGATGCAGCCTCGGGATCGTCCTACGTGATGGGCCGGTCTTTAGGCTTCAAGGATGGTACCAGCGTTCTTCCACCGCTTCCAATATCCGATATGACCACTGGTCTTGTGGGTGCTTTGGGGGCTATTATGGCCCTCCGGGATCGGGCTCGACTAGGCGGCTCATATCGGGTGACAAGCTCTTTGGTGAAGGCCGACGCAATTGCACTCGAGCCCGAGATCGGTCTTTACTCACCGGAGGTTGTTGAACAGAGCAATGAGTTGTTTAAATGGGGCCCCATAAACTCTTCCCAGTTTGTGATAGAGATCCTTCTCGTCGTCATGGATGGATGGAAGAGGGTATTCCCGCAATACTTTGAATCCGGAACTGAATCGCTCATGACCAGTTTCCAAGATGGGCCATGGGGCCATATGGACACCCTGAAGCCTGTGGTCCAGTTGAGCAATTTGACCATGACACCTCGCTGGTTGACACCTTCGGTTCCCCATTGTTATCATCCTCAAAACATACAATGGATGTAGCTTGCTCCTAGGAGAGGTCACCATGTGATCCCAATGGTGGCGGCAAATTGTGACACTACAGACTGGCGATTGGGTTGATTTGCTGTGCAAGCTCATTTGTCAAACCTTGAAGATGATTTTTGTGCTCTTGTGATCTGGAGCAGGCTTGGGGATACAGTGTTCCAAGTCAATCAGCAGTTATTGTATGTAAAATATGGGCAACACTTGTTCAGATTTATATAATTACCCATATATCTTGTTCCATTAGCAATCATACAATTAAGCATTCTCAGTTCTTTCACTTAAATTCGAACAATATTTTTTTCTTGAGACTAGCCGCCAAGGCATATATATAGAACAAGGTGGTCGATTTCGAAAAAGAAACAAGGGAACCAACAACTAACCCAGGTAGAGTTCAGCCCATGCGCTAGCATAGACCATAAATATATCAGATCGGTAAAGATATTGAAGCTTCTAAGGCTAAGGTTCTAATGCTACGTTGACTCAGTGATCATACACATACTTAGTTCTTTGTATATCTAAATTTGAACATCATGTGAGGCATCCAATACAGCAAGAGGATCTTCATTACTTTAGTGCAACGAGCTTTTACTGCTAGATTGGTGATATCAATCTTCCAGCAGATCTTCTGGGCAAGAAAAAAATGTGTGATGTTCTAGATTAGTCGAAGCTATGCTTGCATTCCCCATCTTTCGGCTGGACTGGTTTCTTCGTCCAGCTGTGCAAAAAACAAAGGCCAATCGTTCCAATCAAAAGCATAATTCTCGAGCCAAGCCAAGTTTTCTAGATTATTCTGAGACTCTTGCCCTTCCATGGCTGCGCCTTGAATCATTGTATTGTCCTGGTTCATTGCGTCTTGCGAACCTTCTCCGGCAGCGTAGTCTGTTCCAGAGCCGCGCATATCAATATTTTCTTGGACCAACTTGAGAACGGAGCTGCATCTCGAAGCCAATGCAGTGTTCTTTTCATACTCTTTCAGAATTTCACAAGCATTCTGCAAAAGGTTCTTCAAGCGAGCAAGAGAAAAATGTTCCACTATCTGTGGGGAAATTTGCGCTGCAAGCAGAATAGTTACCGCCATGTATATATCTGATCATCGTTAGCCGCACCATTGTCTCTCATTTTACAGGAGTAACTCACATGAGACAGTGTACCAGTTTGATGGTAATATATCTGCTTGCGTCTGCTCTGGTAAATTTCTGATAATGAAATCTATCATAACCTCAGCAGCTTTGACACATTGAATTTGGCACTCAAACACCACACTTCCAACGATTTGGTCTTCCGAGTACAAATTGACACCAGGAGCATTGTCTATCTTTGGACGGTGCACCTGTGATAGGAACGGCCTAAAAAGGAGGAGCCGGACAGAAAGATATCTGACAACAGAAATTAGTCCGCATTTCACATTCCAGGGTATCAGGATACAAACCGGGCGCGCAAAACGTTTGCTTGACGTGTGATCTGCTTTGTCGGCGTCGGATCTTCAAGATCTGATGACATTCGGAAATACAAGTGAAGACTTTCGGTCCAATTGCACAGGTCCGACTCGATTCTAAACAGGCTCGTGAATTTTTCGAAGGATGATGGTGAGCTCAACTTCACGCTAGTGAGATCTCTGCTTGAATCAGGGTCGGCTTTGGAATCACTAGAGTTATAGAAGGTTTCCAACACGTCTCCTATGATATGATGTAGTCGACAGAATGATATGTAAAACTTGGCCTTCGAGGGTAGAGTCGTATTGCCAGTGCCACCGAATTCCATTGAGTGCAGCACCAAAGTATCCAGCCCTTGTTTTGCAACAGCTTGGGGAACTTTAGGTGCGCAGCCAAAAGTCATGGAAGCAATCCTATATAGAATTAGTTTGCGCATTGAAAATACCCACCGTTCATAGCATACCTGTCCATGATAATACATCCATTCCAAACCCGACACGCAAGGTCCCGCTCCCGTGAGTCATTGATAGATTCAATTGTCGCAGGTAAATGCAACCCCAGATCCTGTGCGACATGAATCGCCATGCCAATGCTTCGGAAGGATTTCTGAGGCATTTTGTCATGTTGAAGATACACTGCTGTAAGCAAAAGGATTTGAATGATTTCAAAATTGTAAACTTCCATGAGATCGTAGGACATTAATCCTTGAGCTCTCTCAAAAAACGTAACTGAGGATTGATACCGAGAGAGAGGTGTTTGGGCCTGAGAAACAACACAAGATATGGCGAATATGATATTGAGAATGCAGTGCAAAGCCCTCTCGTTCATAGAGAGTTCTCCATCTTTGCTCCACAGCGTCTCGTATGCGTTTTCGATAGACGATCTATCCAACCAGGGGTAGGCGTTATCCACATAATCCCAATATAGGCTCAGCAAGTTGTCAGCCACCTTCCTTGTCGGAAGAACAAACTGCATATCAGAGAGCTCTCTGCTGGCCTCCTTTTTCTGCAATTTCGGCAACCTTTCGAGCGGTCTGGGCGAAATTCGACTTCTTTCTTTCCCTTTATTCTCAAGTCCTCTTTTGGGGCGCGTCGCATTTCCAACTTCATGCAAGATATGCGCCCCACTAGATGCCCCAAAAAGACTGCCGTCAGGTACGACTCCGCCGTACAAGCTAGCCTCGTCGTTATCTTCATTTTGAGAATAGGTGTTTGGACACCTGATGTCTGTTGGTTGTTCAGTGTTACAGAAGGCGCTGTCGATTGTAACCTTCTCTCGGGCAGTATCTGAACTGTATGTTGCTCAACTCGTAAGCTGATCTGTAGGTAATGGACCACGAGTGAACCACAAGGCAAACATCATAAGATGCTTGGCTGTTTTACGTTTTGAGGGTGAGGCTATTGTAAGTACTTACTGCATACCTGATGAGGGAGAGACTCGATCAGCCTCGCGGTATATACATGCTTCCGAACTTTGTTTCCTCTTTGAGCAAGGCCCGCATACTAACACGATATGAGCACAGTACAATGGCACTCTATCGGGTTCGTTTGATTTGCTTACCTGGTCTAACACCGTCGCATTTTGTTTTCTTGGCTTTACAAACGTTACATGCGACGCTGATCTTGAAACGTTTCGGTTTTGGTTCTCTCGGTTGTTGGGAAGAATTTTCCATATGAAATGAGTACATCATTCTGCGACCAGCGTATTAGAAAGAGAAGGACTATCCGATTCGGTCTCCGAGATCACTCCCGAGGCCGGGACCTCGGGATATTCGGTCCATTATGTCATCATTTATCCCGTTGAAGTTACGAGAGCTCGTCTATCTACGGAGTACCTCAAGCACGATCATGATCTCAAATTCGATATGGCGAATTAGTCAACTGGAAAATCCTCATTTCTCAAAGGTCAAGTTTCAACATCTCTACGAACATTCACCAGTAATCTCAGAACCAGATCCCAGGGCTAAGCCGAGGAAAGATTCTGTATCAATTTTCCTTGCTAGGATTGTTTTCTAGAGCAATATGCAAATAAGTGTTGAGGATCAACTCTGGGGTTCCCTGACATTTCGACACCTGGGCATCAGATCTCCGTTAGTTATGGGGCCCTCTAATTTGTTGACTAAGGGTCATGCTTTCCAATGTTTTTTTGAGTGTTAGAGGTATTGAATAAAGAATATTGATTCGAAACAACCATGGCCATATGTAAACAGGGAAGTAGGATACACTCGTAACTCATTAATCGGGCCCTAAATTGCGGCAACCCTGGATCCCACCCCAAAATGATCCCAAACTTCAGTGTTTAAAACTTTTTCTCAAAGTACTCCTCAACTCGTTCTACGAGGTCTGCTTTCTTCCCTGCTGTAGCGCGGCCATGTGAATGCAAGAATTCCTTCAGCACGACCACGGTAAGCTGAACGAGAGTATTAGTATCGGTTTAGTCAAATACCGAGATAATTTGAATGCTCACCTTGGAAACAGTGCCCTTCTCATAGCATTTCTTCACCTCGGCCTCCACTCCGGAGGTGTTGTCTTCAACCTTCACTCGCTTTGTCGGATGGTCACCAGCAGCCTCGGTCTTTGCACCTCGCTTTACCAGCGTAGAGGTGGCTGCTGACCCGCCAAACATCTCAGAGGCCTGTATTTTCAGTTCATCAGCCCATTTAAGAATATAGTCGCCGGCACGCTGTGGTTGATCATGCATTTGGTCAGTAAAATTCCGTGCATTTCTGGGAAAATGGAAGCATCCAACCTTGTGAACCTGTCGGTACTTAGGAACAGTCTTGTCATCTGGTGTTTCTGGGTGATCTTCATCCAAGGCGATAGCCTGTAAGATACGATAATGCCATTGAAGTGCTAAAAAGTGGTCAGGATCTTTCTCAACATATTGCATTGACAGAGGCTTACAAGGGTTCGGATATTTCGAAGGCTCATATACAGCCCTGGGAAGCTGCAACTGGCGAACAACATCACGCATAGCGTCATTTAGCGCATCCCCTGCCCGGTGAACGGTGCTATCTGGGTTTTGGCGCACATCGTCTGCGAAAGGAAGAGGGATAATCCACATCCCAGGTGGGATCTTCTGCACACCATTCTCGTCAATCTTCTCAGCCCCGGCAATCATAGCAGCCAAGACTGGTGAGGCATTTTTGCGGGGAATGAACCAGACCAAAGCCAGTTTTTCAGAATCGAGGAGTTTCTGCTGCAATGCAGAAAAGACACGTGTTGAGCCAATGTAATCCTCTTCGGAAGGGTAGATGAATGAGGGGTGTTTGACATTGGCCCAAAATGGGAGGGCAGACAGTGGCTTGAACCCAATGATCCGGATCACAGGGTCACCGAAGCTCCTTAGAGCCTGTTGTTCTTCGATGGTGAATGAAACCTGCTCACCACCAAACTTATATGCCTTTCGAATGTCAGTCTTCTCGATCTCCTGTCCTGTATCATCGGACATTAGAGTTGTGACGCCTTTGGCAATCTGGGCAGTTTCGCCTCCTTGCCAGACGAAGCAACTCCTGGCAGGCTCTTGCTTTTTGAGGAGCAAATATCCATTGACGGAGATCTTGAAACCAGGTCCGATCTCAAGTGGCACATTTGAAAACAGCGAGCGGCGGGGGACAGATCTCGAGTTGATGCTAGACAATAGAGAATTGAGCAATGAGAGACCGTCACCCTTGGCTGTCGATGTGTGGGTGTCCGGTTGTAGGTATGCCGGGGCATCTCCATCACTGGGGGATGTTTTGTAGATAATGTCCTGCCAATTGTGAGTATACTCCTATACAATCAAGGCTAATAACCTACATCGTAGAATTTAGAGGTGTCAAATTCGTGGCCTGGCTGAGAGATGGGAAACAGCTCGATATTGACACCAAGATCGTACAAGTCCCTTGCGCGAACTGTTGCAGCGGACCGCATTCCCTTATTTTCTGCGTGGGGATTGTCATTGTCGGTCACGACAAATAGCCGCCGAGATGAAAAGTTTGGAGCCTTCGAGGTAAAGATTTGATTGGCGCAGAACAACATATTAGCCATCGAGACAGACTCCTTTGATGGCTCCAAGACCTGCCGTACGTCATCATCTCCATCTGCTGGAGATGCGAGAGACCGCAGTTGCTTGACTTCCTGAGCTGATGGAACATCAAGATCAGTGTAGAGATAACAGTGAGGATATGAAAGATCCCCGCAGTCCTCCTCATTTTCATCATAGAACTTTGAAGATTGGGTTCCATAAAGTAAAACGCCAATCATGTCATGAGGGTTGGAGATGATGCGCTGTTGCATCAGATGGTATGCACATTTCAAGGCTGCAGACGCGGGTGATTCGTCGCCATGTTTCTTAGGATCAGGCGATGGACGAGGCGTGAGCATCGAGCTACTGATGTCTATGGCAAATAGCACTGCATCTTTCACTGATTTGAAGCTCTATGTAGGCAACAGTTAACAGGCGGTAACTATATCTCCGGGTTTTGATACTCACGGTCTCGTCGAGCTCTTCGTCCTCGTAGTTCTCCTCTTCGCGCGCGTAACTATCTTCAGCCATGGTTTCAAAATAGGCGAACCTTGGAAGAATGAAGATATTAAAAAGTTGTAAATTAATCAAATCCAAAGTATGGAGACGCGCTCTCTGACGCGGGCAACACGAAAGTCAGGTGACGCTGATGCCTGAAGCTGCTGACCTCCTCCCGAGGTGATTGGTCGATGGCCGGTGGGCAACGGAAGCTACGTAAGGAAATCAAAACCGGGTTCAAACAATTCCGAGGTCCAAGTCGGATATAAGTTGGAATTGTCATTTCCTCATTAATATCTTTGTACTATTTTTTGATCTGTTCCCACGTATAATATTTCCTGGGCCCAACCATGGCATTCCGCAGCCCTTTCGCGATCCCCCGGCAGCTATTGACTGGGACCACATCTCTTAGTCGGTCGGCAATTAACAGTCGGTTGAGATGCATGACCGATCAGCGAGGTCTCGCGACGGTAGTACCGCCAGTCACACAAGATGCGACAGGCTCCAAGGGCCCGACGGCTATGGTTTTTATGAACATGGGTGGACCTTCCACCACGGATGAGGTGGAGGACTTTTTGAGTAGACTATTTGTACGTGTCATAAATTGCTACAATGGCCACGTTGAATTGATACGCTAACACATTGAATCTACAGGCCGACGGTGATTTGATTCCCCTAGGACGATTCCAATCGTATATCGGCCCCCTCATCGCACGCCGAAGAACCCCGAAGATCCAAAAGCAGTACGCAGATATCGGCGGCGGATCGCCCATTCGAAAATGGTCCGAGTACCAATGCGCAGAAATGTGCAAGGTATTGGATAAGATCTCCCCGGAGACTGCGCCGCATAAGCCTTACGTTGCCTTCCGCTATGCTGCCCCATTGACCGAGACCATGTATGAGCAGCTTTTCGCCGATGGATTTGGCAATGGCAAAGGAGGACGTGCTGTCGCGTTTACACAATACCCGCAGTACTCCTGTTCAACGACCGGCAGTTCCCTTAACGAACTGTGGAAGTGGCGTAATCGTCTCGAGGGCAAGCGCGCGAATGGAGGGTCCGAGCCGACTGGGGGAATCCAATGGAGTGTCATTGACCGTTGGCCCTCTCACTCTGGTCTTGTGGAAGCTTTCGCACAGAATATCGAGGCACAGCTCAAGACGTACCCAGAGGAGAAGCGGGACAAGGTCGTGTTGCTGTTTTCGGCCCATAGCTTACCTATGAGCGTTATCAACCGAGGTAGGCTGGCTTCCCATGGTTACTTACTGGAATTACACTAATTACTTTCTCACCCAGGCGATCCTTACCCCGCCGAAGTTGCCGCGACGGTTCATGCCGTAATGCAACGACTCAACTTCAAGAACCCCTACCGCCTATGCTGGCAATCTCAGGTGGGACCCAAAGCGTGGCTCGGGGCCCAAACCAGTGATACCGTTCAAGAGTATGTGAAACGAGGACAGACGGATTTGATCCTGGTTCCCATTGCGTTTACAAGTGATCACATTGAGACACTCTACGAGCTGGATCAGGAAGTCATCCATGAAGCCAACAACCCAGGTGTCAAGCGTGCAGAGAGCTTGAACGGAAGCCCAGTCTTCATTCAGGCACTAGCTGATATTGCTCGTGACCACTTGCAAAAGGGAGAATTGTGCTCTCGCCAGATGACACTGCGTTGCCAGGGCTGCACCAGCGAGCGATGCTTGGGCCAGAAGAAATTCTTTGCAGGCCCGGAAAATGCTTCTATGGTGATATAAGCTGACTGGGCTTATATGAGTGTCGGACTAGGAGAGTTCAGCCTTGTATGTGTCCGCAGTACTAGGTGTTGGAGGCGTTGTTAGTATAAAATTTCGGGGTTACTGTACGATATAATATATTTTCAATTCTATACAGGGCACGACATATATGTACTCTGTGCCGTCAGAATGACACCTTAATATCAAGCTAAGTCCGTGCGGAGATTCCGGAGCTAAGGGGGTTGCCAATGATGGAATCCCGATAAGAATTCAAGGAATCCTCCAGGGCTAACCTCTAATAATAATCCCCCCTCTTTCAAATGAGAAAGTCCATTTAAATCTTACAAATCAACTATGCGATAAACTTGAAATCTTGGAAAATCCTGGAATCACCGCCAATGTCACCGACTTCATCATGGAGAACGAAGAACTCTTTGCGGGGAGCCCGATATTGCGCAGATGCGCACCCCGGAGACCCCTCGTACTGAAGATGTGAACGAAACCACTCCTCTAATTGACGAAACCGATGGGCTATTGCATCAACAGCCAACTTACCTTACGGATGATCGGCCGAAATGGAGGAGACCGAACGTGAGTGACTATGAGGTTTGCGACAGAAGCATCAGGAACAACTGTCTAACCTACAAACATGACAGATTTGGTGGCTGCTCCCATTCGGTGTCCTTTTTACACTGGGCTTCGGTGGAATGGCTGTGCCCAAGATCAACTTGATCATGTCGCTCATCTGTCGAGATTATCTCGCCGAGAAGATCACCCAAGAACCCGGCTTCACCTATCTCCCTGTTATATTTGGCGAGCACAACCCCCAGTGCCAGATCCCACAAGTTCAGTCACTGGTTGCCCAGTTCCAGCTCTATCTCAATCTTATTGCGGGTATTCTATCGGCATTAGTGAGTCCCCGGTTCGGACACTTGTCTGATCGTTATGGAAGAACCAAGATGATTGCGCTGGGCGCGATGGGTGCGGTACTCAATGAGATTATCACTCTTATTGTGGCTAAATGGCCTGACCAGGTCTCGGTCAATATGCTTCTGCTTGGGGCCGTTATGGATGGACTGGGCGGGTCATTTACAACCGCACAGGCTTTGATCCATTCCTATGCATCTGATTGTACCCCCACCGAAAAACGAAGCGTGGCATTTGGTTTGTTCCATGGTGCTCTGTTCTTTGGAATCGCAGCTGGACCTGGCGGTGCAGCGTTTTTGATCAAGCATGGAGGCACGCTGGTCGTCTTCTACATTGCACTTGCATTCCATGCAACTTTCTGTCTATCGGTCTTCTTCATCGTGCCTGAATCTTTGTCCAAGGATCGACAGCTCGCGGCACGCGAGAAGCATCGCATGAAAATTGTGGATGCTGACCCTCCTAGATGGTTCTCTTGGCGTGTCTGGAACCCAATGAACCTGATCACCCCGCTTGCAATTCTGATGCCCGCCGTGGGAAAGCCAAGCGTCTTATTCCCTAACCGCCGCGGTGCCAGTCCGGCTCTACGCCGGAATATCATGCTGCTGGCTGCTATCGATACCGCTGTCTTTGGAGTTGCCCTGGGCACAGTACAGGTTATCATCATCTACGCCGAATATATGTTCAGCTGGGGCAGTGTGGAGTCCAGTCTGTTTGTAGCGACTATTAACGTGGTACGAGTGGTCAATCTTTTCCTGGTGCTTCCACTTATCTCCCGGTTCTTCCGCACCCCGTGCAAGGAAGACGGAACCATTCGCGGCTCTGACACGCTGGACGTTGTTCTAATCCGCACATCCATAATATTCGATATATTGGGCTACATTGGCTATGCCCTGTCCAAAACACCATCAGTCATGGTGTTCTCTGGTGTCGTCGCCTCACTAGGTGGTATGGGATCTGCAATCCTGCAGTCATCCCTGACAAAGCATGTACCGAATGAACGCATTGGACAGATGCTCGGTGCCACTGGTCTTTTACATGCTCTTGCTCGAGTTGTGGCACCTACTATATTCAACTTAATCTACAGTCTGACTGTTGCAACCTTACCTCAGACTGTGTTTGTGGCACTTGCAGCTGTTTTTGGTGTAGCATTCCTTATGAGTCTGCTAATCAGGTCACATGGTATGTTTATTTTCCTGGGCTCTTACAAGAAGTATACTAATTGTTGTGCCAGTTACCCTAGATGGTGGATCCTCTGCCGATTTAAGAGCGGAAGAAGATGCCGACGAGCATGACAGGCTTCTGCTATGACGGGCGGTTCTTTGGGTTAATTAGTGACACTTCGTTAAATATGCTACAAATCTGCTCCATTGGCATGTGTCCGAATGGAACATGCTCTACCTGGTTGAAATAGACGATTTCTTTTTACTTCAGATATCTCTTGCCGATATATGTAGCTGTTGGGTATCTAGGTGGATGATAGAAATAGAAAACTATAGACCATATTGAAGAAACACATTGACAAATCATCTCGATAATCCTGCAGTAACCGTAGAATATGCTAAGCGCAGCTCGACTTTCTTTAATATAGTTTTTCCCCCAACATATTTCACATTCTGTACAGTTGGAGAACAGGAAGCTGTGAGGATGTATCCGGTTAGATCCATGGGTCGTATGACCATGTCAGGCTCCGGCGGGCGGCGCCGACCTAACGCGCAACTTGATTTGCATCGGGAAAAAAGAAGTTGCTCCGAAGTTACCCTACTCTCTCAGCTTCAATTGCCTGTACACTTAATCTTGGATCATAGCTGGTGATTGGAGCAATTTGTGTTTCATTTCACTCACTTATCTCCTCATTTCGGAACATTGGTGCGAGATTGCTCATGCACGACTGGTAAACTCGCGCGCAACCCGCGCTCAGCACCTACAATATGCTTGCCCGCGCCGCAAAATCTGGCTCGATAGTCCCATCTCCAAATGCCCTCCGAGTGCTCCGCCAATTGGCCCTGGCTGGCTCAACAGTTGGCGGGTTCTGCACCGTCGCAGCCCTCACGTACGAAGCCCATCGCCGGGTCCGCATCGCCGAGAAGATCATCGAGAACAAACGAACATTACACAGTACCGCGCCCAATTATGATGCAACATCTGCTGCCAAAAGACTCAAGGTGATGGTTGAGGCGGCGGAGGCGGGCGAATTCATGGGCATTGAATCCCTCAAGGCGAGGAATCGAAACGTACCTGACGGGCCAGATGAGCCAGGGTTCGAGACAGAAAAGCCCGGTCCGAAGCCCAAGCCCAAGCCCCTAGTCAGCTTACAAAAACACCACGCTCGCTCAAAACGGGTGCTTTTTGGGACTCATCCAATTGCACAATCCCACTACACGGGAAACCTCGATGCTCCAAGCTTGGCCCAGAACGCTGAGATTCTGGCGCGTGAGACACAGCAGGGCGAAATTGCACGACAATCTGGCAAGCTCCCCTTCGATGCCGAAATCCGCAAATTGTTAAATCAAGACCGGGAAATCACTGCTGCGAACTTGTTCTTGGCGCACACTCGGCAGACACCTATCATTTCTTGGGAACGCAGAGAGCTTGCATGTATCATATTCACTGCGAACTGCATCAAAGGAAACCTGTTCGTTGCTCGAACTTTGTTCAACCGCATGGACAAAGTCAGTGTGGTCTCCGGGGAGATGTGGGCCACACTGATGCATCTGCTTGCGAAAGAGGGCCACATCGACTCTGTTGGCGTTATATATGATAAATTCAGAACCAGCTTTGCTGTTCCAACCCATCTGTTAGAGGTCATCCTCCGATGTCTGATCGAGTCCAAACGATTGGACTCCGCCAAATACCTCTTCTTCCAGCGCTTCGAGGACGACCGTGACTGTGGTCTGTGTGGTGCTTATCTTGATGGATTATGGAGGAAGACTAGGAGCATGGAATTGCTTTCTTCCCAACTCGGCCTCATTCTCAAACGTCTCGAATCACTCGATCGGAAACCAACCGAGAAACTTTTCAACCCAATGGTCAAGGCCATGGTTGAAACTGGTCGAGCCGAAGAAGCCGAAGCTATGGTCAAGGCGATGTCAACACATTATGGGACGGAGCCTGGATGTCGGACCATTGGCTTGATTATCTACAACAGAGCACTTAACTGTGAATGGGACAGGGTCATGGATGGCATGCGTGCTATGCATGAGCATGGATACACCGAATCAAAGAAGGATTTCACTATGATTTTCGACCGCGTATTCTTGGAATACTATCCCACCCACACGGGCCAGCAAATCCTCGACTTCGTCATCGCTTGTATCAACGATTTTGACATACAACCCGACAAGGTACTCCACCGACACATTCTCGAAGCAATCATTGAAAAGGGCAACGAAGATATGGTTACAACCATCATGGAGATGGCCCACGATCAGAATTGGAATACCGGTATTGACGATGCGTTCATTAAGTCACTCGTGAAGAGCCGAAAACTCGCGATGACCGACAACCCGGTGGGAATCTGGCGGCTGAAGCAAGCCGCCAAGAATCGACAAGATCATTTAACTTCTTCTCGGCGCATCCTTGGGTCTAGTTCTGACACGTGGGCAGTAAGAGGAGAGAAAATTGCCCCGATTCATATTCCCGCCGAGGAATCTTTCCCTCGAACGGTGAGCGAGATGGTGGCCTCCAAAAACGCCAGTCTATACGTTCCGCTCCACAAACGGATGGAGCACTTTATCAACATGGGCAGGCACTCCGATGCTTTGGCAATTTACAATCATGCAACAACGGGCGGTTACGTTGTCAGACCGCTGCACCTGAAGCTAGCTGTAATCGCCGCGATTCTCAGTTGCAAAAAGACAGGCTTGGCGAACGCGCGACGTCTGATTACATCGGAATGGGATTACTGGAAGAATGTTCCTGCTCTTCGTTATAGCAAGCGTTTCACTTCGTGGATCCCTATCTTCTTCCAACGAGTCATGGAGTTGGACCCAGAAGCCGTTGGGTACGGAGGCTTGATCAAGATCGCGATCTTTGAATATTATGATATCTGTGCCAACACCAATGGTCTTTCGGTGAAGCACTTCTGCGCGACTTCTTCCAGCCGTTACCTCATTGGGGGTGGAACCCCAGAACTTGCCATCGACCTCCTCACAACAATCTACCAATCTCGGTGGCGGCTCTCCCATGGATTCGACCAGGTACTATTGAAGATGCTGCTGCGTGGGTTTGCCAAGGTCCATAACTTCAAGGGGGTCTGGTGGTGCATAATGACAGTCCTCTCGCGGAATGAGCCCATCAATCAGGACTTTGTCGTGGAAGCTACCTCTCAGTTGGGCTCGTTGGAAACTGCGATCAGATCTTCTGGCTCCTGCGAGGCCACGGGGCAAGTGTTGGTACTCCGGCAAATCGTGGGGGCGCTGGAGGCCAAGTCTGAAGGTGATTCGCATTGGTCAGCCATTAACGTTCAACCGGAGTTGAAAAGGTTGAATCGTTCCAAGCCATTCAAACTCCCCGAGCAACATCATTTACTGCCCACCACCGACCTTGGTGAACTCATCATGAACTTTGATGAAGAGTGGGAGTTGGATATGTTGCTTAGGCGTAAGCAATTCGATGCTCCTGATCATGCAAAGTGGTGGGCAGAGTCCAATGTCTCGAATTTGCACACCGTCCCTTCAGAAGATCCCGAATACCCTTGGAACAATCCAGCGAATTGGGGTAGGCATTATGTGCCCGAGAAATACTCGTCCGACTATCACCTTGAGTTTTCACCCAGAGGGGAATACGAGGAGTATATGGAGTATGAGGATTATCAGGGGCATCGAGCGTCTCAGTGAACATGTATAATAATGTAAATAGTATGTATAATAGACCAATAGATTCAGAGATATCCATATGTCTATACAATTTTCTTTTGGTATTCGAGATCAGTCCACATGGATATAGATAATCCCGTGATGTCTCGTGCTGCGTAGAATGGAGAAGGCGGAGAGTGATCCTTTCACATGTCACGCCACCCCTTTCTATCCAAAAAAAACAACATCAGCCCATAAGCACAGCCAATCGACTTTTCTTTAAATCAATTGCTCAAGCCGATAATGGTCCTGCCCCCATCGACTCCGTTCTGACAAAATCTACTCTTTCAAACCCAAAAATGGTCTCCACGCTCAATGGCGCCCCCTCTCTCCGGCCGCTCAACGCCGCATCGACCACCACGAAGCTGATGTCGTAATTGTGGGTGCCGGAATTCTAGGCTGTGCGCTTGCAGTTACACTGGGAAAGCAAGGACGCAGCGTGATTCTGCTGGAAAAGTCATTGGAGGAGCCCGACCGCATTGTTGGTGAACTACTCCAACCGGGAGGTGTTCAGGCGCTCGAGCAACTAGGGCTACGAGATTGTCTGGAAGATATCGATGGCATTGACGTGAAGGGATACTGGGTTTCTTACCATGGCGAGCCGGTTCTCCTCGAATACCCCAAGTCTAGCCCAACCTCACCTACACCGTTGGGACGAGCCTTCCATCATGGTCGATTCGTGATGAAACTACGGGCAGCCGCTTTGTCCTGCCCCAATGTCACAGTGGTCGAAACGAAGGTGACCGGCCTTGTCACATCGTCACATACCGAGGAAGTCCTTGGAGTCGAGTGTATGACCAAGGACGTCAAGGATTGTTACTTCGCCCAACTCACCGTGGCCGCCGACGGCTACAACTCCGAGTTCCGCAAGGAACACCACCAGTACGCGCCCAAACGGCGATCAAAGTTCTATGGCTTGGAACTCATCGATGCCAAACTCCCCGCACCCAACACTGGTCATGTCCTCGTCAGCGATCACCCACCCGTGCTCATGTACCAGATCGGCACCCACGAGACCCGAATCCTTATCGATATCCCCGATAACTTCCCTCTGGCCTCGGTGAAGAATGGTGGTGTCAAGGGTTATATGCGAAACAACATCCTGCCCCAGCTCCCAGAGGGTGCGCAACAGTCGTTCTCCAATGCGCTAGAGCAAGGCCAGCTACGGTCAATGCCGAACTCGTTCCTGCCTGCTTCGGCCAACAAGACACCTGGTTTGGTGATTCTAGGAGATGCACTCAACATGCGGCACCCTCTCACGGGTGGAGGCATGACAGTGGCGTTCAACGATGTCTGTCTCCTCCGCGATTTGCTCAGCCCAGAGCGCGTGCCCACCCTCTCCAACACAGGCCTTGTTCTCGAACAGCTCGCGGAATTCCACTGGAGGCGAAAGAATTCTTCTTCAGTGATCAATATCCTCGCACAAGCTCTCTATGCGCTCTTCGCCGCAGACAGTATGTATACTCCACTCTTTGGTTAATACCCCAATATCTAACTGTTTATCTATAGGCGAAAGCCTTAGAGCTCTGCAGCGTGGCTGTTTCCGCTACTTCCAGATTGGACCAGTTAGCGGCCCTATTGGGCTGTTGGCCGGTCTGATCAAGAAACCCCTTGTCCTCGTCAGCCACTTCTTCTCCGTCGCCTTCCTCTCCATCTGGGTTCTTCTCTGTGATACCCCTCTGACCCACCTTATCCTATTCCCATACTACGCCTTCATGATATTGTACACAGCCTCTATCGTGCTTTTGCCATACGTCTGGACCGAGATCTGGTACTGATCTGGCTTGAATCCGTCAATTGGTGTTCCAATTCCCTCCAAAAAAACGACAATGGAGAACCCCAGCATATCATTTTCCATTCTCTCCCTGGTGAACAAATTTGTGTCCTTCTGTTTTAATATCCCTCTTCGCTCTGATTTGTCTTTTCAACGCTTTTATATATGATTTAATCTTGTCCAGCATTCTCCCACTGCATCTGATACACTGCAAGATCGGTGTTACAGATGTACTGTACTATATACCACATCATATGCCATACTATTATCCCAATGATAAATGATACAATGTCAATAAAATTCGAACAAAACTCCAATAACCACCGCTTTTTCTCCGCTAATGCTATATAAAAATGCCCACAGAAAAAACAGACAACCAACTCTAACTTCCATATGATTTCACATCCTCCAGTATCTGAGAAACAGGCGCATCTTTCGAAGCCATACAGACAGAGACACACGATAGAGATAAAGACATACAAAGGAGCCTATCAACCCATCAGAATAAATCGACGCAAAGCATATACGCCAACACACCAAAGCAAAATGAGAACGAAAACGCAAAGAAGTTTGGCGCAATGGGCATCGGGGCCGTCGAACGAGCAACCCAGGGAAGATCAAACCCCAGCTGGAAATACGACCGCCAACTCGTATTCGGTGTGAAAAGAGACATGGCGGCACCGGGGAATCGAAGGACGCAATTCTGGACGAAAGATATGCTATAATAGGTCTCGCTGATTATCCCATAGGCGACGAAAAAGCAATAATACAAGTACATAAAGATTGAAGGGAATATTATCCACATATTTTCTTCTTTTCTTCTTTTCTGTTGTTTGGGAGATTTGTGGGAGGTTTGCTGTTTGCGATGGGATATACACCCTTTTGGTGTGTATATATGCAGATTCTTTGTATTGGATTTGTGGTTTGTCTTGTGAATTTGGTGATGCAGATGCTGGGGTTGGTCTTGGTAGGTCGAGGTAGGTGGGAGAGGATGAAGATGAGAACGATGAAGAGAGAGAGGGGGAGACAGAGGACCTGAGAACTGAGTCTTTTCTTCCCTTTGTTCTCTAGGTCTTTGTTATTTGCATCTTTGTTATGCTCAGTCTCTCATTTAGGGTATAGACACTCTGCTGACAGCATGCAAATAAAGCCAAGGGAATGAGTTAGAGGTTGTAAGAGTCAAAAGACAATGCAACCCAGAAGGTATCAGACATCATGACCTTAAGCAGGAAAAGGACTTTTTTCGAAAATTTTGGTTTGTTTCTCATTGGCACCAAGGCAGTTAATCTCTTTCTCTTTTGTACAGAACCAGGACCGAAAAAAAAAAAAAGAAAAAAATTTGGCATAAGAAAATGAAAAGCATCAGACACAGAACCGGGTCTAACCATTGAACACAAAGAACTCCAAACAGCTGCAAAGAAATCGTCTCGGTGCATGGGAGGCGTTTCCTGGAAAATGAACCGGCCAACTTTCCCGATGGCAACGAATGCATGCATATATGGACCCTAATCCCTCATAGGGAAAGGGGAGATAAAAAAAAACAAAGAGCAAAACAACATATGTCGGGGGAACGTGAGTTCGTTTGGGGGATACCGCGTGCGAATTTGGAATCGAGCAACGGAGTCAGGGTTGAATGTGAGTATCTCCTCATTCCTCATGGTCGTAGTTGGAGATAGTTTCGGGTAACGATACACAGTTGGTCAACCGCCTTTTCGCAAAGAATCATCTGCTGGGACGGGTTCATGGCCGCCATTGATGCCGTTTCGAGGCTCCACTGACGACTTGGTGTTCTTGCGGTTCTTCTTCTTGGTCGTCTGCCATCCATGGTTGCTATCGTTCGTGCCATTAGTCTGTCCGCCTGATCTTCGAGACGAGTCTGTGTGTCGATCTTTGGTGCCTAGAGCAGCATTGTGAGAGCCGTCGTGTCGGCCTTGGCCTTTGGGCTTGCTCTTGCCGTTAACACCATTCGCCTTGTCGGAGTGGTCTCCATTGGTTCGACGCTTTGAGTTTGTCGACTGATGCCGATTTTCATTCGGTCCAGATGCAGCAGGTTTCTCACCCATCTGCCCCGAGTGCTTAGGCTGCCCGGTTTCCTTTCCTGGTCCTTGTGCTGTACCATTTCTTGGTCGATCCGGACTCGTCTTCGTGGGTTGCTGTACCAGCTTCTCGGAATTCGATAGGTGGTAGTTCTGCAGCCGACTGGCGAGAAGCTCGGTTTGGTTATTCACGTCTGGCTGCTGTTCCTCGTTCACACCATTGACCTTTTGCGTTTCCGTAGATGACCGAGTGAAGGCAGCCGAGTGGTCCAAGTCAAAGGACCCGGAATCCTGGTAATCTTGAGACAAGGAATCGGAGAAACTTGCAGGTGTGTTCATGTTGTGATCATCCGACGACGTGTAATGGCTTATCGCGGAGTAGGGGTCAATCAATTCAGGCGGATATGCCGAGCGGAGCTCACTCGGACGTACCGATCCATCAACGATCAACGGACCAGGTGCAACTGGGCGTGGAGCGGACTGGGCCGGTTGCGACGGGGGCTTGGAACTCGGAGTGTGCTCTGAGCGAGCCGTTTCTGACGAGAAGGATCCCGGTCGGTAATCTGGCTGAAGGGGAACAAACGAATATCCATTCGAGACCAGACCCATCTGAGTGGACAATGGCGGCAGCATGGAACCTTGCTGGAAGGCTTGAAGTTGTTGGGGAGTTATATAATAGCCCAACACATCTTGCTGCCGGTTGTCGTCCACAGAATTTGAGCAGGATCCATTGCTGGCAAGACTGTTTGAGCGCATTGCATTATCGTCACCACTGCCTTCTCCACCTTCTGCCGACTCGGTGGCCGGCCTTTGTTTTGACCAATTCTCCGTGGGTGGTGGCATGGTATAAAGGGGAATATAGCTGGGAAGAGAGGGTGAGCCCTGAGGCCGTGCAGGTTGTGAATGCGCACGAAGAGACTTTGGGGATCCGTTGGCGGCCGACAATCGCCGAGAGTTACGACGAGTATCAGGCATAGCACTAACAGCAGACGGCGAAGGGGGGTTGGTGATGGTCACTTGCGAGCCAGATGCACCAACTGAAGCATAAGTAGGGTTATAGATTGTTTGCTGCCGTTGAGTTGGGCTGAGGGTAGCATGGCTTCCTGTTCCTGTTCCTGATCTCGGTCGTGAGGTTTCCTCTGGAAACTCTTGTTGTTGAGGGACTGGAAACTGGATAAATGGCTGACGGATGAATACCGGCGGTGGTCTCCCAGTAATCAATGCCTGGCTATGCAACTGCATCCGCAATTCTTGCTCCTGCGCCTGCAAAAGTTGGATTTGCTGGTATAACTGGTCATGCAGAAGATACTGGGCCTGCTGTTGTGCCTGCAGAGATATATCTGTTGCATTGCCAGTGTTTGGCTGCCGGAAGTTGGACTTGTTTCCGGTGTTGGACTGTCGTCGCCCACCAGCGAGCCCACCTCGCGAGAACTGATTGTTATATCTGCCGCCACGGTTTCCTCCCCGTCCGCCCCGTGATGGCAGGGAAGGCGTGAGAGTTGGCCGCGGTTGAGGTGGTGGTCGTTCCCAGGTCCGCTCCTCTTCTGCCGGAAATTCAAACTGCTGACAACACCCTTCTAGGTCACCATTTGCGATATACTTGAAAGCCCTTCGTAATTCCAAATGTAATCCCCGGAAAGAGGTGTCATCGGCGGTGTTGCCTAGGTTTCTTGACGTATTGAATGGCTCCTCCACGCACAGTCGGTTGTTCAACATCAGATGCCAGCCCTTGGCTTCTTTGTTGATCAAGGTGCCATCTCGTACTGACACGACGTTCTTCTCGTAATCAAATTCGTAACCATAATACCGGAAAAAGTGAAAGAGCAACTCGCCAACTGACTGCTTGTTCTTGCGGCCAAATTGAGACAAGGTCTTGAGGTCGTCATCGAACGAGCAGACTAATCCGTCATGGGTCACCCTCTTCTTGTGCGGACGTGCTTGCAAACTTGGGAGAATTGGAGGGTTTCTTGTCTGCAGGAAATTAATGATCAAACAGATCCAGGTGTAAGAACTAAGCGTTCCCCCAAGTGCCGCATCATTGAGAATTCTTTGCTTCGTCCAGTGCTTGACAGTCATTGCCAAAGGCCGCACTCGTTCATCCACCTCAACATAGGTCCGAATCATTCGAGTGTTTTCTAGCGCCAAGGTATTATTGACATTCATGTCACAGGCTAATCGAAGTTCCGGGTCCCAAATCTTCACAATGGGAACCTTTGCGTGCGACACACACACCACGCGTTGCATCCCATCTGTTCAGGTCAGTCTATCATTCAATCAAGATGTATCCACGGTGATTTCTTACGTTTAGCTAACACCTCAGCCAACAGGCACACATGCTCCAATTCCTTGTAGTTAGTTGTGATGCAAATGTCCACTGCTCCAGTTAGTATTTGTGCCTTTTTATCGATCTTGTGCCCAAAAAAAAAAAAAAGAGAAAACCTACCATCCGAGTCACTGGAACAGAGCTTATTCCCCGACGAGCCAAAAATGTTCGCCTTAATATTATGACCAGGCCATTGCTCATTGAAAAGCTTCTCCAATTTCCGAACAAGTTGTCGTCGTCGATCATCACTCTCGGCAGATGGTAACAATCGATCATACAAATCCATGATCTCAGTCGACAATTTTTTCTCTTCGTCCGGGCTGAGTTGCTCCTTCAAAGGCCCCTTCTCCTCCGGTAGTATATCTGCCCCTAGGCTATACGGTATCCGTCGTCGAAAATATGCCATGGCGGTCTCATATTTACATCCTCCGAGCGGTTTTCGGGAGAACGGGGGTAGATGGGTGGCCTCGGAGTGGGTTGATCGAGGGGAGGTGCTTCCGCGGGCGGGGGACGGCGACCGGGAGTGAAACGATAGGTTGCGCGCATGTTGGTATGGGGTGGAAGGAAGGGAATTGGACTGATGCGAAGTCAAGGGAGGGCGAGCGGTCTCGGGCACGTCAGATTGCGGCACATCGGATTGCGGCA